AAGCAGAGCCAGGTTTATGGCCGGGTGATCTCGACCATTAACATTTGTTCTACCTCTATCCGAGTCCGCCTTCCTCGCCATGCATTAGGACATTGCCCTTTTCACTTTACTTTGTTTAGAGTATAAGTGGACGCTAGCCCGGGGTTAGGTTAATTGAGCGGATCTATAATCTGGAAGCCATGTTTATGTGGACTCACCGCATACATTTACACAAAGCATTGCATTTTGAGCCTTCGGACGACTTCATCTTACGAGAGCGTATTCGGGCATCCGCAAGGCTTGCAATTTCATAGAGACATTCAGCGGGAGAAGGACGAAGAGAATGTGGACGGGCTGTGCACTTCGTACGCCATACGTCCAATCACGCCAACGCCATGTCAATGCTGAATGTTGACTGACCACTTGACAGCAATAGAAGAGAGTGCAGTGCAGCGCCCAAAGAGTCTGTTCCAGGGCATAGGGAGTTCCATCCACAAATCGATGGCCCGTCAGTGGTCACGGTAGCTTGAACCCAACGCACGGACCTCCATGGAGACTAGAACACCCAGAGCTCATATCGGACATAGTAGGTGGGTTGTGGGTTGTAACGAGAAGATGGGCAGAGCTCGAGGTATCATCTGATTACGACGGCGCATATTTAGACACTTCGAAGATCTGTAGCGACGATGGCATCGCACGTATCAGTTCAGAGGAGCTAAGGATAGGCGTGAAGAGGCGATGTTGCGATGCACCAAAGCTGAGAGAAGTTGCGAATATCGCAGTACTCAGAGCCACCGAGAGAAGAACGTGTGGATGGAAACGGGAACGGATGGCCATGGGCGGCGATCACACACTCGAAGTTCTCGTTGCACTTTGACGTGGGTGGCGGGAGGCGCTGGATCCAGGGGAGTTAGCTGTTAAGCTAGTCATTATTTTCTTGTGTGTCCTCATGCACCGTCAGCAGGAAGCGTACGTGAACGCCACGAATAGATGGATGGGAAGAAAGAGGCATAGTCCGCCGGAATTCTGAGGTGAGAGCTTCTAGGAGTTATACTGCCCCTCAAATGGCGACGCCCACGGTCCAGGTAACGGACGAATTAAAGGACAATCAGCCGGAAACTGCTCAGAGCTACAGCCTACGAGACACGAGCCAGGACACGAGATAGCGCCACAAAGCTGGCTTGAATTCAAACAGGGTAGAGTCGATCGTTTGAATAGGGGGACAGAGGCCCAGTTCTCGTAACATGAACCCCCAGGATGAGGTGGCATGCATGTCGCAGAAATAAAATCCAACTCGTAGCCATGTATACCGGGTAGTGAAGACGGGATCGAACGTCGAAAGTGGCTGAGCTATTTGAAAAATAGCATAATAGCCTCGAGAGGTCTGCAGGGTAAGAGCGTTTCGTGGTCAGTGCATCGGCTAGTTTCCTCATTGCGGCATATCCCAGTCCTAGACCACAATATACACGTCCCAACAGGAGGGCCGTGATGGAGCGTGTTCCTGCGCGTCAAGCGAGTATGGAAACCGCAGAGATTACGAGTAATACAAAAGCGCGACGCGACAGGTGACCAGGCGTGTGCCGTAGCGGTGAAGGTGTGCCATCTGTAGCGGGACGAGGAAGAAGGCTACCTTGCCATCGTGGTTAGGCCGTGCAGGGTTAGAGTAACATAAGAAAAGGCATAAAAACAAGGCCAAAGCGGAGGTGAGCTGCATAGCGCGTTGGTGTCTCCTTCGATGTCTGTGTCGGTGGTGGTGGCACGGTAGAGAGAATGACAGCAATGTCGGACCGGCCGCCTCCGGACATTCCCGCGCCACACAAAACCACACGCACTGACCACCAATGACTGTGCACTATAACTATATGAGCGTGAAATCTACTGGGAGAAATTTTTATCGTAAAGGAATCACAAAGAAGAATTATAAACCACTGATCACCTGACAGTGTCAGAGTGGACCCACGTCCATCCCCGCGGTGCGGCGGCGTGCTTCACAGCCCAAGGGTCTTCGAAAAAGGCATCTACAACACACCATTGGCGGCTTAAAAGTTGACGTCCCTCGGAGCGCGAAATATATTTCCCCGAGACTTCGAAGTTCAAGGCTGGAATATCTCCACTTGCCCCCCCGTACCGGACGAAATAGCAACAATTCAGCACTAGGTGCACCATCCAGGTTCTAGGCCTCCCGTACACAAGCGGAATTTGAGTACCTGAACCACTTTCATCCTCAAGAAAAGTGTGTCCGCGTCCGCCGGAAGTTTGTGCCCGGACCCCAAGGATCGATTTGTCCCAGACCAGATATGGTCTGAGCAAAGGTTTATAATCTACACCCTTGAATTGAACGGGAGAAATTTAATTCTGCATATTTCACCGCTCGGGGAGGCAATGGAGCTGGAGTGAAGGAAGGCGAAGAGGAAGGCGAAGCATGCCGCGAGAGGAGCAAGCGGACTCAGAGTTCGGACTTAGATACGAGGCGGGACCGGGCTGGGTGAGGCCATATCGTCACCGACATGCATACTTATGTCACGGCGGCGCAGGTCCAGCTTCGAAGACGGCGGGAGGAAGCGAACGGCGGAAAGCGGAGAAACCAAGGGAGGTCCTGCCCTTCATGACAGCGGGAATTTATTTGTAATTAGGAGAAATGGAATTTCCGAACCATGAAGAGCGAGATGCCGTTCGGTTTGATTTTGAGTCCGGACGACTATCCTTAGGCTCATTCGCGAGCATGGTGGATCTGGGGAACCGTTTCACGCACCCCCCAATTGTCTTCGTATTTGCTCTTCGACGTCACTCGCGGGCATGGCGGCTGATTCGGATGCCAGTCAATTAGGCGCCGGTAAGCTTGCTTCCCGATCCATTATCAAAGAAGTCACCGGCGGGCAGAGCGTGCCACCATGGTTCACAGAGGCCGACACGAACGCGACCAGTGCTGGGCGAATAATATGATTAATAGATCATAACCTCATCCCATCCAAGCAGATTCACCATAGAGCGCCGACGCACTCACCCCGAAGATCTCTTTTGATCTCACACAAACAGTATGGCTTATTGTCTAATTCTAGAATTCACTCTATGTTTTGGCAGAACGAAAGAACGAGCGTAGAACCTCAAGGAATACCAGGAAGATCTCAATCACTCAAAAGCTTACAAGTTCTTAAGTAGGAGAGTACTTCTACTCGAGTCCGTCTTCTCCGCCGTTCCCTAGGATGCCACTTCCTGTCTTGGAGATATGTACTCATAGCTCAACCTTATCCAGTTAGGTTTGACCCCTTACAGGGCACCAGAATTGGCTTAGACGAGCGCAGATTCACTGAACATATGGAAGCTGTTTGGGTGCTATGTTTAGAACCGAGGTTAGAACCTAAGCTTAAGGCCGAATGTCAGTACGAATACACCCACGCCAAAGCACAGCCTTGCATGATTATCTTCGGACTGTTAGCTGTAAGCTTCATCTTACGAGAGAGCACCTGGGCATTCGTAGGTCTTCTCACCGAGTAGCCGAGTAGAGGTGGATGGGAGGGAAGAACGTGGGCGGGCTGTGCAGTGCACATCGCACGTCGTACGTCTAATAACGCCAATGCCATGTCTCTATCCAACGTCCGATACAACTCACCGACTTGAAGTGCGACACATGAGGCCAATACAGCTGCAGTGCTGCGCCGGAAGAGTCTAAAGCTGCGCAGTGAAAGTGCCAGCTCACAGATGTACAGATCTGTGGTGCATTACGGTGGCTCGTTACGCTTGAGCATAAACGCGGGCCTCCGTGGAGACTGGAGTGCTGATAGCCCGAGACGCAGGTAACGGTAAGATGCCCTTCGAAAGTGATTGCTGTATCACCATCTGATCATGAGAGTGCGGGATAAGAATAGCGCAGCGACTCGCTAGAGTCTTCGAAGATCTGGAGCGACGGTGGTATCGCACGTCTCAGAATACTTTGACAAGGGTGGGCGTCCGGTGCGCCAGAGCTACGAGATATCACGGATATAACAAGGCTTAGAGCCACCGAGGGAGTAGAATGAGGGCGACGGGAAGGGAGCAAAGAATTAGACCAGGAGGAAACGGGCGGTGGCCCAGAGATGCGAAAAGCAGGAGGCCGTGAAGATCCCAGGTCCAATGGCATCGAGCAGGAACAGCATGAGGAAACAAGCGGCGATCACGCAGGAAGTAGTCGCTCGTTGTCGGAGACATTTGAGGAGAGTTCGTCGTCCAAGTCGTTGCTTCTCCGTCTTATGTGCAGTGTTGGGAAGCGTGCGTGAATAAGTGAAAGGCAATACATAGGGAGACTCTCATGATCGCCATTATTCTGAAGTGGCAACTTGGGGAGATCAGAGTTTTCCGTCGAACGGTGATCGATGATGTCCAGGTAACGGGGACAGTGTACAGCGGCTGAGAGGCACTAGGCGAAAAAGAACAAGACAGCGTCGTAACGCCACGAATGTGGGTGGGGGAACACAAAGAGGGTAAAGTCGAGGACTTGGATGAATGAACACGTCACGTCAATCCCACTCGAGAAGGCCAAACCTACAGGCACGCATCGCAACGGGGTTACATGCTGGGGCAGGAATGGACAAGACACCGAGCAGTGGAGGCCTCATGTAGCATGCTAGTATGGTATAGGTTTAAACCAACTCGATGCGAAGTCGAACGTAGAAACCTGTGGAGTTGTTGGGTGAGTGAACACAAAGAGGGTATAGTCGAGGACTTGCGTGAATGAGCACGTCGCGTCAATCCCACTTAGAAGGTCAATCCTGCAGGTGCGCATTGCAACAGGCTTACATTATTCTGAGACAGAGACACAGAGCAGCGGCGGCCTCAGTGGCATGCCAACATTAGGTTGGTGTAGGTTCAACGCGAGGTCGAATATACAAACCTGGGGAGTTGTCTGTGAAAAGACGCGTCGAGGCGTCGACGTTGATCATGGATCACGGAAGACGTGTCGCGACGCGCCATAAGTCCGATCCAACGCCACCAGACACCAACGTACGAGTTCCAGCATTGGCTTTAGGAGAGGACGCGTCGTAAGGTCACAGGTCGCGTTCCCTCTGAAGCACTCTACACCAGAAGCAGCCGGCGCGCGCTTTGACGCGTCAAGAGAGTACTGTCCACGCACAGAGGGGAGAACACGAGACCAAGGCTAGTCGACGCGGCGCGTAGAGTACGCTGATGTGGCATCCAGAGAAGCCTGGCAAAAGGTTCACAGCGACGTTGTAGGCTAGCCGCACGGAGTTGGAATCATCAGGACAGACCGGTCAAAGTAAGAATTCAAGTTGAAGTCGAAAATGAAAGCCATACCGCCTGTTGGCGTCTTCACGGATTGTGTCTAATCAACGGACCGGCTAACACCGCCTGCCTCCCGCGCCATTCCGAACTCCCACGCACACGGGCTCGCCTAGATCGACCTGCGTCATCCCAGCCCCTGTCTCGTCGTCTCTAGTTTCGACTCTCGAGTCTCGACCGAGCCAGCGCCATTTTCCCACGGCTCGCAGCCCACTCGGAATGGTCACGCGCCACACCGAACCGCTCGCGGGTCGCCACACTTTCCGAACCGATGACCTCACCATAGCCCGCCAGCTCCATATGGGAACTTTGCTCTTTTCAGCCCATCCACGCCCTGCACCACAATAGACCACCATGATTTGGGCGGTCTACCGCCGCACCGATGGAGCACACTCACACTAATGGAGGTGGAGAACTTGTAGAGAAGGCGGTATGGGGATAGAGGGAGGGCATATGACCCAGCGCACCGCGTGGTTTGTTACAGAGGTGCTCTGCTTTTCTTCCTTTCCCGGTCCAAGTTGTCTTTTCCTGGAACTTCTCCCATCCTCTTCCGTGGTTCTTGAGGCTTCTCGTGGCAAGCTTTCATCTTCCGTGGCTTCTTGAACTTCAGGGAAGATGGCTCCGTTAGATGGCCAGAGGCGTACTCTATCTACCAGCCTGCAGTGCTTGTGGAGCGAAGCTTATGTCTGTCAGTGTCAGAAACCTTGGAGTGTCAAAACCGAAATGAAGGTGACGGACGGTGAGAGTGCCCCGGCGGCAGTGCTGGAGCCTGACTGTAATTTTCTGTCCGCTTCGACAACGTTCGAGTACTCTTCTCAATCACAATACGTATGGTATCGCCTCTTCGCTCACGTTAACCGGAATTCGAACCGGCGAAAGTAGCGCAAGCGCTCTTCTAAATCCCAAGTTCCATCAGAGCCCTTTCAACACGCATTGTACTCTGCAACCCTTCGCGTCTATTGTCCGTCTGAGTTCGCTTACACGTCGCCTCGAATAAGCACAAGCACAAGTACAAGCGCAGGCGCATTCTCATTGTTCTCCTGCAGGGCTCCAAGTTGAAGTTCTTCATCATTCCATGCCATTCCATCTCCATCTCCACCTTCGCCTTCGCTTCGTGCCTCGAGGCGCGAAGCGCACATTACGAAACCACAAGAAAAGGCAAGGGTGAAACTTGAAGCTTGAACGCGAAGAGCGAACGACCCGGCTCCGGATCGTCCCACTCCCCGTTCGAGCAATTCCACATTTTGTCCTTGCCCTACCCACCAACGTTGACCGCGACCATGACCCACCCCCATTCCCGTACGCGTTCGCGGTTCTAGACTGGTGGCCTGGCAGGCTGTCCAGTTCCCCGTTTCCCGTGTCCTTAGTCAAGGCAGCAGTACAGGCGGTATTCTCCCGCGGCGCCGTAGGGAGACGGAGCTGCAAGAAAGCATATGGACATCTGAACCCGCGCCGGCTCCGTTTTCTCTTTTTGTCTCCACCCCCGCCTCCGTTTCGTTGGGGGAAGCAGAATTTGGATCCGTGTCCATGACCTTACCCTGTGCTATGCCGGTAAGCTTTCGTGAATCGTGTACTACATAGTGTATGCAAATTTAAAGCGGTACAAGTTCGCCCGGGACCTGTCGGCGTCCTCGACAATTGGAGATGCAGTACTGTCAGAGCTTCGAAGTTCGAGGGTGCCCGGTCCTTGGAGGGGCGGGGCGGAGCTCGCAAAGGTAAAGTCGACGTCCAACCCGGCTCCTGAGTCGTCTGAAGATCTCCCGTCCGTAAGGTTAGAACTTAGGCGTCGCGTGATAGCGCTAGCTGGGTATCGGAAACCTCCAACCTAGGTCCCGTACGTTATGTTTCAAGTACGTATTCCCGTAAGTATCCACTCCCGTAAGTAACTCAGAAGCCCGAGTTCAAGCTCAAGCTCCAGCCCGTGAACCAGTAAGTATCTATTTATCAATTATCAGTTCCGTAAACACAGTATCAGGACGGTCCGACGACCACGTCTATCATTGCGACCCCACCCCCAACCCCGTCGCCGACAATCTCCCAGTCCCAGTCCCAGTCCCACACCATCTGATACTCCCAATCCAACCATCTCCCAATCCAACGATTTCATAATAACAATATCAATACATACTACATACCATTAAAATACGTTATCTCGTAACCTAGAATCTACAGCCTCGAGGTTCGTTGGGGTGCGTGGCTGGTAAGTTCGGGGGGAAGGGTACCGATGTCGCCGTGGTATGGCCGAAATTTGAATCGCCTGCCTGTCAAGGAGGTGTCAAGGAGGTGTCAGACGTCAGGCTGAGGCCAGATGTCAAGGAGAGGCCTAGGGATACCTGCATCTGCATCCGCATCTGCGCAGTGCAATTAGACGCAAGTCGATCAAATGGAGCTCGAGGGAAGATAACAATAGGACGTCGACTCGTCCGAGTCTTGTCAGATGAGCAGTGAGTACCGTTGCGGGTACCTTCGGACTCGACACGGTGACACACCAGAGATGAAGGAACGCCCTTGCTCATAATTATAAGTTACAACACGCCTCGAGGCGTCAAACGAGCGAGGCCTTCAACATGAATGAGCGCAACGCGCAAGGGAGGGCAACCAATGAGCCTAGGGGGGCACGCGGAGACCGATAACACCGTCCAAGGGAGAAGGGAGAAGGGAGAAGAGGACAACAATCTATAGAACTCGGGTGAGGAAGCTGGAGCTGAAGCTGGTAGCTAGAGAGGACCCGGGGCGACCGCAGGCTCGCTGCTCGGGCCGTAGAGTAAAACAGTCGACAATCTCGCCGTACTCGGTGCAAACACCATTACCCCCCGACCGTCTTCCAATTTGAAATTGATTGACCGGGTACGAGAGAAGAGAGAACGAGGCAAGAAACAGATCCAATTACTTTTACTGTTACTGTTACAACTGCATGTAAGTATGTACACCAAGCCGAGAGGTATTATGACGAGCGAGCGAGCGAGATTCGAGTACGAGGCTATTCACTGCAGAAAGAAAGACGATGCGTATTTGATGTGTATATGCGTTGGTGGGATCTATGCTGGAGAAAAAAGATGTTGAAGATGGGAGGTAGGGAAAGGGAAAGGGGAAAAAGATAACGATACTATACGAACACCAGATAGGAGTCAATTTACCAGGAGAGAGAAGGAAACAAAAAAAGGAAGAGAAGAGGAAGGATTAGTGTCACAGTCAAGAGTCAGATTGGATGGATGGATGGGAATGGAGTATGTGTGGGTGGAAAGGACGACTTTTGAAGAATGTGAGGTGACGATGATCGTAGCGAGTTGCTGGTGAGTTGCGAGTGGTGGATGAGAAATGGATAGGGTACACGTTGAGATTGAGATCCGGGTTCCGGTTTTGAGGTGGTACAAGGTATGGGATGAGGATGAAAGAGGAATGGAAAGTGAAACGACGGTGATAAACGGGTGAGCGGGTGTGGTAGAGATGAGAGATGGTAGAGAGGGTCGTAAGGAACGTAAGGAACGTGATGCTGAGTGATTGGCATTATTGCTGAGGGTGGATGGGAGGTTGAATAGGTGGTGGCGATAGATGGTGGTGGCGGGGGTATGATGGCGATGAGGTGGGCGGTGCAAGTGTCGATTGCTCGAATGGGTAAATGCGGGGTTGGGAGATTAGATGCACCAGCAGATGCAGCGGGCGAGCGAGCCGCTATCGCAACGAAATGAGCTCTCATCTCATCCACAGAGAGAGAGAGCGCACGAAAAAACTCACCAGTATCGCTCTTGCGAACACCTCCGGCGCCTACGCCTCGATGCTGACGACACTCGACAAGCAGCTCTTCACGTACTCCTTCCTTTCCCCGCCCACGCCTCCTGCACCCGCACCGCCAGCTCCGAGCCCGACCCTCCGGCGCAGCGGCTTGCGCACCTGCACGCGGTTGAGCAAGATCCCAGCTACGAGCTTGGAGACGTTCGGCCCCGATAGGGCGCCTGGGCCGGATGCCTGTCGTGGAGTCGACGGGCGGCTCCGGGGTGCGAGGTTGGGGGCAACGGTGGTGTTGGCGGTTGAGGCGAAGCGCTTCGCTGCTGCTGAAGTAGAGGTGGAGGAACTGGATGAGAGGCCGCCGCCACCGCTCCCGCTCCCGCCGAGGGGAGACAAGCGGATGTACAGAGGCTCAGCGTGGGCGTGGGCGTGTGTGTACCCCCTGCGAGCGGAGGAGTAGGTCTGCTGGTACCGCTGCACCTCGACTGGCGCTGCGGGCGGGATCTGGATCGTGTAGGGTCCTGTACCTGCGCCTGAGCCTCCCGCAGCGCGGTTGGCCTGCGAGCTGGAGGAGAGGGGTAGGAGGTCGGAGGGGGTTGAGGTTGAGGTTGAGGTAGACACGGAGACGGCGATTGCGATGGGGGTGCGTTCGGATGGGTTGGATATAGACGGAGAGGGTGAAGGTGATAAGGAAGGAGGGGAGGAGGGGGAAGGCGGAGGGAGGACCGGCTCGTCGGCGAACGGGTCGAACTTGATGTAGGACGCTGGTGCCATCCTGATCGACGCCGACCTCCTGCGCCCGCCAGCACCCGACGGACTAGGCGCCGGCGCCGAGCTCGGCGTGCCCAAGCTCCCGCTCGCCCCCTTCTGCACCTGCAGCCTCGGACCCACCCCCGCACCCCGATGCGCACTGTGGTGGTGGGAATGGGAATGGGAGTGGGCGTACGGCTGGTCGGCGTAGAGCTGCAGCTGGGGCGCGGAGAGGTTCTGGAGGTGGTGCGTGTAGAGGAACTGGTTGTGCGAGTTGATGGAGGGCGTGTGGTGTGCGTGGTGGTGTGCGCGTGCGGAGGTTGCCCAGGCGGGGGAGGCGCTGGTGAGGGTGCGCATGCTGAGCGTCGAGGCGGCCATTATGGTCAGAGTCTGCAGAGGGTCTGGTGTGGAGGTGTAGGCGTAGGTCGAGGCTGGAGGGCGGAGGGACGGATATTGGGCCGCGGAGGGAGCACAGTTTATAAAAAGCAAGCAGGACAACAAGAGGACACAACAACACCAAGCGGGGTGACAACAGCCCTGAGCCTCGCACCGCTCCAGCCAACTCGCCCATCATCAAATTACATACACCAGCAACCGCACCCTCTCTTGTTCTTCCCTTCTTCTCCATCAAGCATCCGCACGGTATCATCCTTGCCCCGTATGCAAGTCAATGTGCGGGACATGTCTGTGTCGTGTGTGCGCCCCGCCGACGCTGTACACCAAAGTCCCCGCTCGTTCTAGCACCTTCCGCGCGTACCTGCCTTATCGGGCAGGAGGACCGGCGATTCGCGCCACAGTGACACGACAACTTCCGTTACGAACCAGCCCACGTGGTGGGGCGGTGCCGCTTGCGCGACTCAATTGGTCCCATCACAGCCGAGGCGTCTGGACCCGTCCCTGGGTGCGCACCGGCTCGGCTCGTTTTGCAGTTGCGCCACGGTGCCACCACGTCCGTCCGCTCAGCTGACTCGTCTTCGGTTCGAGTTCGTTCTCGCGCTCATCTTCTTCTCTCAAGCTCTGACTCTATACGCTATAGCGGTGGGAACGTGCCTTGTTCTTCTCGCGCACTATCTTTGACTCTAACGACTTCTCCCAAGATCTAAGGTCTGGCTGTTCCCTGTATCGACTCCGTCTCGTCACCTTCCGCTTCTCAATCACTGCTAGGCTGGACGGACCCTGCCCCCTGCTCCTTCGTTGCTCTATTGATTCTGATTCAATACCTATTCATTAAACCTTCTCCCTGAGACCCTGGGTTAGAACCTAGCTTCAGTGCAGTGCCTTGCCCCACTACCAGATAAGGGACTATCTCTTTTTTTGGATAGAGCCAATTGACACCGCGTCCCGTCGCCGTATCCCTGTCTCAACGTCTGTCCTGTCTACGACACGTCGCGTCTGTATCTGTGGACGTGCATGTCATCCAACACCCAAGGCCTCGACTGTACCCCGTTCGCCTTTGTCGCTCTCGTCTACTCTACAGGCGTTGCGAGGCTACTTTGTTCTACCTATCTCCTCCGTGTCTCGCGCGTTCCGAGTCGCCGCGTCTGTATCTGTACATATCCTCGCGCATGAGCACCCACTCCTTCACATTGACACTGACATTCATTGACAGTGGCATTCAACGCCAAAGCCTCGACTATACCCCTTTCGCCTTTGCATGGCGTTGCGAGGCTTCCTCGTTCTTGTTCTCTTCACCTGCCCAGGTCTCGTGGCTTTAAGCCGTTACATGCCCATTGTCTTTCAACGCCCTTATCCTCGTTACCTGGGATCGATATCGTTCGACAGGAAACTCTGATCCTTCGACGTTCGGCGTTCGGCATCGTTCATCTCGGGCACTTCGCTTCGTAAGTAGTGGGCGTTGGACAAAGTCTTTCTTATTCTTATTCCCTTTCACCCCTTTCACGGTGGAAAGTACTTATGCTTGCACAAGGACAATAATACTCTAATAATCACAACTTCCGACTTTGGCTTTGACACCGAACACCGAACACCGAACACCGAACACTTCTCTCGCTACGCCCAACAGCGAACGAACGAACGACTCGTACTACTCCCACTTCCAGCCCAGCAGCGTGATCGCCGCTCATGAAAATCCTCCTATGATATTCGAATTCCTTCTCGCCTGCTCTGAGACGAAGCTTCGCAGCTTCTGGTATCTCTGGCGCACCGGACGTCTATACTTAGACACACGGGAGTAGTACCAGAGCGGTACGTGCGATACCACCGTCGCTCCAGATCTTCCTGCTCCCTTCCTAAGCTATTCTTATTCAACTGCGACATGAAGATGAAGGTCAGATGCATACCTCTTCTCAGGTTCTCGTTCGTGATCATCCATCTTATCTGCGTCCCCAGTTACTTAGACCACAGCTGGATCGATATCATAGTGGGCGTTGGACAAAGTCTTTTTTTTTAAAAAATTCCCTTTTACCCATTCATGGCGCAGCACAAGACAACAGTAGATCTACATAGCGCCGAAGACGAAGACTCTTCCTTACCTTACCTATGCCCAATTAATAGCGAAGGAACGAACGACTACTTCGCGCGTGATCGCGATTCGCCCGGGCCGCCGCCCGCTTTCTCATATCATATCACCCTGATGATACTTATTAACGTTCCTTCTCGGTGGCTCTGAGTCGACCGCTGTGATATTCCCAACTTTTCGTACTTATCTCCGAGTTATTCTAAGATCAGCGCGATACTGACCACCGTCGCTCCAGTTCTTCCACGTCCCGCTCCCAAGCTTCCTAGCTGAGTTATTCTTATTCTGCACCATGAATTAAAGACCAGATGATACTTACTCTATGGCATACAACGATCACTCGAATTCGAAGGGGCTTCTTATCTGCGTCCCCAGCCTGAGCTATCCTACCTACATGTAACATACTAGGTCCGATGTAGGTAAGCTCTGGGCTGGATACTCCAGTCTCCACGGAGGTCCGCTATACTTATTAGATACTCAGGTTGATCCTACTTACGAGCAGGCCCAAGATCCGTGTGCACATCTGTGAGCTGGCACCCCCACTGGGTCTGCGCCGTGATAAGTATATATAGACTCTTTCGGCGGTGCACTGCATGTTGCAGGCTGCAGCTGTATACTCTATATGGGTTTTATGAGCCCCGGGCCTGCTCAAGTTCTTGAGTTCTTGAGTTCTTGAGTGGTGTCGGACGTCGACGTTGGATAGTGACATGGCGTTGGTGATCAAAGTGAAAGTAGACATGAGACGTGCAGTGCAGTGCAGTGCACGGCCCACCATGTTCCGAGTCTTGCCCGCCTACGGCCTCTCGTCATCCTTCTTCCTTTCCTTGAGTTAGGAGGAATTACATACGGATAATAAAGTACTTACGTTCGCGTAAGATGGATCCTACTTCCAGTCCGAGTTGACCGACGATGTGGTGCTGTGCTTTGGCGGGGGCGTACCACTACATTGTGGGCTTAGGTACCTCATCGAATTCTAAACATAGCGCTGGAGCCTGGAACAGCTTCCATTCCATACATTCAGTAAATCTTCGTCCATCTAACCCAATCCTAGCGCCTTGGCCAATGGCGCCCTCTCACAGGTCAGGTCAACATTTGACCAGATAAAGTTATCTCCCAAGACGAGTAGAGTCTAAGGAAGTGGTGTCCTAGTTCCCGGCGGAGAAGACGGACTCGGGTGGAGGTAGAGGTAGAGGTAGAGGTGGTAAAGTTTTGAGTGAGATCTTCGTGAAGGGCGTTCCTTGCTCTTGATCAAGCTGCGCCCGTTCTAGTCAATGGAATGGTTCTCAACCTAGCCCGAGCGAGATCTTCGAATGATAGCTTGAGGTAGCGTTTGCGGGTGCGTAGGTCTCCCGTCATGCTTAACCATGTACGAACTAAACCCGATTATGTTTACTATGGTCCTATGCATGCACATCTTCTATCTCAAGCGCTCGATCGTATATTACACCCACTTCGACCTTTAGATCGGATTCGCGTTCTCCCACATAAACTTCGCTTCCGCGACCCTTTTGATGACAATATGCTTGTTCACGTCCAGTTCATCGTTGTTTTGTTGTCGACAACCCACCACGCGTTCAGCTGGCCGAAAGCATGCAACAATGGCTCGCTTCGCGAGCTTACCGGCGCCTAATCAACCCCACGTGCCATGCTGCGCCCTCTGTGAAAGTGCGAGTGTTCAATTTTCTAGAAGAGGCGAACAATGGGACATTAATCATGTTTATCCGTTTTCTGTAGGCGAGCAGGTATGCAGTGACGTTGTTTGCGAATTCAATATTTACGTCTCTAAAAGGTATCAGACCAGGCGAAACGAATTCGAACCGAACTGGTGGTGCAACCTATCTCTCGAGTGGTCCCCCATTTCGAGTTTCCCATTGGCGGTGAGCAGCGGGTTACTTTCCCTGGTTCCTGCAGGTGCTTCTCCCGCTGTCTTCGAAACTGGACTTGCGCCACAGAACTACAGCCTCATCCAGCCCCGGTCACGGTCCCGCTGCTTCGAGTCTGGATCAGAGCTCTGAGTCCGCTCGCCCCGTCCCCGCGACGCGGATGCTTCCCCTTCCCCGACTCCAACTTCGTTACCTTTCTGAGCCCGAAATTCAATGAGGGTTCAATTCACGTCGGGTTCTCCCTGATGCCATGGTGTCAGCAACTTGACAAATCGCCACAGGGATAGCCTCGGGAAAAAGCCGGGAAAAAGCAGGCGTCACGCGTAACAGCGAACCTCCTTTCACAATCATAATGCCACCATCACAAGATTCAGCGTCGACGAACGCTCCGAACAAGCGCAAGAAGATGTCTGGACTCACCGGATTGGAACTGAGGATGGCCTACCAATCGCTCATCAGCGTCAAATCATTCCTGAAGACACTTACCGCAACGAACGAGGTCGGTGCCTCTGACGATCCGCAGGTGCAAGAGAACTTGATTACATTTGAACCGGATTTTGAGGAAACGCTAACAAAAATGCTCCACATGATGGAGTCGAAGCTCGATGGGCCCCAGGTATGCCGTATCCCGCTAGCGAACGTGATCTTCCATATCGTCTCTTGAATTGCAGGTTCTTGCCTTCTCTGGCATGACGGAAGAAGATCTGTCCAAGTTGAACATTGCATATGGTGGTTCGCTCAAACTGAAAACAGATTACAAAGTACGGGTGGATGCGACTGAGGAACTCGGCAAGACTGAGCACTGGTCTTCCGAGGGGCTATATCGTCACCTTCGTGTGCTGCAAAAGCTCGTTCCAAGAGTGGTGAGTGTATGCGAAATACAATGGGCACATATCTCATGTTGATTTCGTCAGAATGAAGCAGCCTCGCGTGCCTGGATCGATTCCTTCTTCTTCCGCGCATCTCAAATGGTACCACAGGGCAAGCAGTTGGTGCTCAGCCTCGAGCAGAGTGTCCCGACTACTACTGTCAAACCTTTTAGTTTCACCACCCTTGGAGGATACACAGACAACACCGCTATCAGGACAAGCACATCGGACACAGGTAAATCTCTTCAACAACCGTTATTTGCCTAGCTCAATTTTCTGCAGAAGATTTTTTGGCCAAGCCACGTCTGAGGATCCTCCAGGACCTCGATCATACGCTTTTTGTTTCAGAAGCCAACACAAGCAATAGAGCCACGTCCCTCAAGCCGTATGTGAAATGTATGCTTGTGCAAAACAACTTGGGTCAGTAGCTTGCTCGTCTCATTTTCCATTACTTGATGACAGCGCAGAAGAAAAATTATTCGTGGGACTGTGACCGATGGACACAACTGGATTTTCCTCGTCCTTAAAATGAACCCTAATGACGACGGCGCCGTATATGCTCAGTCTTTGCGACGGACTCGGCTCATGACCGTAGTTCCTCCTGGTGACGAAGAAATTTCACGCACAATGAGTGATGTGATCGCTGGAATAATCACATATTGGGTAAGTGTCTTCTATTGTCCTCTGCGCCATTGCCCTCATTGACTTTTTTCTTGTATGGCCATACAGATAGAGCACAGCAATGAAGATATCGGGGAGGATGACTGGTTCCGTGTGAAGTGGAAGTAGGTGGCAGTTAGTATGTTGAGAACGACCGATCTATGGCTCCAATATCTGACAGCTCGCGGTCCTACCAGGACATTCGTTCGTGGTATCAAGTCGAGCAATAAGAGATCAAAGGAATGACCTTGGAGGGAGAGAAGATGCCACACCTCAGGTGAGAGTGGACTCACGGCACGAGACAGAAGTAGACATCTCGCAAGGCCACGTCGTTATACAGTTGATTTGCTATTCATGAACCCTCCTTTATTGAACCTTGACGTGCGTACATTGAACTACAAAAAAAACTATCTAATCTATGACTTGGCAGTGGGTGGCCTGGGCCGTGATCGATTGATCGATCGCGGGTTGTGCTCATTTCTGTCCCAGCGGATCGGATACTCTGTTTATTTAGCTAAATCTTCGTCGTCACACCGTCCCATTATCTCTTCCGCCCTTGTAGCTCTCTGTCCCCGAAGTTAACCCTTTAACACACCTCGCACACCCCACATTCGTAGACCAGGCCATGAGTGACTTGGTACGTATCCGCTCTCTCCTGTCCCCTCCGGTCTTTGTGTTTCTTGTCTGCAGTTTCTGACAATATCCCTCTACAGTCTGTGCCGCACGAGCTAAACACAGACGAGCATAAGGCCATCGTCACCCATCTAAAGAGCCTGGAAGAATCCGACTGCGGGGAGGAGGGAATGCGCTGTTTCCCACTCAGTCTACCAGGAAGGCCCCCGTTGTTCATCAAACACTCTTACTACGACATCTTGGCCGAGGCCAACACCCAAAATTTCTTTTACCTGCTTGCCAAGGACGACGCATCAGCCCCTCGAATCCCCAGAGTTTTAGATGCTTTCTCCTCTGATGAAGGTGACTGTTTCGTGGTAATGGAGAAGATAGATGCACAGACGTTGGGTGACTGCGGCATACCAGAAGCAGAAGCCGTAGACCTTGCTGCCTTTGCGGTGAAATGGCTTCAAGACCAGCTGTCTTCGGTCCCTGACACAGTTTTCGGGAGGATTTCCTTCGAGGAGGCTCCTGTGTGGCACCAATTCTTTAAAGACCATCAACCGCCGGGAGTCTTCGCCAACCCCAAGCAGCTTGCTGAATACGTCTCAGAGGTTTGAAACTAACATTTATTTTCATGGCTCGTTATTGACCATTTCTCTCTCACAGGCGTCTCAGCGCTGCCGACCGAAAGAGCGACGGTTATCCATTAATCAGGTCTTGGCCCTTTTCGGGGACGATCGTCAAATTTACCACTGTGACATCAAGAAGGAGAACTTCCTCCTCAACTCAAAAGGAGTCTGGATCATCGACTTTCAGCACATCGGCGTGCTCCCGCAGGTCTTCCAGACTTACGCCTTCTTCAACATTGGCGAACCCTTTGCCGCCAAGGTTGGCAGAAAGCTTGGCTATCGACCTTCGAGAACTGCCAACGCGATGGTACCGATCTCGGGCGTACTTCGGCAGTGTGGCGTGATTCCCATACCGAGTATGTGTTCGTCCAGTTTTCTGCGCACTTAAAAGCTAGAGCTAACATCCCCTCACAGAATTGACTAGCAGGCATACATTGCAAGGGAAGTCCTAGGACCTGTCGCTCGTTCGGCTCAGTAGTTGGTAGGGAGCCGTGTATTCACTTTTGTCTGTAGTCTGTGATATCATTGTGGAATTCGAGACTTGGCCGATGACAGTCAACCTGAAAGATGAGAGCGACCTGCTACTCGGCCAATCAAACGGGCATGTAGCTACGATTGAGAAAATTCAACATCATCGTTCGTTGCACTTCAGTCTTAGTCGGAGCACAGATGGGACAAAGGATATGTACAATTAATTACTCGTCTGTCTCACTTTCTAAGGACCGGCTCAAATTCCCGTCCATTCAAATCCATCCTTGATCTCAAAGATTTCTTCCAACACCAACTTGTCACTGCTGGTCCCAACTTTAACACCGTACACCCCCTTCTCGACGGCCCAGACGCCGCGATCCTCGCTCCAATACGAGACGGCATACTTGTCGAGCACTACTTCGATCTTCTCCTCCTGGCCAGGTGCGAGGTCCCGAACTTTGTTCCATCCTTTGAGCTGCAGAGGAGGATGGGATAGGGCGGAAGTCGTTGGAGGTGCAATGTAGACCTGTGCAACTTCAGAGCCGGCGACGGAGCCCGTGTTCGCGACGTTGAGAGAAACGACAAGATTGAACTCGTTGTTCGAGATTGAGGGCGCCGAAAGTTGGAGGTTGGACAGTGAGAACGTCGTGTATGAGAGACCGTGACCGAAGGCATACAGCGGTGCGATATTTCGGTGTTGGTAGTGCTTATAACCCTGAAATAACACATAATTCAGCACCATGTCGTGGAGAGAAGGCAACTCGATGAAGTCACGTACCACATACAAGTCCTCCGCATATCGAACCTTGCCATCCTCGCTGTGGAAGTGTCCGAAGGACGGGATATCCTCCTCTCTTTTGGGGAAAGTGAGCGACAGTTTTCCGGAAGGGTTGTGTTTCCCGAAGAGAACGTCCGCGATAGCGTCTCCAGAGGCGTTGCCGAGGTACCAGGCGTGCACGATCGCAGGGACGGAATCACTCCAGGGCATCGTGATAGCAGAGCCCTGTAATGAAAGGAGAAAGCATGAGTCTCTGCCCACGACATATGACCAAACGACGTACAGATTGAGTGACCACAACCGTATTCTTGTTCGCCGCTGCGACCTTCGCGATCAGCTCGTCTGTCCTCCCTGGCAGCGCGAGCGTGGTCCTATCATATCCTTCGGTTTCCCAATCGGCATTGAGACCAACGACAGCGATGACCGCGTCCGCCTCCTTGGCAAGGGAAACCGCGCTCTCGAGCAAAGCATCGGAGTCCTCGACCTCAGCGCCACCAAGTCGTACACCGGGGTTACTAGAATATAAACTTAGTCAAACGCAGAGAGGAAGGAGGAAGAAACGAACCTATCCATAACAGCCTCATCTTCATCACCATCAGCAGGCCCACGGACATTGCAGAACTCGACGAGGATGTCGTGCTTCGCGCCGGCTTTGAGGTCGTACGTGCCTTTCTCCTCAACTGTACCCACGCCAAAGAAATCCTCACCACGTCGTTGACGTGTCCAATTATCGATGACGAGGTTTCCATCGACGAAAAGCTGAGTAGGATATCCGTTAGATGATGATCAAGTAATTATGAAGACAGAACTGACCTTCGCTCGACCGGCAACGGTCAACCCGAATTCGAATTTGCAGTCCTTGTCTCTCGGCTTGAGTTGACCACGCAACTTCAACGTCCATCGCTTCGTGATGCCTGGAGGCGTCGACAAGCTGATGAATATCCGCGTCTCATCAATAACTTGCTCTTGGATGACCTCGTCTAGGGGAACGAGGCTGTCGTCGCTCTCGTGCTTGTGCCATGTCCCAACCCATCCGCGCTGTCCGGAAGCTGTGAACATCTCGTAGTCGAGTGAAGGCATAGTCTTGTAGGCTAAATGAATTGTCAATGTCAGGTTACTGACTCGGCGTGGCGGGAGGTGGCAAGCATACCTCTTGCACCCTCGCTGTAGGTGATTTCCGCGCCAGATCCGTCGAGGGCCTTGACGATGCCCTCAAATGGCGTGATGAAGAAGCTCGCCTTGAGCGCTGCAGAGCCACCACCGCTAAGCACGATGGCCTTCGCATTAGGGCCAACAATAGCAATCTTCTTCAGCTCTTGAGGTTTCAGAGGCAGGACGGAATTCTCGTTCCGGAGGAGAACAATCGACTCCGCCGCAACCTTGCGCAACAGCTCGGTCGACTCTGGGGTGTCGACGGTACGTTCGGCACCATCACCGTCGAGAACCTAATCAAGAGTTTGAATTACGCCGAATTATCCTGAGATATTTGACATACTTCGGGAGCACCTTGAGCACACTTCTGTACAAGCTCTAGGACTTGCTTCGCGCGCTGTTTGATGGTGCGAACGTTGACCTTCCTGGCTACAATCAAACGGTTGACGTAGTCGAGCGTTCGCCACTTGTTGGTTCCGGGCATCTCGAGGTCGAGGCCTGCTTTAAGAGCCGGATCAACACCGAAGGTGCCAAACCTGTCGTGGATCATTAGGAAAACTGGAGGAGAGAAGCGAGGAAGGGGTTTGTGTACCAGTCACTCATTACCTGATCACGGATAGGATGAAGGTATGAACGGGATACTTTGTGTACAAAAAATGAAGGAGCTTACCATGCCGTCAAATTTCCATTCATCTCTGAGGAGTTTCTTGAGCAGAAAGGCGTTTTCGGAGGCATGAGTTCCATTTACACGGTTGTAACTGGATACGACGAGGTTAGCCTGCTACCATAAGACGAACAGACGAACAACGAACGCCGTCATGTAAGCCCAAGGCTGGGCATGCTTCTGGGCCAGCATAAACGGCATAAGGTAGATTTCGCGAAGAGCACGTTCGCTAAGTATGCTATCGTATGCCATGCGATCATCTTCCTTGTCGTTAGCACTGGGAAAGCGTCAGCAGACTCGCAATCGTGCAGTACAGTCACGTACACGAAGTGCTTGATAGTAGTTCCTATGCCACCACTCTGGACTCCCTTGACGTACGCTGAGGCGATGATACCGGACAGGAAAGGATCCTCGGAGAAACTCTCGAAGCTCTAGAAGGATCATGACCATCAACTTCAGTACTTGGGTCAGACGACCGGGGCTTACTCGTCCTCCAAGCGGATTCTATACACGGACAGATATCGGTGTTAATTGCCGCTACTCGAATAGGGAGTAATTCCTGCGACGCGGTACTCACGCGTTGTATATTGCAAGTTGGGGCAAGAACAAGGGATGCGGACCGGAGCTTCGCTTCTTCAGCAAGGAGCTTCAAGCCAACTTCTTCGACGAGTTTGGGGTCCCAAGTGGCACCAATCGCAGTGGAAGACTGGAGCAAATGTGAGATCGGACTAAATGTCACACGTTTTGAAACTCACGGGAAGGCACTTCGCCGGTGTGCCCATGAAGAAATGGTTTCCTCGGATCCCATTTGGACCATCGCTGACCTATAACAACACACTCGTTCAACGCAAGCTCGAATGAATGTATTGAACACTCACCTTGACAGCAGGTATCCCCAACCTCTCTATCGCATGGGTATGCCAAAATCCGACACCCGCAGTCAACGAGATCGCTTCGTCTGTCGTGAGCGTGTTCAACACTTGCTCGATGTTCGCCTTCGCAAAGTCGGAAGGAGCCATTTGCTTATCTAGAAAACACCGCATCATCAGGATAGACAGTTGATGGAGAATCAGCTGCAATGAAAATGCGGGGTAGAAAGATGTGGGGTACAGCCAGACACTGCAGGTTTTATAGGACGAGGAAGGGGTAGGAAATGCTCCGAAGTATTTCCGAGCGCTCTACGGAAGTCGGCAGCTGATCCATGCCCGACTCTGGTGCTCTGGTGCCGCGGTGTTGTTTAGGCGTACGGAAGCCGGGAAGAGTCCGCGTTTTCGGACAGGAAAAGGGGCCAAGCGAGAAGGTAAGTAGTTCGTTGGTTGGAATATCGGGAATCGGGGTCGAATGCATGAGTAGGCCAAGATGTAAGTGTTGGACCTGCAGAAAGCCAATGACGTGAAGGAAGGAAACCGGTAAGGAGTGCGGCTCCAAAATGCGGGAGATGGAAGAGCAGGGAAAGGCTCACTGGTGTAAGTTGCTGGCTGGTTGCTGGGGTCAAAATAGAATGCCAAGGGCGCGACTGGCTTTTCGGAACTGCCGGGAAGTCGCGATAAGATAAGATGCGAGACTCTGATGCTGCAAATTGAGCAGTGAGAAAGAAGGGAGAGAAGAAAGAGGGAGTTTGCGTGTCGAAATACGCTGCACCGTTTAAGTAGGGGCGTAAAATGCGCACAGACCAGGAGAATCGATCGGATGATCGACCTGTTACGCCAAACGCAGACGGTGAGCGTTCAAATGGAAAGTGTCGAAGCGCTCGAAGGAATGTTCCAAAGTGAACACGTGCATTTCAGAGTCTCGCTCCGTGTTCTTCACTGGCTTCAAGTGTGAAGAAAGGAAGAAGGAAGCCTCCTGAAGCCAGTCCGGCCAGTCCGTATATACAACCCAATCATTTGTTCAAGCGTGTGGCGCATTGCTTGAAACGTATGCATTATTACAGACATATAAATAGGTATAAATTAGTGGATAAAGGCGTACTAAGCAAGCAAGTAGTGTCGGCATGGCGTAAGTGCACATAAATTTCTCATAAATCATGATTAAGCATAGATAAGTCATAACGGTCGAAGGTCCAAAAAACAGTCAGAAGTCCAACCTGTCAATCTCCGGCTCCTTCAACGTGCTGAGGGAATTGAAAAATCACGACCAGACCGAATCTGCACAGGATCGCACTTGCTTAACCGTCCCCGAATAGCTGAAAGTTGTCTGGCCCTCGGGGCGCGGCTTGCGACGCCTCGATGGGTTCGGCGGCGACGTGGTTGCCGGCCGTGCAGGTGCAGCGCGAGGACGCGAGCGAGACGACGAGGGCATATACGGCGGCGACGGCGGAGAAGAAGACGAGTTGCGAGTTTCAGGAGAGGGGAAGGTAGAAGGGGAAGGTATCGGCGCAGAGGTACTGCGGTCAGGAATCGAGTACGGCGCGAGACGGTGTGAGGCGCGGGATGGACGCGTCCGCGTCGCTCCGCCAGAGCTTCTGGACTCTTTTGCCTGTCCTTGAGTGCCCTCTTCCTCGAGCTTTATAGGCCTGCGGTTCTTCGTTCGCGAGATAAACGCGACCGTATCATTGAGCCCCGCCAGCGGGAGGGCTGGGCTTCTCTTCAACGGAGTCGAAGTCCTCGAGATGGGTGTGAGCGCCTGTGTGGGGATGCAAGGGGTATCATGCGCCTCCCCCTTGGTTCTACGCGACGCGTAGGGGTTGTAGCGATGAGCAGAAGGCGAGCGCCGCTGAACACCGGAGGAATTGGAAGCGAGGCGTTCGAGAGGAAGGGAGGAAGGGATAACAATTGGGGTATTTCGAGGCGTTCCGCTGGTCGCTTGAGACATTGGGAGGGTAGATAAATCCCCAATGGGAGTTCCTCTTACAGAATCCGTGGCCGGCGACGGTTCACAGGACGGTAGGGTCGCGATATTCAGGTGCAAAGGTGATGCGTATGCACCAGGCGTTGAGGCACTGTATGGCGAATCGTAGTTTGCCGCAGAAGTGAAGAGCGCGCTGGTGGTGGCAGTCGGCAACGTCGTCAGGTCTCCGAAATCGTAGAGTGAAAAATTGTTCTCCTGTTTCTGCACCGGTGTAGATTTAGTCTGAGCAGGCCGAGCCGCAGACGCACACGACGGCACCGCAGGCGTTGATGGCTTTGACGCGAACTCGAAGCCGTGCGTGTCCAACGAGTACCCCTCCCTCCAAGTCCCTGGTTGTGAAGTTCCAGCTGTAAATCCAACGGGAGGTACCGGCTGTGGCCAAACTACTGATTCTGGGGAGTAGGGAAATGTCTTCAAGTACGGGTGAACTTGGGCGGGAAGATACGACGCATATTCAGCTACCGGAATAGCCACGGGTGGGATCGACGGTGTGGCTGAGTTCCAGGCACTGTAGTCGACGAACCCGTGCCCAGAAATGCCGCTGCTGAACGACGTGGACGTGTCGAAGGCGGTAGTCTGTGTGGTCGAATGGGCGAACCCGGATAGCGCTCTCCACATGAAGTCTTCGTCGAAATTCGTCAGCGGGCCAGAAGGAAGTGTCATATCACTTCCAAACGCAGACTCTGGAGTGGAACTGAAGTCGAAATCAGTCACGACAGCAACGGCGGATGTCGACGCAGAAGGAGGTAGGAAAGATGTCGTGACCGCATCGGTGCGAGGAGGCGAAGGTATCGATGAATTCGAAGAGGAATTCGAAGAGGAGGAGGCAGATCCAGACGTGTCGACTTCCTTGAATATCAGAGGCTCGTAATCGAAGTTCCAGTCGAAAGTCGGCTCTGGTTCTTGAGCAAGAGAGATCGCGTGTGTGCTATCGGAGTGGTAAACTTGGACGCTGGGAGATTCTAAGCATTAGCGAGGAGATCGTGTCAAAAGTTGTGATAGAACATGCCAAGTCAACCTCGAAGTGGAAGAAGCAGAACTAGCGCTATCGCGAGAGGCAAGTTTCTCGACGCGATCCACAGGAACCCATGGGTCTTCCGAGTTCCTCGCCGTGTTGGGTATTGGTGGATGAGAGGGGATGCAGTACTTTTCCATTTCCTCCAGCTCTGCTTCGGTAAATGTGATATTAAGATTGAGGGTTTCATTCGTGAACGTCGACGTTGGGGTGAATGTCGAAGTCGAAGCGGGCATATCGTTCGTATCGGTCATGTCTCAAACACAAAAAGTCGAAAACTAGAGTCGTTACGGGAATACGGTGTCGTCAAGACAAGAAAACGTCGATCCAGAGAGGTGAATAGGAGAAGCAAGCGCCGTCAAGGCGTGCCGTAAGATGTGAGTAGGGGAAGAAGGGGCGGGGAGACAGAATCTGTCATCGAGAGGAGCCCTTAATCAATTTATTTGTACGAACCGGAGCAAGCATGGAGGAACGGAGACGCACCGTTCGTGACCCGGAACAATAAGCGCCTTCTGCGGACGTTATAATAATGAACAATCATCGAGGGCGGTCCTTTTGTCGTGGAAATTGCTGGAACTTTTCACATTTGTTCGACATTGGGTACACGCTGCGCTCGGGCCAGGTTGGGAGGTGAAAGCAAGGTGAGACAATAAACAAGGCGTATTAGCGAAAGCGTGCAATTGTTCCGAAGTCGGCTTGCTTAGCGGAATCTAATGCACGCTATCTCAGTCTATTGCTAACTGGGTGCGCTACGCGGACGCTATAAGGAAGAAAAAGGTAAGATTCTGCTTTGTGTTATAACATAAGGGCTTACCAGTGCTATCCACTTCTGTAGGGCTTGATTCCAGAGTCCAACGGGACGCTGGCTGCTAGGACCTTCAATCTCGGATGATTCTGGGCCACAGGCATACCCTCCGATGTCGCCGTTATTGATTGATTGGGAGCTCATCGAGGATCACTGCAAAGGTGCAAAGGTATAGTTTCCTATCGGTGGCTGATCACAAACTAGTACAAAAACAATTTCAAATACAACAAGCTTCACGTTGGATGGTCTATGTCCAAAATATTCAGGAATCAGTAAGGAAGAGAGTCCGATCTTCGAATAAAACACTTCCAAGCCTCAATCATCAAACAAGGTGACCTCGAATCCTTCCAACTTGACGTTGAGCTCTTCCTTCTCTCTTCCTGCTCCTTCGGGAACCTTAGGCCTAGCTGCATAGACACCGACCAACAAGGTCCTGCTCGCATCGGACGCAGAGGCCTCGCCGCCAACCACGTCGTGCCTGAAGAACCAGGTGATCTCCCTAATCCCAACCTTCTCCCCGGTGTTCTCGTCAACGAGGTAGATCCAGAGACTCTCAACACGCTCATCGCCCTTGGTCTCCCTCTCGACCTGGATCGTGACCCTGCCGCCCGCGCTTTCGGGTAGGGGGACCAACGACCAGTCGGACCAGCGCGATGTAGCGACGGTGCCCACGAACGGCTTCCCAAAGACGAATTCGATGCCGGTCTTGACCCACTTCTTTAGGTCCTCGTCGGGGATGAAGAGCGCGATCCCGCCCTGGTCGTATAGGGTGTTCCACTCGCCCGAGATGGTGACTTTGGCAGAGTGGAACTTGTGGAGGTCAATGGGCTCGGATATGAGGATCGTAGGTGCGTTGTCAACGTCAGTGTGGGGGGGTTTCCGCCAGAGATCTGTCTTCGGCGGTGCCTTGATGGTGAGCGGTGGAAATGACATTTTGGTAGGCAAATTCGTCGCCGCTGAAGCTTGGGAGATGGCCAAGGCTGAGGAACCATGGTGGAGGCTCAATTTGGGAAGTGCAGGAGTCGACATCGTCGTATCTTGCAGTCTTGTGGTAGTGGTTTTGGGTGAAGGTGATAAGATCTTTAGAACAAAGTACTGATTTCCTGATTTATCGAAGTTGCGTCATCAGTCATCATCTTGAGTTCTTGGGAAATAGAACGGCGGTTTCATCAATTGGCGAACGCACCAGCACTATCTAGTGGGGAGGAGCAATCACGACCCTACGAGATACCTGGTAATTTTCACAAGTGGAGCTTCCAGACGGCCCAAATAACACGGCATCGCATCACGGAAAGGCTCCCAATATCACGTTCGCCCATCGACCCCAATTCGCCTCGTCCCTCGACACGCTATCCTGCTCGATGTGGACGAACTGTCCATAATCACTCCCGCCACATCGTGTAGCAGGTGTTGTACATACGTCCGCCTCGGGCACGCCGTTGACCAGCCGACCAAATATATTATCTGTCGCAGTAAGCTTCGTGCAGGAGGGATCATCGGATGGGGTGGCATGGTAGCGAGGAGGGGGAAACCACCCGTTGAGTTGAGCCTTGATTCGGTTTACAGGTAAATCTGGGTCGGAATAACAGTTGCCTGAGGACGACCCAGCGGGCGGGCCGGAGTCTGAGACGGAAGACGCAGACCTGATGAGCTCGATCATAGCGAAGAGACGGCGAACATACCAAATCCACTCGAGAGGAAGACATGATCTGCGGTACAAGTGGCATCGTTCTTTCCATGCCATTGGATATACGAGCACCTTGTCAAAGGACATCCTCCGTGCGTATTTTGCCAGGCGCGAATGGCTACCATCGCAAGATGGAATGGTTCACGCTTTTAGTAACCGTTAGTTTGAATCTCGAAGGAAGACCGAAAAAATACGAACGTTATCATGAGCGCCATCCGTCCGATCGTACTCCGCCCCCTGGCAAGATTCGAAACAGCTTCCTCCCGCCGAAACACTGCTCAGGGCATGCCTGTGCCGACCCTCAATTAAGAGGCTCTTCGAAACAGTCCTCTTGAGCGTGATGGCGGCCTGAGCGGGAGTGCCGGTGTCGAATAACGGGTGTGGGACGGAGAAATGGAGGGGCCGAATTGACGGGACATTGTTCGCTGGGACAATGAAAACGCCCCACCCTTTCTCGAAGCGCGTTCCGCGGGTCGGGCTAACTACTGCGTTTGTCTCGTGTAGGACGCAGTAGGGATCGCGAGTGATGGCGTCGGTGAACCGCGAGACGGTGTACGACGAGCTGATGGGAGAGTTCGGAGGAAGTGCACAGGTGCCGTCGGCGTTGAGAAGGCGCGTAATGGCGTCAGTCCATCCAGTGAACTCGTTGACAGGGCTAGTTTGGGGTTGTGCGATAGCGTAAGTCGTGCAAGTGTAGTAGTCCCGAGGGATCGTCAAGCGTTCGAAGCACGCTACAAGATCCTCAAGGGTACTTGTCGTGGTCGAGCATGTGATGGCCACTGACCGAGCCACCGAGGCCAATGAGGCGAGCGTTAGAAAGAGAGATAGGAGGAGTTCGATTCGGTGACACATCAAAGATGGGACTCTGGAAAGAATTGCGTTCTCGAGTCCGTTTTATCCTAGCGTTGATCAAGATTCGTGTTATAACCTCCATGCTGGACGGACAGTAATCCCAAGCTTTGAAGTAGATGCCTACCCTTATTTTCATTTTTGCGCACAAAAAGCGGCGATGTTGCGGCGGAGGCGAGTCAAAGAATGGGTTGCCAAGACCGCCCTCGATTTTAGGGCAGGCGCGTATGTCCCATTGTGAGGGAAAGGATGGTAACAATCTACTTGGTTTTTCCAAATACAAGGCTCATGATCCGAGAACCTAGAGGAATATCAGCGACTAGAACGGTTCGACGCTTGAGCCTTGAACAAGTGCTGTTAGGGGACTCGCAAATGTAGTCATCTTCGGCGTCACGGTTGGGGTCGATTCAAGGGCCATGCAGCCCAATTTAAAGCCTTCTCGCGCGTTTCGAGGCAGCTGCTAGTTTCTTGAGGAAATTCAAATGACCGGGTGTCTCGAACCTTCGATAGCAAGGTTCCTTGAAGGGCGCGGTCCTGAGCCTGAATGACGACAAGAACGGGGTTAATTGCAGCACGGACAGGAACTCAAACCGACTGTTCTGCTCACCTTCAGGTCATTGACCTCTGAAACACTTCGCCCAGCTGCATTTGAGGTGTTCATCCTCCGACTTGCAGCGGATCCCCCAGATTCGTACTAATCTTGTGCCTGACATCTAGCTGGAAAACTCACGTCCTAGACTAAAGTCCTGATGGAATGAGTGACACAACACGTTGAGTAAAGGTCGAGGCATACGTATCAATGGTTGAAAGGTGACTACAATGAGACGGTTCATACTAGGCAAGAGTCCAGGTGAGAACCCCTTGACTATATCGGCAAGTTCCGAGTCCTGGAGGAAGTTCAGTTTGGGGGGGATGGGCAAATCGAGAAGCAAGATTAGACTTGATGTCGAAGAATATAAGTAAGTGGCACGGGCTCGATCCTGTCCATACAGAGCATTCACATTCGCAACAGTACACCGGGCATAATGAAACCACACAACACGGAGGGAACATTTGTAGAAGAAAGGAAGAAGAAATGGGAGAAAAGTAAGAGGTATCGTTCACGGTATGGAGGGAGGAGAGAGTAATAGGGTAACAATTTAGGACAAAACGTCCCAAGCCAGAAGTATAAGTAGTAAAATAAAAAGAGGTCTTCAAAGTCTACAATGCCATTCGAAAGGGGGAATTCGCGATGGAGACAACATGAACCAAGAAGAATAGAAAGTGTCGGCGATATATATGCCTGTGGGGCGTGTTGCCACACCAGGACACGTGGTAGACGAGGGCAGCGGGAAGAAGGAAAGGTGAGTAGGTGAAGTGAGCACCCGAGATTAAGCAAGGTATATATACGAACAGAGCAAAGGTCCAACGGTGACAGGGAGGTGAAGCGGGAGTCATGATACCGGGTTTCGACGGGATGGAGTGGCGGAAAGAAGGAGCGGACGAGCAATGGGCGGTCTTTCAAGGGCGTGGGCAAGGTGAGTCGTGATGGATATGAGATACAATAAGGGTGAGTAGTTGGTTGAAGGAAAGACGACCGAAAGCCCAAAAAACGCAAACGAGGCAACGAGAGGGCTCGAAAAAAAAAGTTGTGAAAGGTCCATGAATGCTTTACTCATTTGCGACCTGCGGGGATCAGGATAAATAAGAATAGTACCGTGGAGCAGTGGTTCAACGCACCTTGAGAACCCTCTTCGGTTCCTCGCCGCTATCCCTTCGTGCATCATCTCCATGCCCATGACTCGACGTATCACCGAACGGGTTCGGCAGCCCACTTTGACGCTTCCAAGCCTCCTTCTCTTTCGGTGCCGGCTGGGTAGGACCGGACGCATAGCTAGGGGGCATAGCCGTGGTCGTCTGCGCAGAATCAGACGGACCGGCTTCGTATCCACCATAGGCGTCCTCCATGTCGTCGGCGGCAGAGTAACGGTTGGCGGCTGCGCCACTGTTGTTGTAGTATTGGCCCTGCGGCCCTTGCTGATATTGTCCTTGCGGGGGGCCAGGGTATTGAGCTGGATCCCCAATAGCCTGGTATGCCCCAGCTCCGCCTGCAGCTGCCGTCGCACCGGAATAATGCGAAGAGTAAGAATCGGCTCTGGGGCTGTAGTACTGCGTACCCGCGGTGCTCGCCGACGGAGGACTCTGCGAGCGTGGTTGAACCTGTGGGTCATGGTCCTGTGGCTGCGACGGACTACGCTGGTGCAGGTTCTGCTGACCGTACCCGCTCTGGTACTGAGAGTTATACTGCGACTGGTTGCGTGCGAGGCTGCCAGCGCCAGCGACGTGGGCACCCATGCCCGCCGCCTCCAAAAGTTCGAGGTTGGCGGCGAGGTTGTTGCTCGGGTTCGCGCCCCTCCCGTATTCCTGGCCAGGGATCAGCGGCACGGGAGGTGGGGCAGTCGGAGCGGCAAATGCAGCGTACGGCGTAGAGCCCTCTTGCAGGCCTGCAGCGTAGCCGCCATCACTTCGCATGCTTCTGGCACGTGCCACACCAATGCCCGCTGCTCCTGCGGGTCCTGCTGCCGCCGCATTTCCGTACGGGTCGTACACCTCGCCCACGCCAACTCCATGACCTGTTGGCCCGTACCCCATTTCCCGCATGCCATATGCTTCGTGGCTACCGGCGCTCATCGCAGGTTGCGCATACGTGCCATGGCTGCTCACGTCGGAGAAGCCCCTGTCCAATCCCTGCGTTCCTCCTGATCCATATCCTCCGGGGCCATAGCGATCGTCGTCGTCATCGTCGAGGAAGATGGGTGCTGGAGCGGCCGCGGCCTCGCGTGTGGCCTCTGCGAGCTCGCGATCGAACTTCTTCGCTCGGCGACGGCGGATTCCGTTGGTGATGAGGGCGATAAGGAGGGCGAGGGTGATTAAGCCGACGACAGAAAAAACGCCTGCTACAGCACCAGTGTTGTCGAAGAAACTGTCGACGGAGAAAGTGACGGTTAGTCGTGTTTCCGGGAAAATGAAAAGAGGACGAGAGTGTCTCTAGGTAACAACCGAAAGATGCTGGAGGAACCAATGTCCCGACGCTCGTCCTGGCAGTCTTCCGAACAATAGCCAACCACCCCGGGAGACCCACAGCGAGACCCGAACGCCGTGCGACCAATAGTGAACCCCTGCTCGAGGCTCCAGCTCATAGGAAATAGGACGTGGCAGCCAACAAACGACGAAAGGAAATGCCTCTGCACGTAGATCAGGGATGTGATCTGGTTTGATCGAGCCCTGATGGCGGGCATCCGCCCGGCGCTCTCCACGCTGGCACGCCCAATCGGGGTCAAGCGCACCCGCCGACATCTGTTCCGGTGTGGAACTGAGCAGCGACCTCAGCACGAGCTGAAGCAGCATTATAGGGCAGACGAAACAAGGGGAAACGGATTCAGAGATAAAACTCACGATTTGGACCCGCCGCTGGAATCCGAGGTCGTCGTTGGCTCCACCGACCTCGTGTCCGAGACAAATAGCGTTGAAGTTGCCGTAAGAATCCCTCCAGTCGTTGTCGTCGGGGGACTTGTGGGCGGTGAGGTGGTGGTCGGCGGTGTGGTGGTGGTGGTGGTGGTTGGAGGGATAGTAGTAGTTTCTGATGAACTGCTGCTGCTGGACTCGGACGAACTGCTGCTGCTGGATGTGCTGGACTCGCTAGTGCTGCTGCTAGTGCTGCTGGTGCTCTCGGTCGACGACGTGGAGACGGTCGTGGTCTCGGATCTGCGACCCAGGTAAGTCTGATTGTGAACGAATTATCGTCAGGAGACGGTGCATACGTGGTAGTGCTGGTGGTAGCTGCGTCGCAGGGGATTCTGTTCAGCTCCAAATACGAGGTGCAAGGGGGAAGGGAACTCACTTGAATCCGACATTGTGATATGGATTCCTAGTTCATCCAAGCGTTTTGTGTTTTCAAAAAGAGCGTATATCCGCAGCGGCGAGAAGCGGAGGCCTGAAGGAGGAGAAGGGGGCAATGCTGGACGAACCAGTCCGAGAACCTCAAAGCTGACAAGAACCAAGAACGACAACAACAATCATGGGGCACATTAGGTAAGAGTTTCTTGTCAGCTCGGGAGATACAAGTACAAATATACGCGCCACAGTACGCCTGAGACCGGCCCGCTTTCACCCGCTTCTCTAGTTCACGACGGCGCGAAACCGCAGAACTAAGAGCCAAATCAACAATCATGGGACCACTCCACGGAAAATCAGGAAAATCCTCTTGTCAGCCCGGGGAAAGCTTGGGAAGAGCAGGCACAAATATACAATTGGTAATGATGCGTTCAGCATTATCAACAACTACAGTGACGGAGGCGGAGGATTCATCCCACACTCACCCTAGGTAGTTGTCCTGAATAATGTCTGATATTTTGACCCACTGTTATGTAGTACGAGAAATTAATCACAAAACTAGATCAAATGACTGTAAAAGGGGTGAAATTTGAATATTACAGGCTCGCCCTTGATAAAATCACTATTCATCGCAAGGCATGCACAGCTAGCGCTTGTTTCCGGCACGGGATCGCGCTGAATGTAGAATTGTTCTGTCTTGATTGAAACAAGAGCGGGAATGTCGCAATGTAATTCCTCCTTCAGCCGTCACTTGGCGGCGGACTCCTTAGTGATCATTTTCTCGACCTTCTGAATCCTGTTTGTTGCCGTCTTGAATACGATGGTAGTGCTCCTATTATAAGTCGGGCATGCATCCGGGTCGCTTCGTTTAATCGGAACCAGTTTTTTCATATGGGCGCTTTCATCGTTGTTCGGATCTCCACTGATTCTCCAGGGAAGCAGCCGGTGGTGTCTACTTTAAACATGCTGAGGTTATTGAGATGGGTCCAGGGTGCTGAGGAGTATTAAAGTCTGTGTGGATTGCTAGTGACGACGTCAGCGTTTTAAATTCCATTCTGCCAAGAACACCGGCCGGGTCAACATCTGCCGTTGTTATTCTTGCGTAGTCGACAGGACGCGGGCGACTTGGCTAATTTTATCCATAGAAGCACCCACAAGTTGCTAAAACAACAAAAATGAAAGGCGCTAATTTACATCCTACCCCTTTTCCGTATGTCCTTATGGGAACGCCACACACGCCGCTATTAGCGACTACTATATGTGGAAAGAGACGTTAGCAGAAGCTCCACCAAGAAATAAATAGATATAAAAATATTATATATATATTTTTTATTTTAGATCATGGCATCACAACATCTGGACTCAAAAAGAGTGTGCAGGCAGAGAAGCGGCTTCCTTTGTAATTTGTGCAATTGTTCCTCCTGTTGCAGCGGGATGAGGGCATCTGATCAGTCTACACAAGCTCCGCCCATGCGAGGTTTGTGAAGGTGATGATAACCTCGAACGTCATTAGTGCATCATTCCCCAATGAAAAATTCAGACGTTATTGTTAGTTAGGTGTTACGAGAGGGACGGTCCTCCTATGTACAAACAAACACGGCGTCCAAATGGGATGGAGGACTCTTACACGCCCTGGTGCCCCATGGAAGGTCTCATGAAGCCTAGATCAGGGATTGTCTAGCACGCTAGATAATTTGGAAACTCGTATCCGTTTCATGAACACGTAGTCGTCACGGTCACCCCAGCATTGACAACCTTCAGGTTCAGTGTAACAGAGTCATTTGAACCAAAACGACCTCCTAGCAATGGTCGCATCAGGGCGCTTTGGAAATGACGGCCGAGGGAACCCTCATCCGGTGAAGAAATTCAAAAGGACAGATCGAACGAAACTCTGTACGTCTGTAATCTGGGTGAATTGACAACCGATAAGAACGGTAGATGATAGCATACGGATGCAGATGAGAGCATCAGTCTTTCTTCAACTCAGATTCTCATAATACACGATCCGAACGCCTCGTCCCCGCGCCACTGGCAGCTGCTCCATCAGGATCATCTTTGCCGCTGTACGTAGACTTGGCGCAACCTTCTGTCCTGCTCGAAATACCACGCGGCGAAGGTTGCTGAACGGTTCGGAGCAGAGTGTCGCGTCGAGCGACGACCAATCGGAGGCGCACCCCACGAGCTCGACGGCGTTCAGGAACATACACTCTATGACGAGGTTGGTGAGGGAATGTTGATACGTGGATGGAGAGAAATGGGCGGCAGATGGTGTCCCGAGCTCCCGAAGGATAGAGATGAGGTCAGAAAAAAGATAGTGAGATCGTGGCGGAGATGACAGAGCTGGCTTGGCATGGAAGTTGACAAGAAAATGGAACGTTTGGAGGAATTTAAGAACGCTGAAATCTATTGGACGAGGGGGGCCTTGCAAGGAGATTCAGATATTGATTACGCGTGCGGATGAAGAGAAAAACGTACGAAGCACAGAATCTTGCGTCCGCGTCGCTGGCCGCCACTCGAGGCATGTCAGGCTCTCCGCCGCCCACTGCATCAGCGTCCACAGCTCAGTCATCAACTGCGCATCTTGCTGGTCGAGTACCGCCAACCAGAGGGTTTTGAGCGTTGGTGTACGATGTAGCATGAGAACATTATGAAGGACGTGCAGTGTCGCAGCCGACGGCGCCTTGAGGACAAGTGTTTCGATGGTGGGCGACAACGTGGCGAATTCCAACGCGACCCCGAGCGAGTGCGTGAGGTACGCCGCATGCACATGCACGTCATCCAATCTTAGATGCTTCACGGTCGCAAGCGAGACAAGCAATGACGGCGGGAAATCCTTGATCCGCGCGAGGGTGAACGACTCGACGGCGGGGCGTTTTGCGACCTGCATGAGAGCGTGACGAATACACTGCCGCAGTGAGACCCATGTCGGGTGGCCTATGTTGAATGTCAACGAGAACGCGCGGAGGTTGGGAAGGAGGTCGAGTAGGTCACAGATGCTCTCCTCCTCGGTAAGCCAGCCCCAATTCTTGTCCTTCTCCTTGTCCCAAATGTATGTGTCGACGAGGCGCAGATCCTCGACATATGTGCAAAATTTACGCCTCTGTGAGATGAGTCGGAAGAAACGGCGGTAAAACTCCTTCCCTGGAATGCAACGCTCTCCGAGGTTGACAGTGCGGAATAGATGCTTCTGGCATCGCACCACGAATGTGCTGGATACTGTGGCGAAGTTCCTAAGCGTCTCCTTGTCGTTTTGGGCTGCCAGCGCATCGATAATGAGTTCGATGATGTCGAAAGGTAGATCGACCTTGATCGTTATTTGAAGAGGAACGAAATCGATTACGCGGCCGATAGAATGTCTGAGGACCCACCATAAATCGTCATGCGATTAGGGCTGTTTGGAAGGAAATAGAAGATGATTTGGCGTACTGACCGACGACATCGAGGATTTGAACCGTGCCTGACTATTTCTATCGTTCGTAGGTGCTCGGAGCAAGGCAACGGATGCAGATGCATTAAGCAAGAGGAAAAAGTGTTCGGTGACGTAAGATGCCCTTTTCGCTGCTTTCTGTTTCAAGGTTCCGTAAAGGGGTGGGAGTACTGCGAACCATCTGAGCATTGGGCGTTAGCTCTCGCGAACGAATTACTTAGGAGTTGGGCAAAGTGAACGAGAATCATTTCGACCGGGAAAATAAGTTACCAAGTATTCGCTTACCTTACCAAAGCCGTGTGTGGATAAGAATCTTTGCCTCCTTACAGTACATTTTCGTTGTTAATAATATGCCAGCGCTCGAAATATTTTATTAGAAGGGATCGCTTACTTTCAGTGTTCGTGCACTCGGAGGAGAACTAGGTAGGGCAAGTGGCTCGTGCAATTTGATTTACGTCGTTTTGCCAGGCCCCATGCAAAATTGAGGGTTCTTTGAGAATTCGAATCATCCATGTTTCAGCAGATTCACGCGTAGAATGTGGTGCATCTGAGAAGTTCGGTGATCCACATCCGTCTGCTGGTAGATCGAACTAAATCTGAACGTTTGAACAGTGAGGCTAAGGTTGAATATCATTAGAAGTCAAAAAATCCCCAATTTGGCGAATCCGAGTCGGTGCCGGTGGGTGACCTTGGGAGGCGGGCTACGCAATTGACCGGAGAAACCTCAGGGTGAGGGAATCTGCCGAGGCCAAGACGAAGTGGAAACGTTAGTGTCTGACGAGGAAGCGGGAAAGCATCGCCGTCTGGTATTTCTTTCTTCAGCGAATTGGGCCTCATTTCTGATACTTTAAGATGGGGTTCATCTACTTTCTTGAGGATTTTAGTGCTCTAGATGCACTCTAGGGACAGTTAAAGACCATCAACGGCAACTGTGGCGCCTTGAACTTTCTTTCCTTTTGTATAGATGGAGGTACAGTCACCCCAGCGTTCACATGGATGTATTAGGTCCCAAGAAACCGCATCCTACGAGCTCCTGTCAGCCATTTTAAGAACGATAGGTTCCTGTGATTTGAATGATACTTGACTCCATCAACACTTTCGTGAGTGCAACAAGAGCTTGCCAACAGCAACCCGAGACGAGGGCCTAAAGGTTGCTGGCAGGACTAGCGGCAGCTTTCTGTTACTCTGAAATTATCGATTGGATTAAATTAAAAATAAGCAGAGGAAAGCTCAAAGGATCTATCGTAACTTATGGGGCTTCTTACACCGCCGGATATCTTAGAAATTTTAGGTCATTTCATCACGACTCATGATCAGACTCTCCGACAGAGCACATGGAAAAGAAGTTGACCCCAGTGAACCCTTTGTAATCGAAAACCGCTTCGAACACCTTGAGGTCTGTCAGCCCGGCAGCCGGTCGTAAACGCAGCGATTCTGCGGAACGTGAGATTGGCTGTCGACCATAAATATTGAATACCTACGTCCCACTCTGTTTCACGACAAGACCCGAAAAGTATCCTTACAATAGCTACTCCAGCAATTTACAATTCCTCTCTCGCAATCCCACAGGTCCTACCGACAACAAACGTGCCGACCCAGATATCATTCCCGCCCCTCACCATCAATGCCCCGCCAAAGACAGACCTCTGGCGCAAGCCCCCACACATTGACGTCGACAACATCCCGACAATTTTCCTCCCCAAGTCCATCGACCTTAACAAATTTCGCTCTGCCAACGTCACCGTCTCGGGCGAGTGGAATACCTTATACGACCAGGGTGGCCTCGTCCTCTACATCTTCGGAGAGGGTCTGAAGAAGTGGGTCAAGACCGGTATCGAGTTCGTCTTCGGGAAGCCGTTCGTTGGAACCGTCGCGACGGCGCGGGCATCCGATTGGAGTTTGGTTCCTCTCTCTGAGAGTGCGGGCGGAAAAGTCACGGTGCACGTGGAGAGGGAGACGAAGGACGATGAACGCCTCGAGAGCCTTTGGGTGTATGTCATTGGTGAGAATGGGGAGACGCTTGGGGTCAGGGAGGTGACGTGGGTGTTTGGCCCCGACGTGATAGATTGCGATAACCCTACGTCGGAAGAGAGGACGATGTTGGTGGGCGTCTATGGAGCTAGGCCGACCGTGCCCGAGGGCGAGGGGAGGGAGAACGAGGAGCTCGTTGTGAAGTTAGACGGTTTCAAAGTTGCATTGTTTGATGACTAAACGGCTGTTACTTCAGTACGAACAACGTTGAGTCCTGAAGGGCCGAATCTTTGCTCAATTTTCTGACAAAAGTTGCCTGTCTTGAATAGGACGTGGTGGCGATCTAGGGCGCTGCTAAATTGCGGCTTGTTAATCTTGGATTAAGAAAAAGTGAGGTATTATATCTTCTCTGCTTTGTGGTGCACCGTGAGAAGTGCTACTGCCAGAGGGACTTATGGTAGTACCAACACCCTCCGTTGTAAGTGCATAAAATAAGAGCTCGTTTCGATCCACGCGTCTCGACTCCTGATATTGCCTAACCACTTTGCCTTCGCGTATTAGGTTCGCCGATTTTGACAGACCAAATGGGAGGCGTCACGTCATTAGGACATTGATTGAGAAAGAAAGGCAGCGGAATTTTGGTACTTGTTGCAGAGCGCGAGAAACTCGGGGCGGAGCATCGACACGAATGCGCTGGTCCTTCCTGAACGCAAGTCTGGGGGAGGGAAATGCGTGAACCGAGATCGCCTATAGAATTAGGAGTAGTACACACTGTCTTTCTAAGTGCCCTTCCTCTGAGCCTCACTCGAGTGGAACGAAGAACCCATCCAGGTACGGAGACTGATGGTATAAATGTAAATTAAACTATAGATGTCAGACCAAACTCATTCTGCGTGATCTCAAAGTTATAGTTTGAGGCCGCAATCGGCAAGTGCCAACGTTGATCGCGAAGGCGCTGTCACTACCTATTTTTGGTAATAGTGGCGGTGCTGACTCATCTAAGATCGTCGGTCCGACGGCGCTCAGCGTAGATGCTCACAGCTTGGCGTCCCGCTTACAAGAGGGACATATCTCCCTTTAATGGGTAAAGACGGCCAGGGGCATCTTCTAGCTGAATGGAAACTATTGTGGGTCAAGGAACTGACGATCTTTGATCCAGCCGGCGACCTTCAGTATGTTCATCTGTTCGCTTCGTCACAAATACGTTAGACTGGAAGCATAGTCGTTGTTTGGCAGGAGAAATAGCCCCATGTATCAAATGGGCTGAACATCGTGTTCGTTGATTCACGTTCAACGGTCACTGGAATCTGACCGTGGCCCGCGAATTATATTTACTCACGACGCACCATCGTCGCTCCAGGCTCCAAGCCACTGCAACAATGCAATAAATGCAATAAAACAGGGACTGGGGGCATTACGGGAGGAGAGTCGTTGACAGAAGATTGGAGCGTAGCAGGCCGTGGATGGCGTCCTTCTTGTCTTGAATAGTATAAAGTGTGATAACTTTTGCTTCCAGCACGTATTCCCAAGGACTCAAGGTCGGACTACAAATATGCATGCAAAGTAGCTCCACAGAGAAGTATGCAGCAACGCGAATGCCACTGACAATACATACGGCGAAGGCCCATGGTTTGGTGTACTGGATTTCTTGTGGTGTTTGAGTGTCGAGTCCGCGTGGACGAGGACCGGCTTTCATACAGGCATCATGGATGGTACGACACTTTGTCCTGGAGGCAGAGATGACAACAACGCCCACTGTGCGCGATTCCAGGTCAAATGATGCAGGCGTCAGACCCTTCAGCGCAGTGAGGCAGTGAAGTAATCCAATCGAGGACCAACGAGGTAACCAGGGTACAACAAGGCGGCCAGGTACGTTGTACTTATCACTAGCCGAGTTCTCGGATGGGAAACGCGGTGATAAGAGTTGTCGGCACTAGAAAACCATATTTGTGCCTTCGTCGCCGCGAACGATGACGAAACGAGACAGAAGCGATGAGGTTTTGGTCGGAAACGACAGAGAAGACTGCCTCGACAGGTCCCGTAGTTTTATTTATCGTTGGAAAAGGATGAAAGGGACTCTCGCGGGTAGCCCAGACGTGTCCATCATGGACATGAGGCAACACACGAAGCACCGAAAATGGTCGACCCGTCACACGTGATGAACGCGTGTTTTCCCAGAACCACCACAATCTTCCTCCCAATACCCCAAATGAGCGATATTTTTGTGTTGTAACGCGTCCAGACGACCGACTTACCACGAAAAAACTGTTCATGTGCTAAAGGTGCCATCGGAACGATGAGGTACGGCCAAATGGTAGCACGATCCTGGTAACGGAACATCAGGATCAACATCGACACGAGGCGTTGACATTCCTTTTTGAATCGTTTGTCTCTCTTTCTCATACCCCTTACCTTCTCTTTCTTCCGTATACCCCCCTTCACCCGCGAAAGCGGTTTCGCCTCTAGATTTTGGCTTCACGATAGAACTTACGACCCTCTGACGACACATTACGCTAAACCCCACCGGACAACTTCACCAAGCACCACCTTTACGACTACAGTTATCGCCACCATATCGTTTTCGTAAACCGCCGCCAAGTTGGATTTCCTGTGGGGCGTCGTGTCTCTCTATCGGACGAGCATGCCATATCTGCTCCCCCAGACCCGCTCCACCTTCCTCGTCAACCCCCAGGCTCAGGACACGAGGCCTGCGACGAGGCAGAGCCCAGGCGCCAGCCAGAGCCATTTCTTTTCGCAGCAGAGGACGGAAGGCAGGAGCGGCAGTGGAAGGAACAGCGTACGGAGGCAACAGGGCGTTACCCCAGCCAGCACCATGGGCAGTGCCACGAGCTCGTATAGCGCAGCCATGCACCACAAGTCGCGCCCCACGTGCACAGTATCCCTAGCCCACGTCTCTGCCGTCCCATCGCCTTCATTTTCTGCCTCGTCGACCCCACGTTCGTTGCAAGGCATCGACGCAGACGCCGTGCATATCGACACCATCGCACCCCAAGTCCAAGTCCAGGCTGAGCCTGCGAATACCATCCCAGCACCACCGGCCAGGCGCCCCTCAAAGAAACACCTCAAAAAATCCGTCATGAGCGAGATCAACGTCATCCCGTTCCCCACGTCCGCACAGACACCTTCTCCAATCCACACATCTCCATCTCCAGGTACTCGGCGCGCTTTCGGTGCTAGACCCCTTCCTACGCCACCGACACCTCATGCTTTGCTCCGCACGACGGCATCGCGGCGCACCAACACCCAAGGGGCCTCTGCGACGTCAGGTGTACTCGAACACATCGAGCTCACGCCAGAACACAAACCGCCATCCTCCAGCATGTCTGCGCCGCCGAGGAGAAGAGCGAGGAAAGCCAGTGCATCACGGCCGATTGTATTCGCTAGGTCGGTGTCTGGGTCGTCCTCGTCCTCGTCCGGCTGCTCTCAGGGGTCCAAATCTTTCACCTCCTCGGTTTCCTCATCAGCGTCATCGAGTGGGTCAGGCTCCGAGCCTTCTTCTCCCACGTCCTCTGTCTCGTCAGCCACTTCCATCGAACAAGAACAATCGGAAGAAGATAAGCTGATGGAGGTCGATTTTCCGCCGCGGCCGGCGTCGCCTACACCCCAAGCTCATCTCCAGGATCAACACCTACAGGATCGCCTACACATCCTCGATCATCAGCAGCCAGGCAGGAAACGGGAGTCCAGCGATCCACCTGCATATTCCACCCTTCCACCACCCTACTCTGACTTCCCCACAGAGAAGAAGATTGAACAGGAGGTAGTTGCCCCCCAGCAGAATGTTGAGATCGTTGCCCCCAAGCCATCTCGCCCGGCATCGTCATTCATCGCACCTTCTTCGGCGCCATCGGCGAGTTCATCGGCGAACACCACGAGGAGGATCCAGCGTATCCCACCCTCTGAGCTTCGCGTCCTCGTGCAGCTCTACAGGACGTTAGTCCATGGGTTGGAGGTTAGATACAGGGCCGATTCCGCCTCGTCTGCCACTATCGCCGCTTCCTCTTACGGTGCTCCCTCTTCGGTGTACGACAACGGTCGTGGAAGCTCGTGTACAGCCAAAGAAAAGGAAAGAGAGCGGCCAGCGAGGAAGGTTCTCGGGCCTAGGCGTACACTAGTCGTTCCCCCGACGCCATCAACGTCTCCGATCAAACCATCGTCGGTTCGGGCGTCGATTTCGATCCCTTCCAGTACTGCGTCGAGGTTTCCTTTAGTCGAGGACGACGACGATTCCCCTGTGCTCGCTTCCCCGATTCCAGTAATGGGCAGCTCAACCAGGAACCTGCACGCGGACCGTTCTCCTCGTCGGTCGCCCTACGTCTCTCCTTCATCTTCGCCCCCACCCCGCTCGCGTCCCTGCACCCCAACACCGCCTCCCAAGAAAGAGAAACGCAAGTCGAAGGAGGCTTTGGCAGCAGCCCTCGATGTGCAAGATGCCCTTCTTGCCATCCGCTTACGAGGCTTCCTGAAGGCCCAGGGTGTGCAGGAAGGCGATCTCGAGGTCTACGTCGAAGAGACCGGGGTGACTGTTGGTGGGGAAGGGAAGACGAGGGAGGAAAGGGAGCGTGACGAGCTCGGCGCCCTTATCGACGAGTACGCCATGGATACGGAGGACGAGGAGGATGGGAAGGACAAGACGAAGGAAGTCAAGCATCGCAGGGAGGGTCCGTTAGTCGAGGATGAGGACGACGTACCAGTTTCTTCACCGCCGCCACCACCCCTACGACGCAGGCCTGCACCTCTGCTCCATCCCTTATCGGCGTCGACGGCACCATCCCAGCGCCTCTCCTCGCCACCCCCACAGCCCCCAACTTCTCCTACGCTGCCTCCGGGCGAACACAAACCTGTCGTCGCCACACCCCGGATGATTGCCTTGCTTACGATGAGGCATCGTTACACTGTCGCGGCCCGTCGGGCGAGTGAGGTGCGGGCGAAGGAGAGAGAAAAGGAGCGCGAGGCAGGGTTGGAAAGGGAGTTTGGTGGTAAAGACAAGGCGGTCGAAGGAGGGGCAGGAAAGAAGGGAAGAAAAAGCGGGTTGAGAGTTGTGTGGGTAGAAGAGCAGGAAGAGGAAATATTGGTTGAGGATTGGTAGATTGAAGTCGCCTTATCCCCAGGTTCGGTGGGATGGGTGAGATGGAATGGAGAACCAGGGCGAGGACAAAGAGATGCCGGGATCTAGTCGCAGGCGGGCAGCACAGATATCTGGAAGGGGTTGACCCCTTCCGCTGCGTTGAGGCTATGCCTCCGCATCTAGTGCTGAGCACACTCAGAACGTTTTCCTGCCGTGCGGGACTCGTAAGCCCTTTGCTTTCTTTTGAGGATGCCTCGTGCTGACGTAAATCATTGTAATAGGTCTCTACTGCTGCACGACTACTCGGCCGGAAGACTTGACTGGAAGACCACTTGAACCTCCGACACTTGACAATACCTCGTTGAGCAGGCTCGAGCGCTCGCTGGCGGCTAGCTCGCCACGCGCTCGTCAGCTCCTAGGACCTTGGTTCATTCGTTGTCGTCTGCGTTCGCCGTCGGGTCTTCGGTACTCCATAGTTTTGTCGTCATCGCTGTTTTTTGTCGCCGTCGCCGTTGGGAGTGGGAGCACCATCGACGGGTCGTTCTCTATCGTCTTCCTTCTTGTCGCCATCTCTTGCTGTTCTTTCCTCTCTTGCACATCCTTACCCATGTTCGCCGTCTACCAATTCCGTCATTGTTCATCACCACCATTAGGTCATATCCTTTGACCCCACATCAATACACCCTTGTTTACTACATTCTTCTCCTTGTGCTTTCGCTTCAGTTTCCTTCTGGTCTGGTTTCTGAATTTTAATTTGGGCTTTTGATTTTCTTCACATCATTCGTCATTTTTTTGTTTTTGTTTTCATCGCTCTCACGTTCTCGGTGTTCCATGCTTCTCCAGCCTCGTTTAAAATTTAAGCACCGTCCATAATGGCGCCTTCATGCCTCGTCCTTACCTTCTACTTCTTGCATCTTTTCTTTTTCTTTTTCATGACCCTTGTCTTTGATCTCCATCGCATCGATCCTCATCATCACGCATAATCGCATCTATACAACGTTCCCGCTTCTGCACCCATCCATTGATCTACGCATTTCTACACCCTACGCCACACCCTCGGCAACGCAACTCATGCTTGAGCAGCGTCTTGATTGACGCCGTTCGCATTCGAGGCGTAACCCGCCACCTACCCCCACGCATTGACATGCAGCCGCACATACGTTCGCAGTGCGTCTCCACCCACTTGCGCTTGATGCCACATCTCTATTTTTTTTACGACCTTTCACGACACGCACTACCTACGTTATGCTAGCACATCACGCTTTATTCTTGATTCTGGACACTTAGGTTTTGGTTTCTACTCTAGTTGACTAGTACGCACTTCTTCGGAGCATACCGTATCGCACGTACCCATACCACACAGCACGAAATACCACACATACCACAGTGATTGACATACGTCGACTGCACATACAAATGAAATCATAATGCCACTTCGTCAGTTGGAAAATAGGTTATTCTTCGAAGTCTGCACCCACCCCGCGTTGCAGTGCAAAAGCATGAAACCGTTCGAGTGCGGGGAATCAAACCTCGAACAGTAAGAGGGGAAATCGAGTAAATTGCTGTAACTAGTTCGGGTATATTGAAATGCTCCCATTTCAGACTTTCAATTTTCGGCACAAGGAGGACACTTAACCCCCACTAATTTCCTCGACATAACGAAGCACCCGTTGGGTTGATCATTCCCCACTTGGTACTTCTTGGCCTCTGGTGCCACTTATGTCCTTGTTCTATCCATTCTAAGCTTGGCCATCACACGAGGCGATATCGAGAACTGATACCGGGGACAATAAGCCCAAGACTGTAATGATGCCCGAGCGGAACACACAATCACGTCAAGAACCACAGGGTTTTTCCTGGAGGAAAATTGCAAAGAGAGGACCCATATCCTAATTTGGCGTCGCTTATGTTCACCGTCTATTCCGTTAGATTGAGACGACCACCCACTGGTGGCTTGGCTTTATGCAGGCACATATACAATTGTCGCTTTTGTACCCTTGTTGGAGCGAAAAGAATATAAAAGGACGGAGGATTAGGATTTACAGTAATCCTCTATCAAGTACCTGAGTACCAATCTCCGCTGCACCATCGGATGTCCCGTCTCGAAGAAACACGAAATTCCCTAATACTCGACGAGTACACTGTGAAACTCGTTCCCTACGGAACGGACAATGCCCCTGTGCTTTTAGGTGATCTGAGTGGAACCATAAATTTCCAGGCACCCGGGGGAGGAAACGGAGCCACATGGACTCTACGTCGCCCCCGGCGCGAAAATAAGCCATCTATTCCACGTTTGGCAAAACAGCTACTGGAAGTTGCAACAATACAGAGGAAGCTTCCAGTGGAGGATGAGACAAATAATTACCCAATCGAAGTTCAACTCCGAGGCTGTAAATTAACGACATTCCCCGACAAGCAGTCCTTCGCCCCCGAACTCGGTATCATGCCCGTGGGGTCAACAGCTCGGTGCAGAATGCTAACGGGCTGGTAAGTATCGCTCGGTTCGCATGGCGGATCTCAAGGAACTCATCGTCCTGTTTGACACCAGGGCAAAGAGACTGGATATGATGCTGTATGAGATTAATACAGTCAATACATGGCGAGGAATGCGGTGGAGCTTGGTCCCACTCACAGAGCCATACACGTCGTGTACCCTTATACTAGAATCGGTAAGAACCGAATTCATGAATCATGATTTCTTTCTTCTCACTGAACGCGTGTAGTTCAAGGGAAAGCCTCTAGCAAGAATACAAGTGAAGACCGGAGGTTGGGCACTCGAAGACGCAGAGAGTGCAGTAATGACGAGAGCAAATGCTTCACTCGAGTTATCCGTTCACGTTATCGTGTATAAAGGGGAAGGAGTGCACGAAGAAACCGAGCTTTCCTTGACTAGCGCAGCAACTGTGGCCCTGTTAGCCCATGTTTTCTGCAGAAACCTTGGCATAAATGATGACATAGAGGAACCCAACACGGAAGAAGCAATGAAGGATAAAGCAAAGGAACGAACAGAACCTCCACAAGCCTGCTCTACCTCACCGAGACGTTCTCAACCTCAACCTCAAACTGAGCGCTCAATGGACGTTCATCCTGTAGAGAGAAACGGCAGCCAAGAATCGAGAACACCAGCAACCGAAAAGCGCCCAACATACGAGTTCGTGTCGCCTGCATCGCTCACACCCGACGAATTTAGTGACTGAGTTGATTTGATTGAAATTTGACGGAGAAAGCGCCTGCATGGAAGTTCGAATATCGGACATTTAATACTTAATACTGAAATGTCATACGATGCCTAATGTATGTCTGATCTTGACTGGGCAAGGCTTAGGGAGGATATAAATCATAATTCCCGTGCTCTTGACGTCCCCTGATGCCACCTGTGCGTGCTTTCGGCAGCGCGTATGTGACGGGAGGGTGACGAATCACCAGTCCAGACACACGGCGACCTCAAAAAGACAGGTGTAAACGGTCGATTCAAAGTCAAGGTATCTACGTGTAACGTAGGCTATACAGCCGTAGATAGCTTATCTAGTCGTGATCTTATCAGTACGCGTAAACGAAAATGAGTAAGCCTTGGACTTGTGACGAAGACCACGGCGTCTCGCCACAGCGTAAGTACTCCATGGTATTTGATGGTGCGGGGGAGCTGAATTACCCAGGAGGTCCCGGTCAACCCCATCCAGATGTCTGTACCGCCCGGCGCCCACGATTTCATTCCGGCATTCCTTCGTTCTCTCCTTAGCTCTCCATCCCACGTTGCCCAAGACGACCGCCCAAGGCAGAGGTGCAGGCCTGCGTCGTACCGGGGGTGGTGGCGGCGACACTCCACGTCCTTCACAATGTCATGATGCTACCCCGTACACCGACGCTCAAAACCGTCTCTGGCTGACGGTGCTCGACCAGCAAGACGCGCAGTTGATGGCTGAACGCTGAACTGTGGCAACTAATGAACCGGGCGGCCTGTTCTCTGGTTGAGGCTATGGCTCCGCGTCAAGTGCTGAGCACATTCAGAACGATCTCCTGCCATGCGGGACTCGTAGGTCCTTTTCCTTCCTTTGTGGATGCCTTGAGCTGAAGTGAATCATTGCTATAGGTCTCTTTTGCCACACGGTTATCCGACCGCAAGAGTTAACCCTTCGACCCTTCGACTCTTCGACCCTGCTCGAGCGCTCGTTGGCGGCTAGCTTGCCACGCGCTCGTCGGCTCCTAGGAGCTTGCTTCGCTGTCTGTTGTCGTTTGCGTTGTTCGTCGTCGTCATCGTTGAGCCACGACTCTGTCTTGTCTTCTTCGCGCTATTCGTCGCCATCGCCGCCGCCGTTGTGAGGGCCATCGACGGATCGCCCTCTCGTTTTCCTTGTTGCCATTTCTCGCTGTTCATGACCGCCGCTCTCCTGTCTCGTACGCCTTTGCTCATTTTCGCCGTCTACCCTATCCGTTATTGTTCGTGGCCGTCCCTATAATGTCCTTTCAGTTCAATCTACAAGTCGAATCCCGGCGCCAAGGCCTCTATCGATATCCTCCAAGGTTTCAATTAAAAGCTCCCGTCTGAAATCGTAATGCCACTTCATCCGTTGGAAAGTAGGTTATTCTTTGAAGTCTGCACCCACCTCGCAAAAAGCATGAAACCTTTCGAGTACGGGGAATCGAACCCCGAGCTACCGCGTGAAAGGCGGTAATGTTAGCCGTTACACCATACTCGAGCGCAACGCGCGCATCTTCGTTCCTGCTCCCCCAATGACAAGGAAGTCTGAGTTACACTTTAAGAGGATTCGAAGCACTAACGCATTCATTCAATTCAGAATATACAAATTCCAGTAGTTGCTGTAGACTAAGGCTATCCTAGCCATCCAAATCCAAATCAGTCATCGAACAATGTAACTTCGAAACCTTCCAATTTCACCGTGAGCTCCTCATTCTCCTTCCCCTCGCCTTCGGGAACGGTCGGCCTGGCTCCATAGACGCCCACCAACATCGTCCTGCCACCTGCTGTTGCGCCCTCATAGTCTATCACATCCGGCCCGAACACCCACGCAACCTCCCTAATCGCATGCCTCTCTCCATTCTCGCCAACGACGTAGACCCACAGGCTCTGAAGGCGTTTGTCCCCTTTGGTCTCTCTCTCCACGTGAATTGTGACTTTGCCACCCGCGCTCTCGGGGAGGGGTACCAAGCTCCAATCAGATGCCGATGCCGTTGCGACGGTGCCGACGAATGGTTTCCCGAAGACGAACTCGATACCGGTCTTGACCCACTTCTTCAGGTCATCTCCGAGAATGTAGAGGACAATCCCACCCTGGTCATACAAGGTGTTCCACTCGCCCGAGACGGTGACGTTGGCAGAGCGAAATTTGTTGAGGTCGATGGGTTCGGGGAGGAAGATGGCCGGGACATTGCCGACGTCGATGTGCGGGGGCTTGCGCCAGAGGTCTGTCTTTGGCGGGGCATTGATAGTGAGGGGCGGAAAGGATATTTTGGTGGGCAGGTTTGTCGTTGGCAAAACCTGAGGGATTGCGAGAAAGGGAGCGTGAATTGCTGGGGTGGTCATCGTGAAGATATTTTCTCGCGTCTTGTCGTGAAACAGAGCTGAACGCAGAAATTTATGGTTTACCGTCAGCCCCACGTTCCGAGGAATCGCCGCATCTACGACCGCCTGACGAACTTCAAGGTGTTCGAAGAGCTTTTCGATTACAAAAAATTCACCTGGGTCCACTTCTGTTCCATGTGCTCTGTTGGAGATTGATGATGAGGCGTGATGAGATCGCACAATTTTTCTAAAATAACGGCAGACATCCGGTGAAAGAAGGCTCTGCCCCCTCTTCCGAGCACTTTCATAAATAACGATCAGCCTTTTGCGCTTTCCTCTGCTCAGAACCGATTGGGTCATATCGATGGATTTTAGAGAAACTGCCAGCCTTGCCAACAACCTCTTCTGCCTCAGGTTAGTGTTGGTAAGCTCTGTTACGCTCACGGAAGCCTAGATAGGCCCAAGGATCATTTGAATAGCTAAATGGCCCATCATTCTTAAAATGATTGACATAGGTTCGTAGGATGGTTGGTCTTGGGGTTCAATACATACACTCCATCTACAAAAAAGGAAACATCAAAACGCCACAGTTGCCGTTGCTGGTCTCGTCCCAAGCGTCCACCTATAGTTCTAGAATCCTCAAGAAACTGGATAAGTGATTAAAACATAGAGCTGAAGGAAAGCTTGAATACAAGACGGCGATGATTTCCTGCCCCTCCTCCCCGTCAGACACGAACATTCCCACTTCGTCTCAAACTCCCTAACCCCGAGGTTTCTCCGGTCAATTGCATAGCGCACATCTCATGGTCCCCATTGGCACCGAATCTCCAAAAGGAATTCATGACTGATATGGCGTTCAAATTGCGTGAAACGTCTTCATATTTCTTTCCGTCAAACAACAGATGGATAAGGATCACTGACCTTCTCAGACGTACAACATTCTACATGTGAGTCAGCTGAAACAAGTACGGGTGACTTGAACTGCTAAAGCAACCCTCTAACTTGCATCCATTGCCCGAATCTTACATACAAGACGGAGATGGCTTCCCGCTCTTGATACCTAGTCTTTCGCCTTCGCCTTCGGTGCTGTGGAATTTCCACTGACGAAGTTTTCCCGTATTCCAGCATGCCTGCCGTTGTCACCTGTTTCCGTCAAAAATTTCACTCACATAAATTGTGGGCCCCGCCACTAGGCTTATTGCTAATAAAATTGTTTCGACGACAGGAAAGATTGAATGATTGGATGAAAGACATTACCCGATCATGGACTCCTACATCATCCGCTACCTTCCCGAGACGAAAGCCAGAACCCGTAGCTAGAGAAAACACGTTCATTAGCTATGAGATATTTAAATGTCTATACGAGTACATCGAGAGCAATGGCGAAATAAACGACATACGATGCACACGAATGATACATACGCCTGCTGGATTCCATTACTTGTTCTTCTGCATGCTCGCACGCCCGTCCCATTTACTTACTCAACCTAAACTCTCATTAAACATGATGCGGACACCTCGCGCCGGCGCCCCTGGGAGCCACTCCATCAAGATGATCTTCGCGGCCGCACGAAGGCTGTGGACGACCTTCAACCCAGCCCAGAAGATCACACACTCGAGGTTGCTGAAAGGCTCAGACCACCGTGGAGTCGAGCGAGGACCCGTCGGAGGCGCAGCCTACGAGTTCGATGGCATTAACAAGTATACACTCCACGATGAGCTCAGTGAGGGCGTGTCGATGGATAGCATGAAGTAGGGCAGAATGGTTGGTAGATGCTGATACGGGCTCGCGAAGGACGCGGATGGGCTCGGAGAGGACGTAATGAGACGATGGCGGAGAAGATGGAGTAGGCTTGACATGGAAGTTGACCAGGAACTGGAATGTGCGGAGGTGTGCAAGGATGCTGAAATCGATCGGACGAGGTAGGCCTGGTGAGGAGGATCAGGCGTTGAGAACGAGAACGCTTAGGAATGATGAAAACATACGGAGAACGGGGCCTCGAGTCCTCGTCGCTGGCCGCCACTCGGGAGACAGCCCCCTGCTCACTGCATTAGCTCCCACAGCTCAGCGATCATTTGCATATCTTGCTGGTCAAGCACGGTAAGACTGAGGGTTTTGGGAGACGGTGTGCGATGCCGCACCAGGAGGTTGTGAAGGACGTGAAGCATCGCGGCCGACGGTGCCTTGAGGACGAGAGTTTCGAAGGAGGAGCCAATGAGGCGAACTCCAACACGACTCCGAGCGAGTGCGTGAGGTACGCCGCGTGCACATGAACGTCACCCAGCCTGTCCTTTTTCACGGTCCCCAACGACACGGGGTGGGAGATCTTTGATCTGGGTGAGGGAGAACGACTAGACGGCGGGGCATCTTACGAGCTGCACGAGGGCATGGAAAATGGTCGGGTGGACGATGTTGAACAAAGCGCGGAGGTTGGGAGGAGGTCGAGGAGGTCGCAGAGGCTCTTCTATTCAACGAGCCACCCCCAATCCTTGTCATTCCCCTTGTCCCGGATGTATGTGTCGGACTTTTGGCAGGGCGAAGTTACGAGGCGTCTCCTTTTCGTCTTGGGTTGCCAGCGCATCAATAACGAGTTCGACGGTGTCGGAAGGTTAATCGATTTTATGGTTATTTCAAGAGGAGAGAAGTCGATGAGCCAACAGAATGTCTGAGGACCCAGGTGTAGCTTACTCAATCGTTCATTCCAAAAACGGAAGATGTTTCCCAGGCACCTCCTGCAAAGGCGTCATTCCCCGCCCACCGTCATTCCCTGCCTGACCAAGATGTCTTAGACTTTGTTAGGCCTTGTTCTCTGGCTTTCCTTCGGTTCATCAATCTCGTCACGGAGACTCGACTCACAAGAAAGAACTACCTTTGTTCTTTTTCCGAAATGAAAACACGATAATTACTGCAAAGAGACAAAGGAACCACCCCACCCACAACACGCACGAGGCTGTTAGGCGCCCAGCTGTCACCCTATCGCGATGGCACTACTGATAAGGCTCCCACAACTCACTCTCTTCTTTGAACCACCACCATGCCTCAAAGCGCGAAGGAGGAGGTTCAGACGACCGCCCTCATCAAGGGTATCCTCAACGGATATCCAGGAAACTCGGCCATATTCCGCGAATACCTTCAGAATAGCGACGACGCAGGGGCGACTAAACAGGTGAGTCTTTGATGAGCAGCGATGCCGCGGCCGCTGACGACGACTGCAAAGATCTTCATTCTCGACGAACGCCAATACCCGACCGAATCTCTTCTCGACCCAGTCTTAGAAGACACGCAAGGCCCGGCCCTTATTGCTGTAAACAACGGCGTCCTGCGAGATAGCGACTGGAAAGCCCTCAAGAGCATCCACTCATCGAGCAAGAGTACGGACGAAACGTATGTCCCTATTGTGCTTCGTAAGCCATCTTGGACGTTGATGAACTCATTTAGCCAAACCGGCAAGAATGGGTTGGGGTTTCGGGCTTCATATCACGTAGGTTGCTCTTGATTTTCCAAAGCAATGCCGCCACTGATCATATTTGGCTCCGTAGCTAACTGAAAACCCCGAAGTGTTCTCGGGCGAGACCCTCATGGTCCTGGACGCCCACCGCGAATTCAAGGAATACCCAGGCGGAATATCTATCAACGTGGTTTCGGAAGGACATGCGTATTCCGACCAGCTCGCTCCATTCAAGTCAGTCGTAAACGACCCCTTCCAGAAATACGAAGGGACTGCCTTCCGTCTGCCTCTCCGAACCGAAAAGCAGGCAGGACGCAGTCAGATCAAGCCAGGCGAACCAACCTTGATCCAGGAGATACGGGATCTTCTCCTGGGCTTTGGCTCTGACGAGCTCGAGCAGACCGTTCTTTTCTTGAAAAACATCAAAACGATTGAGATACGCCACATCAAAGCCAACGGCCTCGATACGTTCATTGGGCGTGTGCGGGTTGAAGATGTTAGCTCATTGCAGGCCACACTGACCGGGTTGCCTATCCGTCGTACAACATTGGAAATGGCCGACGGTGCAGCCCGTGTTCGCGATTGGTGCTTCCACCATAGAGCGTTCGACAAAGCCGAAGCGAGCCGCCTCCTGTCGAAGCGGTTGGGATACGACATCGGCGATGCCTTGACCGCCGAGAAACTAACGCCCAACGTCGACATCGCCTTCCCACTTTCAGGGGACCCAATTCACGGATCGCTCTACACACTCCTTCCCCTGCCCATCCGGACCGGGTTCCCGGTTCACCTCAACGCCATTTTTGCACTAACCCCTGACAGACAGAGCCTCAAGAATCGTCAAGAAATTGGCCTCCCTCATTCGAGAGAAAGGTATTTTACGTTGTCTAATATTTCTCATTGATTATCGGGTTGACATTTTCCATTCACTTTCAGGCGCCTTATCGAATGGAACCGCCTCATTTTCGATGAATACGCGCCGAAAGTTTGGGCCGATCTCCTCTTGAAAGTCACTGCTAGCCTTGGCGCGTCTGCATGCTGGACAGCATGGCCATCTCAAGAATACGACAGCGAGAGCTATTGGGTAGATCTACCTGGAGCATTGGTAAACGAAGTCGTTCAGCGAGGTCTCTGCGTCTTCCCAACAATCGCGAAACCCCGTTTTATATCCCTTAGCGATCGACAGACCCTCATCTCACCAACAAATCCCTCCGTATCCTTGGAATCACTGGCTTCTTTGGCGCTCGACGTTGTCCAGCCACCTTCCCACATTTATCATCTCCTCCAGACATCCTCTCCTCGGCCTAGCGCCTCCTTTCTTTCCGCTCAGCGTTTACACGAAATTCTTCTCGATCGATCCCCCCGTGTATCGTGGCCATCGCTGGGGAACAAGGACGTATTCCGCGATGTCATGGACTACCTCGTATTCTCGTCGTCGATACCGAACTACTCGCTCATCATCGGCTTGCCGTGGTTCTACCTTTCCAACAAGCCTGCCGGCCTTATCGGCCTAACTTCGAATGTACACGAGCAGAAGTATTTTGTTCCCGCAACTGAAGAGGAGGCATCACTCTTTGCGAAGCATGACTGCTTAATTTCCTATGACTGCATGTCATCCCGTTTGCGCAACGTGCTTCTGTTGCCCGACTCGAGCAAGTACCTGAACGTCGCGCCCCTCAACCCTATGGAGGTTATCTCGTACTTAAAGGTCAATTCAAATCCTGATGTACCTTGGGTGATCAGGTTTTGGACCTGGCTCGAACGCTGGGAGAAAAGGAAGTTGTTTTTCAAACGATTACTCGCGTGCGGCGGTTCTCTTCCCCTCCTGCCCACCGCTTCCGGGGCTGTCAGGAAAGTGTCCGACAAGATGGTCTCGTTCCAGGACACCGATGATGCAAGTGTCGCATCCTGGAAGACTGTCGGAGTGTACGGGCCACATTCCGATCTCACGAATCAGGTGGTAGCAATGCTACGTGACCATTCCTTGATTGTTAGCCCTCGTTCCCCAGATTACATTCCACTCCTCCTTCGATCTTGCAACCCCACCCTCATGTCCGGGCTGACTCCCACGACGTCGTTTCGCGACTCCTTCTACAACGGATTGCCACCATATGGCGAAGTCTCGCCCTTGAGAAAAGAAGACAAGTATGTTCTTGAAAGCCTCCCAATCTTCTCGGTGCGGGACCCTACCGACGGACGCCCATCTTTGGGCTGTGTGAACGGCTCGCGGATACACGTTTCCATACCGGATCAGGAGTTCCCCCTTCCTTTTCTACTTCGTTTTCCGCCCGTCATATACATAGACACCAACGACTACAAGACGAAGTGTCTGGCACAGCTTCTTGAGCCGATTGCGCCAAAGGACACGTTTGGCTTACTAACGCTTGCCATCGACCACTGGAATGATCAGAACTTCGACCTGCAGGGAAAATTCGTCGAGGAGATGGTCCGCCACTGGTATCGGCTTCCAGCTGGCCTAAAATCAAGGTTGAAAGATCTGCCTTTCGTGACTGTCAACGGTCTCGACAAGCGTGTTAAACCACATGGTCTAATTAACCCTAAATCTTCTCTCAGAATCTTGTATACTGGAGAACCTGGTAAAATACCTTCTGGTCGCTTTGAAGAGGATGACTACATCGCAGTAATGCAGAGCGCAGGATTCTTCCCATCGTCTCTCACGGAGCGTGTCGTCTCAGAACGCCTCGCCTATCTCTCTTCCGCCCCTAGAAATGCATACACTATCGAGAAGTCCCGCCATCTCTTCGAGCAGCTCAATCAAAGTTGGAGTCAAGCATTCTGCGATGCCGTACGCAGTCATCGCTCGTCCGAGTGGCTTCCAGCTGCTTCCGGCTTGCTAGCGCCACATGCTTCTCGCGATGACTATGTTGGCGAGAACGCCAATCCTCACTTCTACGATTTAGCACTGACACTGCTCCAGAAGTCCAGCGCCACTTCGAGAGGGTTACGCACTGCGCTAGGATGGTCGGATACCGTTCCGTTTGGCATTCTAGCTGACCAGCTCCGTCTCACGATCGAACTGTCTCATAGCCACCAACGCGTTCGGAGACTGGAAGACATGCTCCAATATCTGAGTGCTCTTTTCGAACGCAATCATCTCTCTGGTCGCGAGATGGAAATTTTACGCGCCGTTGTCGCGGACAAGTCATGGATTCCCGTTTCTTATACCGAGACAGTTCCGTCAAGATATGCCCTTCTTGGGGAAAGCGGACTCAAACCGCCGTTCCGCCCAATTCGACAACTCGAAATGTCCCGGTTTCTTCGACAGATGGGTTGCCACGACCAGTGAGTTAGCTTTTTTGTCTGGGTTGAAATAGAACACGTGGTAAAATTGTGCTCTCCAGACCTCTTACTGCGACACTACTTGATGAACTGAAGAAGCGGCCGAGCCCGCAGCCTTCCGAAGTGGATCTTGTGGTTTCACTATTACACGAGATTTCGAAATCCCCCAGCAATGTCGATCAATCACTTCTTTGGGTTCTCGGGCGCGACCTGCGCTTACATCGATTCGAAGATGTGTACTTCCCAGACGTTCATCAGCTTTTTGTTCCAGATGCATTGAAGGATAAAGTTGGAACTCATCAGGCTATATCTCGCACACTGGCTGACGCCTTGGAGATTCAAACTCTCAGCGCCCTTATTCTGCAGCTCGGGGACTTGGATGACTCGGATGATGAAGAACAGATGTCGGAAGACCTCACAGGACGCATCCGAGGCTTCCTCCGCGAGTATGACGAGCGCTATGCATTTAACGAGTTTCTAGCAAATGCCCATGATGCCGGCGCCAAAAAGTTCTCGATCGCGATCAGCAATCCCTGGCCCCCTTCAACCACCACAAACGGTCTTCAGGTTATTTCGCCGGAATTTAGCGGCCTTCGGGGATGCCATTCTTTGATCTTGCATAATGATGCACTTATGAGCGACGCGGATTTCAAGGGTCTGCGACAGGTTGGCCAAGGTGGAAAACTCGACCAATTGGATACCCATGGCAGGCATGGCCTTGGAGCCTTGAGTTTTTATTATTTCAGCGATGTGCGTCGTCTTGCTTTTGCTACATGGATTTATTCTAATGCAGACCCCCAGGTTGCAATCGTACTCTCAGGCAAATATGTCATGATATTGGATCCATCTGCCAGGTATTTGCCGCGTACACGCAGAGGCGGGAGGCGTACCGCATTGAAGAGAACACTCGAGGAAATGATCAGGTAATCCACTGCCATTTTGGTCGGCGCACGACTGAATTTATGTTACCTCTGTGCAAAGCTCGTATCCCGATCAGCTCGCCCCATATGAGAATGTTTTGGGATTCTCCGTCAAGGAGCGCCACTACGCAGGGGTAAGTGAGTAGTTTCTCACTACGACATATCTGACATTTTCTTCGATTTGCAGACATTGTTCTGTCTCCCTCTATCATCGACAACACGGGATTGCAGGTCATTTATTTGCGAACGGCCATGCAATCTTGCTGCCACAATTGCCCACATAAATCAAACATATCGAGAGCTTGCTCGGAATGCGTTCTACTTTACTCGCCTGGAGCGTATTTCAGCATGGGACGGCATTCAACCTATTTGGGAAGCATCCGCAAGTCGCTCCGCAGTCCGAGAGCTCCAAGATAGTTCGTTCACCCGCGAGGACGTCCGTATCAGTTCGCACCATACGGGAACCTCGACAGAAAGTTGGATAGTTGCCACTTCTACGGTTTCTATTCCGATTGAGCACACCTCCACCGCGCTTTCACTTAAGCTCGGTCCGCAGAGTAAGTTGAAAGTTCAGTTGGCACTTAGATTGCCTTCTGGATCCAATATCGAGGAGCGCTACAATACTCCGAAGGACCATTACCTTTTTTCAACCCTACGTCTACCCAAGACGACATCCCTCCCATTCCATCTTAATGCCCGCTTTGCCATCTCTTCGAATCGTCAGAACCTTGTGTTCGCCCCACCTGATAGTTCCGGCAAGCTGGACGCGAAATCAAGCTTTAATGCGTGGATTCTCGATGTCGTCGTACCGCCTCTATATCTGGCCACACTCGAACACCTCATTAGCAAAGCGGAGATGCGGCGCCAATTCTTCCGCAATGTATGGTGGTTGATTCACCCTCGCGACGAAATTTCCAAGTTGGTTTCCGCCAGCTTTTTCAGACATTTGCCATCATCGACAGCTCGGCTTTTTGAAGCTACTCGTAGCGAGGGAACTTTGCTCTCGTTCCAGGAAAGCGTGTTTTCGATTCATGAGCCACAGGAGGTGTGCGAAATATTGAAGACGATCAAGATACCCAAAGTTGTGACCTTACTTCGTCGGTTACCCATCGTTCACAACCTCAAGGACATCAAGTATATGAAGACTATTGACCCCCCATTCGTGAAAGGGGCCTTACTCGGTGCCATACCAGCTGAAATTCAACGGGGATCCGAGTGTGATGGCCCGACGTTTGAAAAGCAGATCATGGCAACTCTGGGGTACATACGAGGTGAACCACCCTTTCCTGGTTTGCCTCTCGCAATTTTAACCTCTGGAGCACTCGTCTCCGTTCCGGGCATGAATGACCCGCCTATCTATTTTTCCGAGCGATCGCACGCATCTTTGTTCCCGACAACCAGGTTTTTGAGAGCCAGCTACGACTCTGAGACTATCCGAGCTCTCCTTGATGATCTGAGCACTCATATTCTCGAATTGACCCAAGATACCGTAATGCCGCTCTTCATACAGGAATTCGAAGGCCTTCCGGACGACAATGCTCGACGGCGACTGCTCGAAACATTCTGGAGCTTATACAGCACCCTCCCCGGCCCTCCAGATCTCTCCAGCATTGAGCAATCCGATTACAAGGTTGTCCAAGGCGTATCACGCAACTTGTCGCTCAAAGAATGCCAACCGGGTCAGATCTTGCTGCTCAACAACGCCGGGAAGCCCCCAGAGTGGATTCTCGCCGCTTCCCAGAAGCTCGGAATCGAGACCGTTAGTGTCAAAAGCAATAGGTCGCTGAGAGGTTATCTCTCGAAACGTTTTTCTGATGACATTTTTACCGACTTCTTGAAGTGCCTGGAGACAATTGGGGTTTCTCGCATCAATGGGACCATAACCGAAAACGAGCGGAAGGAACTTCGTGCTGGGATCGCGTCTCGTCTGTCTGATTGGCGGCGTTGTGATCCAGGGGTTAGCAAAGGTTATCTTCGCAGTTTGAAGCTCTGGGAATCTTGGTCGACCTCCGGTGATCAAGTCTCTTCTGCTGATGAGCTAGTCAATGCAATCCTCCCGTCATTCTTTCCGCTCGCCTCCATCAAGCGTTATCTTGCCCCAGGACATTCTATATCAGAGTATTCTTCTAACCTCACGGAATTCATTGCTTATCCGCGCCCAAGGAAGCGAAAAGCAGCACCTACATTTGTCATGTCACCCGCCGACATGCTGAAAGTCATCCGTTGGCCTGAGCGGCTTTCGGAGGAGCAAGAAGTGCATGCTTTCAAGGACTTCCTCGACAACATGCTTGGATTCAGCCTCTGTAGTTTTCCATCGAAAAGTCTGTACGTCCCAGACACCGATGGAGTTTTACGACTTTTCAGCGACCTGTATGACCACAATGTGCCACTCTTCTCAACGACTCTCGTATTCACTGAAAATTCTTCTTTTATGCACGAGGAGTTTCGCGCCACTGGAAGACTTTCTATGAGAGCTGCACGCCAGCTAGGACTCCAGCACGAAGTCACCTTGCTGACTTTCCAACGCTGCGCACAGACCGTCCAACAGGCGTTCGAGATGCACCTCCGAGGTCAGGAACATCCAACACGCACCGAAGTCACCAACATGGCGAGAATCACCTTCAATCAGTATTGCACTGCCCTACCCTCCCTGCTCATGACCAACCGCGGTGCATGGAACTCCCTCGACGAGATTTCTTTCGTTCTTCGTGACGACTCTCGGCGGCGAGGTGCCTCTTACTACGTCGACCCGTACTGCGGCCCTCGGCTCAGTTTACTCCTGCCGCCATCGAGGTTCTTACTGCGCAAATACGAGCCAGTTGCGTGGACGCAGAGGGCATTGTTCCTTGAAGATGAAGAGCCCGAAGATGATATTTTAGCTGTACACAGAAATTTGGGTGTGCCAGGCATCTCCGAAGTGGTGCGTGTATTCTGGCATTCATTCTCAAATTGCTCCGATATCTGATTCCCACTTTGTGGTGTCTTATAGGTGGAGCATCTTCGAATCCTCGCGACGCAGATTGGGCTAGATCACCCGAAGGACCGAACGCTTATCTTCGATCTAAAGGCCACGTATGAATGGCTTAACGAACGCGCAGATCAGGCGGGCCAATATCTGGCCCCCTTCGTTGACGAGCGCTTATTCCTGAACGTCGTCGACCCCATCGAGGATACCTGGGATGGACAGTGGTCCGCGGCTAGCGAGCTGGTGCTGAACATGCACTACGATACAAACAGAAAGAAGCGAGTCAACAGCTTTCTCCGCAAGTATGACGCACTCCTGCGGGCGGCTGGATGCAAGACTTTGAACCTCCAGTCCGTCAGAGAGGAGAGATTGGCACCAGCAACTACTGGAACATCTTCACATTTGAGAGATGCATTCGACAGGATGCGAAAGGACGGAATCTTCCTCGACGTCATGTTCGTTCATGCACCGGATTCGCCAGAGACAGAGGGGTTCCAGATTCCTGCACACAAGGCATTCGTCGCTGCGGCCATTCCGCATTTCCGGGAGATGACATCCCAGGGACTTGATGCGAAGGAGGGAAAGTTCGAATTTGAGGGGACGAAGTTTGGAGCAGAGGCGCTGCTTAGTGAGTTCGCTGTCGTCTTCAGAGTGTTTCGAAGCTCATTTATTGTCAAAGATTTCATCTACACTGGAGATTTCCAAATAGACGCACCGGAAGACAACGCTGAGGCCTACATGATACTCTTGCGCGATCTTCTCGAGCTGCTGCCGATTGCCGACAGGTGGGGGATGGAGGAAATGAAGGCGAAAATTGAGTGGTCCATCATTCACAAGTACGACATGATCCAGCGACTCCCTGATTCGGAGGCATTCAATCTGAGTAAGCTCTCACTGTTTCTCTCTTACAGCTGTGGCGCTTACATGGAATTTAGTATCAGAGGAGGCAATAAAATATCACGCCGATGGGCTCAAGGAAGCGTTGGAGGAATTCAAACGCAAGAATGGCGAACTTTTGGATTAGGATGATAATTATCTGATTGTTGGATACTAGTAAGAGGTCTGTAGTTGAAGGAATCAAGGATGAACGTTCTGTGTACAAATGTGCTTAACATCCAAGAAATTTGGCGGAATGGCACGACGGATTGAAGACGATTTTGAGGCTTTCTCAGAAGTCAAAGGTTGTAACTGATAGCAGCTCGAAAATCATTGGGAAAGGCCGCATTAGCTCTGGTATATCTCGCTCTATCCCACTGCCGCTTATTATACCCTAGATGCTTTGCTCGCGAGTTCTGACTGCTACTGTTGTCGGCGATCGTTGTCGAATTTCTCCCCTGTCACCGTCATTGTGTTTGAATTCTAACACTCCCATGGACCCTTGCCTGAAAGCCACGGGCACAGAGCCTTTCAAATGAACAGTAGACAGCAAGTACCAAGTCGACGGCCTTTGTCTCCCAAGAGATTGTACGACCAGCTCTGGTGTCTCCTATGGAGCGACTATCAGAAGATTATCAGAGGAACTCTCCAAGATATCGCCTAAGTTCCCTGCCTCCTGTAAAACTGGTGCCAACAATGAGCGTGAGCTCGGAGCGATGCACCTATTAATTTCTCAAGCCCATGGCCACTGGGGGGCTTTCCTCGCTCAAGGGCAGGGTCCAAGACCAAGGCACTTCGTGCCCGTAACGAAGTCCAGGCCATGACAATTTGGTCACATACTTAGGATGTCACAGCCCAGTAGGAGTATTAAAGAAGGCGCCGACGCGGTGACGCCGGCGACCTTCCAAACACCCGCCATGATTATGAACGTGAACGCTTTTACGACCTCTATCCTCAAAATAGTTCTCCTTACGTCGTTAGCGTCGTCTTCGAATGCTCAAGAGAACAGAAGAAGGAAAACTCTATATTTACCAAATGTCATAGCAGGAGCGGTAGTCGGTGCGTGGCCTTTCTCTTCCGATTTGACAAGATATCTCATCACAGCACTTTATTTTCGTCCAGGTGGTCTTTTTTGCATATTCTTCATCTGCATGCTCACCGTTTGCGGGCGCCGCCGGCGCCAAAATCGAGTCTCCGCCGTTACGGCAACGCTCGGTGGAGGGCCTCCTCAACCTCAGTTTGGGGCGAAACCGATGTTCGGTGGACCATGGGGTCGCTCGAACGTCGGTGAATCCAGCCCGAATTACCAGCCACCACAGGCCGCGTATAATCCCGAGTACCCGCCCCAGAACGCACCGCTGCCACCGCCTGCATACGGCCAAGATGCTAACTATGGAGGAGGTAATCAGGCTGTGCGTACGCTTCGAGAATCGAGAGGGCATGCTACGGATTCGCTCATCGTTACATTTGTTTTAGCCCCAAGGAGCACCTCAAGGTCAGCCGAGTGATAATCTATACGCTCCAGTACGTGCCCAAATGCGTCCATGTTGGCTCCTTCGAAAGCTGATTCTATTGTCATACCACTGTAGCCTCCCAGCCCACCGCCTCCTGAAGCCACGAAAGGAAACAACCAGTCTTTCATAGGGGGTTTCTGATCCTAGTCGGGGATAATGATTTCTTGACCTGATGAACACTTGTACTCTTATCATGATCACGAAAACGGACTGCCTGCTGTACTGTCTTCCCCGAGCGCCCCGTTGTAGTACCTCGAGCGCCCCTTCATATTTTATGTTTCAGCGCTCCAGCCGATGGACCCAGTCTCAGTGCGCGTCGCATGCACAGGCTATGGGAAGGTCGTCCCAGTTTGTGTGCGGCCATGCATGCCGTCGTAAGGTGCAGTTTCAACTAATCTTATCTTATCCCAGGCCAACTCAGATTTATTGTACATGTCCGCCTCACTAAGGCGCCGTCGTACAAAATATTCGGACCGAGCAGATATATCCCACCCAAGCTCCAACTCTAGCTCAAGACGAAGCTCAGGACAACCCCATTTCCCTCCCCCACCTCGCACCTCAGGCCTCACCTCTTCGGCTCCCAATCCAGGATGACAACCCGCCGAAGACGTTCCCAAATTCATTCCAAATTCGAGCCTACGAATATCTCTGAGTTTGCGAACAGTTCCTACGTCCTTTGGCATTATGTGTAGCTCTCAGTGCCGGCTGACGGTCACCATCACCATCGCACTTGCGCCCGCCCTCAATAATGCTACATAGCTTCCAGCTCCCCCTCTCCTACAAACGTCCCTGGGACCTCTTAACTTGAACCAGGTAATTGCCTTCGCCCGAGAAGCACTGGTCCTTCATTTACGTCGCAGTTTCCGGTCCTTCACAACCCGAGGTGGAGGCGCAAATTGCAGCTGTGACCGCCCCAGGGTTGGGTTCTCAGTTAGCTGAGCCTCCGTCGTAATTCCCTTCAATTCATGGGCACGAGAAGCCAGCAATCATTGCCTATCTATACACTCGTGCCGTAATATCAAATGTCTACCTCAGTGCAGCGAGACTCGCCGAGCTCTGGTGTGAGTTAGCGAGCTGTATGGCGTCCGACAGCTCATGGAGCGGAACCAGAAGAAGAACAAGGAGGCGCTAATGCTGTTAAGGTTGATACTGAAGCAGTTGGGCTTGGGCTGGGCTAATTGCAGTGAGCAGGTATTGGAAAAGTCCGATTTGACGAAGTACTGAGCCGTAGATATCAGGCCGGGGGCCGTCGGCGTTGCCTTTTTATCTCGTTTCGGACCTTAGTTCTTACTTTCTAGCATCTGAGTAAACTAACCGACAGTGTTCGGTCTGGTTTACTTATGGGCGCCCCGTAAGACTCCCGCTCTGGAACGCACTGGCTTTTCAGCCACGCTCAGAGCCGCATGCATTACATGAACATACACCCGTTCATGCATTCTGACGCCTCTCTCTGGGTGCTTACAAGTGAGTATCAACGGTTCAGAAAAAGAGTGACTACAGGCAACAACCCATTCCCGATGCACGGTGCACAATACAGAGAGGGACAAAGGGCAGTGCATTGACGAGCTTCATGTGGGGACATTTCCAGTGAAATCAGCAACGGCTCGTACATGAGGTCACGCGAGGAATACGGAACTTGAAGCAGCCAACGATTGCCCATGGGCCCCGGTCGTGCTTTGCGATGGAGATACGGAGGGGTAGGTAGATGGTAGATAAGAAGATGTTGGGAGGAGTGTATGAGCAACGGCGGCGAAGAAGAGAGAAGGCACGAGCAAGCGAGGTGAGCGCGAGACAAGGTACAGGGGACAGAGGGCAGCTGGTGAGGTGGCTGGGAATGGGACAACACTGAGCGGCGCGAGGTCTGCGGTATGGCAGACAAGGGAGGGAATAATGAGGAAGGGGGTGAATGGGAGGCTAATGGAGGTGATGGGTAGGAAATGATTGTGAGCAATTGTCACTTTCGTAGCCTGTCCTTGTGATCGATTGATTGATAATGCGGCGCACTTGCCCAATGTGGCATGATCCGCCCACCCGATTTCTTTAAGGGGGTTGTGGAAATGCCCTTAACCACGAAAAAAAAAAAACAAGACGGGTTCAGATTTATATAAACCGGCCAGCCAATTCGCCGTTTCTAAGTATCTCGAAGACCTATATATATACGAATAGAGGATAAGATAAGATAATCTTGGAACAAACATTAGCCAACATCAACATCATCTAAAGCCTTTGCCACGCGTTTTCAACTTGAACTCGAACCCTCACCGTCCTCCACCTCATCTCACGACATCTTGACAATGGAGACTTCATCGCATGGCACTCAGACCCTGCGACTGTATCGTCTCAAACGACCTGGCCCCAGACCGGCGTACATTACCCAGCAGAGATAGACAGCGGGTATACCCAGCAAGATGCAGACGTCAACGGTTACAAAAAGCGGGGCAGGGTTATTTCGACTCCTTCAACACATTTCGCTATGTCTTCGTCGTCTAAGCCCACCGTTATCATTGTTGGCGCCGGCCTTGGGTGAGTTGCTATGTTCTTCCGCTTTCAGACGTAGAACTGAGGGAAGATCCTCAGCGGCCTGACTCTCGCACAATCCCTTCGAACCGCTGGAATTCCCTACCGGCTCTTTGAACGCGACTCTTCTGAAGCTTCACGGCAACAGGGGTGGTCTCTTCTCCTGCACGAGTGAGCCAAACTCCATGCAGACCTCCACGCCCACCGCTGACGGTGCAACTCCAGATGCCTGCCAGCTCTTCGCAAGATCGCCCCACCCTCTGCGCCGCCCATCGAGTGCATCAGCGTGACCTACCAAACTCCGTACGAAGACCACTTCCACATGTTCAACGGCCATACGAAGGAAGTGTACCTCTCCTTCGAAGGGCCCGTGTTCGCCGATGCTGCCAACAAGCGTGACGCGTACTCGATCAGTGCTTCGCGTTCCAAGTTCCGCGCGTGGCTCACGCACAACCTCGAGGTAAACTGGGACCATGCATTCAAGGGGTACGAGGTCCTCCCCAGTGGGAGGGTGAAGGCGTACTTCGAGAATGGCGTCGAAGTAGAGGGTGATATCCTCGTTGGCGCTGATGGGTCGCAGTCCAAGGGTGAGGATCGCTTTTATTTCATCTTCGATCTTCTATTCATCTTGTCCCCAGTTCGCTCCCAATTGTTCGCTGGAAACCCTGCCGGCAACGCGCTCAACCGCCTCCCACACGCCTGCGTCGCTGGCCTTGTCCACCTCCCCCGCGACAAGTACCTCCCACACATGAAGTACGGACCCTCGCTCTACACCACTGACGGCGTCGGCTTGCGCGTATTCATCGGGCTGCGGACCTTCTCCCCCGACATGTCCACAGCCACGCTTGTCTGGCTCTTGTTCTGGGTGGAAAAGCAAGACAAAAAAGAGCCACCCGCGAAAGGCGAGACGGAGAAGCCAACGCTGACGACGCTGCATATGGCGACTCCCGCCGAGCTGCTCGCGTATGCGAAGCAGGCCACGGCGGACTTGCATGCGGACTTTAGGGAGATCTTTGAGGAGACGAAGGTCGAGGATATGCTGGGGTCGTTGGTCTTGTACGACCGCGAGCCGATGCACTGCCCTGCCGGCCCGATCACAATCATTGGCGATGCGATGCACGTTATGAGTCCTTGTACGTGTCGTCCTTTCCGTCCGTCTTACTGCTTTCGGTTCTTTGGCTGATTGACGATCGTGTATGTGTGCAGTCCGTGGAGAAGGAGGCAATGCTGCCCTCACTGACGCCTTTGAGCTCTCGGAGGCGATCGTCAACCTCTCTTCCTCCACAATTACCCCCGAAGCGATCAACACTACCCTGCGCACATACGAGGAGAAGATGATCCCGCGCGGGACGGACATGGTGGTCAGCTCGCGCAACGCTGGTAAGGAGTTCGGGACGCGCGGGGTGACGGAGAAGCTGTTCAATCGGGCTGAGTGAGTGCTTCTTTATTCGGATTGTGGGTTTGTGCTGATTGGCGGTGTAGGTTGGGTGAGCTCGTCCAGAAGCACTAAATCGTTCCACGAGTAAGGTCGCATGATGTCTCCGGAGGATACCAGTGGCTATAGACGTCGAAATGTAAGCATGTATTCATACAACGTGAGGTATTATAACAGTGTTTACCTCTGAAATTCCTACACTTGACTATGGAACCCGCGTGCCCCAAGCCAGTTCAACGAATTTAAATGATGTACTCAGCATGCTTATCGCCCTCGCGAAGTATTCTTGCGCGCTATCAGTCTTTGTGGGTAATCACATCGACGCCCTCAGCGCTGTGCACCGACGCCCACACCCACGTCGGCGCTGCTATATATTCGCCCCCAAGGAGTACGCGTCCAAAATCTTCCTCTTCTCCATTTCACCCGTCCTGTAGCATTACTTGTCAGCACAGCCTGCCGAGGATGTTAGAGTACTCTATATATCACGTTGAGGAACTTTCCTGTATGTCTCTCTCCTAGGCTGATGCTCCTACCCACTTGTTCACCTTCGTATCAATACAGCTCCCCTGCTTAATAACCTCGCTGGGTTGTGCGAACGCGCCTTTGGGAACGGTCAGTCTACTTCTTGTCTCATTAACCCCACTTTCGCACATCGATCCCCGACTCTTCGATATCACAGACCCTAGATTCAAGCTCCTTGCAAAATCGAACCCCACTTTTATCGCGCCTTTCTTTCTCGCCCTGCTCTCTGTAGCCTATCAAGAAGGCGAAGTATACGTCGTAGTCCCGCATGGATGGGAGCTGCCGGTGTCTGTCGCGGTGTGGTTACCGCCTGGCAAGGCGTTGCGGTCAACGTGTGTCTGCCTTCAGAAATTTGGTTCTGAATGGCTACTGAAGGACAGGATTCAGAAATAAACAGCCTTCTTCCATGTTCGACGAGCTCGTGGAGAAGATGGGTTTTGGTAGTGCGGAAAGCGTAGATGTCACCGTGAGCACTACATATCTCTAGTCTCCATTACGAGTCCTTACCCAGCAGGAAATAAAGAAGAATCTCACTGAAAATTTCTTCCCCGTGCGTCCGACTTTTCTACGGTTTCAGTTGTCAATTTAAATCCTGTCAAAAAAGGACAACACCGCCTCATGGTCCCTTATCCTCGTCGCCACGGACCTGCCGTACCAGGGGAAGGGTATAGCATCTGCGCTCATCATGCATCAGGTCGCAAAGGTAAGCGCTCGGGAATCCTTCTTTTATGTTAATCCTGGATTAAAAGCGCAAATTTCGTTGACATTGTTCTTTTTGCCTCCCTTAGCTCAAAGAGAACAAGACCTTTGTGTCTTTGTGCGCAACGAATGAGCGAATTGTGAGCCGCTCGATCGCTTTCCCGGTGAATGGACGCTGACTGTGGCACTCTTTGCGCAGTATCGATGGCTCGAACGTCTGGCATTCACTGTTCGAGGGCTAGGAGGGTCCACGGGTGCTTACTCGACATGAACGTTGAGTGAACCGCGCATCAGGACTTCAAGCTGCGAACCAATTGGAGGAATATCTCCCTCCTGCCTTTTTATTAATAAGTACTATCAACTGAATTCCTATATAAATAGGTCTATTATACACGGCAGAAACCCCGATCGACAAGGACCAATTCTACATGTAAAGCAATCTCATCTTATCTGTGCCTTCAGTGAGCCTACGAGCTTCAACTCTCTCGTGCGACTTAAAGGCGAATTTGGGTGAACGAAGCAAAAAGAATCGGCCCCTACAGTATACAAAGATGACAAACGCGCTGGTCGAGATTGTGCTGCCAAAGTATCAGGCTCAAGCTTACTAGGAAGGCTTGGGGATAAATTAAGTACAGGGTACGTAATGGGAAGAGGAAGTGGAGGGTTTCCGGGCAGCAAGTGAAGTACATACAGCGTGGTATGATCTGCATAAAACGAGAAAATATAAAGGCGAAGAGAAAGCAGCAGTTAGACGTCAGTCGCCTCGCGGCCCTCGCCCACACGAAACCTATTGAGCAAGATTTCGATCAATTGTTTCGTCATCGTTGTGCGCAATCGGAGTTGGTTCTTCTTGTCATCACGGATATGGGTGTTGATGAGTCTAGTTCAATTTATGATTCAAATAGTCATGCAGGTCGAAGGATGAAAGGTGCTCACTCGAGGCACAAATCAATCGACAGCGGGATCTCTTTTTTGATGGGCAGAATTGCCGACTCAAACGTGGATCCTTGCCCCTGCTTGACCCAATGAATTGCAACTTGTTCGATGGGTATTGCAGCCGTGATTAGCTGAGTAGCGTCCGGCAGGGAAAAATCTAGGAGACAAATGGGAAGCTTAGGCGTGGATGGGCTGTCAGCCAGACGTCGATCGCGGAGCTCCTTTGTCTTCCCCCACGGCTCAAGTCTTGTTTTCCCCTGATAAGGAGGAGTATTCGGCACTCGGGTCGATAATGGAGAAGACGGTAGCGGAATTGGGGGGTTGGAGAACTCGGACGGGACCAAGTCCGAAAGTTGCAGCATTCCCTCGATTGATCCCAGCTCGGCTTCGGTGAGCTGCCCACTCACTAGTTTGACGAAGTTGCTGAAATCAGACGGTCGTACCTCGACTTTGCATTTGGCAATGAAAGGAACCTCATCCCAATTTCCTGGGTTCGGAATAGCCTCCGTAATCCCGAGAGATAGGCTTTGCATCTGAGCAGCGATGTCGGAAGAACTCCCACTTCCCATATCGTGTTGGGACTTCGGATTAGCAGGTGGTGTTGCAATATTAAACATGAGGACGAGGGCTACTTGAAGAAACAAATTTAATGTCTGATTTGCGATGAGGCTATTGACCATTCGAGGAGTTATTGAGGTCATCTCCGTACAATTCTTCTTGTGGTCTGGCCAATCCTTTCGCTGACACTGAGCCGTAGAGGATTGTCAAAGAGAATTTCGGTAAAACACCAGTCTATACGGACCTCTCTTGAACAGTAGGAAGCGATCTTGCACTGTCTCGCAACGAATCTGTAAGCCGATAGCACCAATCTCGCGTTGGGCTGCTGCACTCACCCTTGCGCACTTCTGCAACCCAATCTCGCCGCAATAAGAGCACGTTGTCTTTATGTTTTCTCTGGCCTTACGAATTTCGCCCTTAGGAACCGCCATCGCCCGGAAACTGGCCTTGTTCGCGGGATGCGTCACCGTAACAACAGCAGGAAGTTGGGCTGATGGATTACCGCTTGCAGGAGACGACATTGAGAAATTTATGGGCTTGTTAGGTTGCCTGAGGTGCGGGAGAGAGGATTGCTTGTGGGCGTAGTGTTCGTAGGAGTTCAAGATAGTTAGCGCCCGTGAGTCATGTCGCGGGACTGAGGGAACTCTCACATGATCTCACAGGTGGCGTGGACTACAGCTTCTACTTTTGTTGCAACCTTATCTATAATTCGTTGACTATAGGCCCTCCATGCTCTTTCATAGAGGAATCAAATCAAACATTTCGGACATGCGGGACTCTTGTGGAAGGCATACTTGGAACGATCCGCGACGCAGAGGGTTAGAGATTGTAGAGGTTCTCCATAACGCTCCAATTGGCCCAAGTATATATAAGCAGACGGGTGCAGATCTTGAAGATAAGGACAAGTTGGGCTGACATCAAGAAGTCAAAAATTAAAATGCACACTAACGACCGAATTAAGATATTCTCGCTACTTATGTCTGCATAGGCATCGCCATCCAGGATCCATGAACATTTCGATAGAGTCGATGTCTAATAATATAAGCAATACACGTGTGCTGACCTCGGGAATAAGAATTAAAGCAAACGAAAGAGCACCACTAGGATCAAAAAGGCGAGCGTTGTCCTTCAAACACGGCCGTAACCTCCCTCCAGGAGGAAGGTGGCGAGGTGCTTGACTAGGCGGTCCAATCCTTCGAGCCACCGCGCGAGCTCTGCGTCAAGCTTCTCGATGGAGCCTCCTTGTGCAATGCGGGCGTAGAAATCATTTCGATGAGGAACGGCCCGAATGGCGACCTAAAAATCGGGGAGACAATCGATTGACGGAGAAAAAAGCACGCCGTAGTTGAGAATGGTCGAATAACCGAAGAGATCCACGAGGAAAGGCGGGATACTCACAGTCACAACGGAACGGATGATGAAAGAGTGGTGGTGTCGCAGAACCTCGTCGTACGATCTCTTGAAGCAGACATGCAGTTCTGAGCGTCTATCGTTTTGCATATTTTGCAGCGCTTTGCACGTAAAGGCGAGCCCGCTAGAATTGTACGCGAACATGGTCAGAAGTTGGAGGGGATAAAAGAAATGGAATTCGTGATGGGCTTACCGAACAAGACGGACAAGGCAGGGGATAGCGTGTTTATGGCTTTCCGTACTCTCGGAATGAACCAGAGCCTCTAAGGTTCCTGATGCATCTTTCAAAGTGTCGTATCTACCGCGGACGCCCTGCGGATGACACATGTTAACCTCGTGGGCTACTGGCTGGGGTCCTCGAGGACAAGGCTCACACTTATGTTGCCTCTAATGTCGGCCTGCACGAATCCAAACACCCCAGAGCCTAAGAGGTCTTCATGAATGGACGAGAGAGAGATTGGGTCAGATGTTGTTAGATTTTAAGAGGGTAGGAGGTGACGCACTGAACATTTGAACCAGTCCATCCGAAGCCTCAAGGAACGACTGCGTCTCGATGCCAGTAGGTGTAAACGGAACGTCTGCGAAAGACTGCCAAAGATGCTTGAGTACCACTGAGAAGCCGTCCGAAAGCACGGGAAGGAGATTCGAGAACAGTGTCTGACCTTGACCGTTTCGAAGTATGGCGCCATGGATGTACGAGAGAGAGGAGTAGAAGCGTGTCTAACTCTGCCCAGGTACCAACCAGCTTAGAATACGAAGGTACGTTACACGTCTGACCATGTGTTTGGGACAACAAGTCTGGCTTGTAACTGCGGCGGAAGCAGCAGCGATCTGGCTACGTCATCAGTCTGGACCGAATCTATTTTGCATACATCAAATTGTCTAAAGAAAAAAAGGCGTATCGATACAAGCATAATAGACTACAGTATGTACGTGTTACATGGTCTCAGCACATCCAGTCCCAACAAATCGCCTTACATAGAACCATTCATTGGCCATATCTCGCTCGAACTGAACAGCGAACGCTCTGGCACCTAGAATATATCTTTTAAATCTAGATTGTAAACTCTCTCGTCAGATCCTACAAAGAATGTCATGAGCAACCGGAGTCCAAATCGAGCTATAAGAGTAGCGACATACGACAGGACAAGTTCCAGAGATTTGTGCTTTCTGATTGTATCGTGGAACGAGGGTGTGTCGAAGATCAGCCAGGAGGTCTCCGTATGTTTGGCGTGGGTTTCGGTCTGATCGAAGCAATCAGTGAACCTCTTCAAGGCGAGATCAATGTGTCAACGTACTCAAACTCTGGATGAAAGCCTGTCCAACGACAAGAGAAAGGGAAGCATTAACAAAAATGAATTTGGTGGAGGAGCAAAGACGCACCCAACTCATAGCGCCGACCGCAACGTCCTCGTGGAATGTATCAGCACTGGTCTCATCGTCCTTGCATGCCGCAAAGCAAACCTGGGTGTAGAAAATCGAACGATACTGAGCGATAAGTGGACAGCGAGAGGGACGAGACGTACGACGTCGGCGTGTGGGGCGACACCGCGTTTGCGAGCACGCATACTAATGTGCGCAATGCTTCGGAGACGACCGTGTGCGGAGTGCTGCACGAGAGAGTTAGCTCTCTTGCGGAGATCGGAGAGGTAGAGAAGCCTACGAGATAGGGAAGGTCTACGCAGCGACGAATGAGAGGACATATCAGTTAGCCACTAGATTCGGTGAAAGAGATGAGAGAACGCACCAAGAACCGTACCAGAATGGCAGGCCTAATCGTCGAGAATGAGCACCGACTAAGTTACCCTTAGGGTTGAAGAGAACTTACATCGAAGATAGCCTATCATGAACCAATGCAGGACAAAGGGATAAGTCCAACAATATATAGAATGTATCGAGGAAAACCGCACCGTAAGACGACAACCAGCCGCTAGCGGAGCCACGAGCGCCTGATGAAGGTCCTGGAAGAGGCGTACATCAGAGCAAGGGTACAGAAGAATGAATGGAAATGACCTCACGTCGTCGATGATATCGCCTGCCTGCTCGAAGTCCACGGGGAAAATGACTTCGTCCATCCCATCTGCCTCTCGTCCTGATTCGTCGGGCTGTTGGCCACCGTGACCTGAATCTATACAAGACGACGGGTAAAGTTAGATGTCCACAGGAAATCGTGGAAAATATTTACAGTGGAAGAAGAGCGAATCGTCCGTCTTCGCACCATCGATAAGCCACCGTATAGCGTTGAACATCTCCTTGCGAGTTGGAAGCGGGTTTGTACGGTCATCATCGGTCAGCAGGAGGATTTGCTCGGATGGGAACCCGTGGTGTTCTATCGAGAGAAGAGAAAGGCAATAAATTCGAGCTCAGAGTTCATAATGGGAACGCGATGCTCACTCATTAAGAAATCTCTCATGTTCCTCGCGTCGTTCGCACACCCGCGTAGCTCCTTTCTCTGTCCGATGTAGTTTATCCCAATCTAGCCAGACCGTCACCGATCGTGATTCTCGAACGAGGAAAGGTCCGACTTACACACACAGCTTTCTTCCCTCCAGTACACTTACTCAGACAAAAGTCTGGTGCAGGCGGCAATAAATCGAAGTACCGCTTCACGGCCTCGTCGAGCGTATCCTGGGGTACACCCATCGCACGGAGATAGGTCAGTACTCCCTTCGCCGCGGATGACGGCTTGCCAGGAACTTCGTATGGATGGGACCCAGGTTGGGCTGAGCCTGCGTACGAGACAGTTTGGCTCGTCGGTCGCCCTTGGGCTTGATGATGGTTAAGGTGGGCTTGGGACCCGTGAGTGGAGCCTGCGTGCGAGACAGCTTGGCTCTGCGGTCTGCCTGCGGTTGGCACTTGCAATGTGGATGGTTGGTGCTCGTGGTGCGCCTGAGATCCATGGGCAGAGCCCACGTACGACAGTGCTTGGCTTTGAGGTCGCCCTTGGGTTGGGACTTGTAAAGTGGAGGACGGTCGAGCGACGGGGCTTGGAGAACCGTAAGTCGAATGTGTTGCCCGAGCAGGAGACGGTAGACCGTGAGGGAAGAAGGGTTCTATACCTCCACTTCCAGGCGGTTCTGTCGGAGGACGCGCGTGTTCGTGGTGGCCCGTGTGAGACCGAGAGCGATGAGAATGGGTGTGCGAATGAGGTTGCGAATAGTGCTCGCGCACCGAGGGCTCGTAGGCATAATCTATCGAGTGCGGCTTTGGAGGGTATCCCTGGGATTGGTGTCGTGGCTGCTGTGGGTAATCCGAATAGCGATATCTCGATCTTGAAGCTCTCCCATACCCATCCATCTCCCGGTACCGCTCCTCATCCGTGTACCCATACTCGTCACCATCCCCGTAGGAACCGTACGGGTCGTCCTCGTACGATCGCCTGCTCCTGCTGCGCCGCCGGCTGTGGTCACGGTCGTAAGAAGGGCTGCGGTGCCTCCGCTCTGCGTCATGCCGTCGTTCAGGAATGGGAAGCGGAGCATCCGGTTCCGAGGGCGAAGAGTAAGCGGAGTCGGTGTATACGCCGCGTGGATGGGGTTTCCGAGGGAACGAGGAGGAGGATGAGGAGTATTCGGAATCCGTGTAGTCCCCGGATGGGTGTTCCGCGGAAGAGGATTGGGAGTCGACAGGTTCATCGGAGGAAGAAGAGGCATGTGAGCGTTTGTATGAGTCGTATTCGCCACGATATCCAGGTGAACGCGAGAAGGAGGCAGAATACGAAGGATGAATCGGAATTGGGGTGTGTGACGGGGTGTATGATTGTGTCGGCGTATAGACATTTGTACGCGGCAAGGAAGGCGAGGGAATGGGAGGCATAGACGGTGGATATGATATGTAAGACGGAGAAAGTGGAGATGGTTTGTGTTGGTGGATATGTTCAGCCGGAGGTGGTTGTGGATGTGTCGCAGAAGGTGGACGTGAGCGGGGCTGGACATACACAAAAGATTGGCGCTCTGATTCGCCAGACGAACCGTGATACCTCGAATCTGAGTCGTAAGACCTTGGTGTTGACGAGGATGCGTACTTGTCGTCGTATATGGGCGTCACCATAATCGCCCTAGGCGGTGGATAGAATCTGAAATCGGAATCGTCAGCAATTATATCGAACGCGTTAGTGCATTGAAACCCACTGCGGAAGTGGTTCATTTGGATCACTGTGGGGAGTCAGTCAGACGAGATATGATCCCAGGGTGTATGAGAGCGCACAGTAGAAGCTTTTGGCGGGAGATGTCGAGACGGATGAGAGGCATCGAGGTCATCGTGAAAGACCCGGCTGCTGCGACCCTGCACGCTCTTATTCAACCATTTCTCAGTAGACTGCCCGATATGGATGTATGATGTCATCTGTGCCTGATTTATGTCGGAGGTTCGAACTGAGGTCAAAGATAGGTGCGTATTTGGGATGCTCTCAGTCCCCTCGGGAGTCGGAGGCTAGCAGAAATTTTGGGCGCCTAGTAAGAATTTGAAAGGCTGGAGATGATCGACGATCGACGTCAGTCTTCGATCGATCGGCGGGCGCATCAGGCGTGCCGCATGCCGCCGGCCGGTGTCTCCATATATGAAGCGCGTCTTGTTGATCGACGACGCGAATGTCGATCCTTGTAAATGTAGATTTCCTGAATGAAATATTGGCCTAGTCGATACAAGGGCAAGAGACCGGCAGGCACAATCGTTCAAGTCGCTGGGCCGGCCTCATGACCTCTTTCTAATTTATCATTCCCAAGTCAGTGAATAACTACTAGGTATTTGGCCGACAAGATGACTGACACTCTAGATTTTTGTCTTTGCCCTTTTGTTCCTCGCCAAATCTTAGTGAGATACTCTCTTACCCTTCCGGATATTTCCTCCTCCCATTCTACCAAGTGCTGCTAAGACCCCTTCAGAACCTTGTCGGTACCAAGAGCTCCTAGTAAGCGCGGGTAAATTTCTACAGAGACAAGCTGCGAAGTAGTGAAGAGATAACACAAGGCCCTGTATAACGCAAACACGTCTATTGATCTTACCTCGGACTCAATGTTCGAGTGGTGGAACTTTGGTCCAGCCACTTATCCTTATCATTCAACGAATGGAACAGCCAATGTGACATTTTAAGAATCTCTCGACATGTAACTGTGCTGACTCCGGTACCTAGGAGGATCTAATTCGTGATTTTTCGGTTCTGAAGAAGCATTGGGCACCAATCCGAGGACTTAGAATCTTCGAAGTGTATTTGTATCTACTCATATAGGCATTTTCTATTAATACAATAGGGATTTTTTCATTGCTCGATTGTCGGATCAGTGTGGCAAGGGGACTCCCCAAGGTCGTGAGCTTTGGTTTCTCCCTGAAAAGACTTGAAGTCGATCGTCCTTGGGCACGAGTTCTGTCAAAGAAAATTAGCTTAACAAAAAATTGAATTCGTCCGCATCTCTGTCTGCTTGTGACGTCAAAGGTATCCGCTTGCGTAAATATTTTCTGAGCTAATCAGGCCAGTTAGTCAACATCCTCTCTTCCACGGGGTGAAGCTGTCATTGTCTTTTGCCTGACCTTCATCGATCGAAGCCTGATCCCCACCCACCCTGTCTTTCAAATTTTCTAGAGGACAGTATAATATGTCACGGAAAACCTTGGTTCCTCTCGATTCGGGCAAGGCGCTGTAGGAGAGGCTAATATTAATTCTAGCCAAAAATTTTCACGGTAGTCCTTGCTCCTAAGCAGTTCCTCTTGAATGATAATCGTGCAATGCTCGCTGTTGGCACAGTCATCCCATAGCGCTTCGCTGCCTGTTAACCCAAGGGCCTTAACTCCGTCTACAAGTGTAGCTTTGTCCCGGCAAGGTGTCCCGAGTCACTTTCAAGTGTATGATTGTATTTTATCCTGATATTACCCTCGATTACCCTCTGTATTTGATCGCATGAGGGTTGATATATACGTTGATATGCCAAATTGCTTCTGATTCGAATACAAAGAAAGCTTGATGGATTGGAACACCGATTGATGATACCGATACGAGTCTGGCAGCTCTGTTCAACTAGTTTAAACGAAGCGATTAACAGGATTAGTCATGTACCACGCTCTCCGTCGAAAATGGAGGCATGAGGTTCAATCCCTGATTTTCTTTCCTAAACGCCTGTCCTTTCCAACCCTATCCATCCTACAGCATTTGTGCCCTCTCCTGCAATGGTGTGCTTCCCACTCCCCCAACCTCGGCGCTCAGCCAAAATAAACCTTCGACTTACCCTATAAGGGGCTCCGAGAATCACGGAGCCCTCGGCGCTACAGAAGGCGGTGATCATGTAGATGACTGCTAAGCAAGGTGCATGGTCGGGAGCCTCTCGTGATGACAGACTTTGGTTTTTGACTTGAAAGGCGGCTCCTCGCTGCTTGCATCTCCAAGCCGTGGTCACACCGGAGGGCGTGTGTAAAAGAGGTAATTAAGGACTGTGTTTCAGAACAGTAACGTATGATTTATCATATGCGCCGTTGCCAGAAGCTCCAAATCACCCACCATGCCAGGTGCATACGGCCCGACTGACATGTTCTACAGGCTTTTTGTTGTTAGAATGGAGAATGTCCTAAAGCGGTACTATATGCTACTACATGGGCATGGGAAACGAGAGTGCGTATTTGTTTGGAAGAAGACGCCGAACCTTACCGCCAAGGCCGCCGGCCCTATCTCATGTTCCGTAACGTTGCGAAGACATTAAGCTTCTGTTGGGTCTGTGAGAGCGAAGCGGGTCTGCGTCTTGCTCCAAGGCCGGCCATGGACGCGTGGCGCCTTTTTTGGACGTCAAGAGGGCGGGAAAGGGATAAACGCCCGGAAAAACATAGACACAATCGGACGATTATGTGTCCCAGCATCAACTTCCAGAAATGAGGTAGAGCGCTCGCTGATAGAGGAAGAACGGGGAACCAGTGCAATAAGGAAAACATGAAAGGCGGGGACCTGAGAGTCAAATTAGGTATGTATGCTATAATCATAAGTGAAGGACGTGCTCCATCAATCGAAGAGGGTTTCCGCATGTATGGCAGAAAAAATGTTGTATATCGTACAGAACATCGCGAGGATACGACGGAGACAGAAGAAAAGAAGTGGGGTCTGTGAGAAAGACATAAATATACTCCGCTCAGAGGCCGACCACCCAGGCTGCAGCCGGGTGGTAGCTGCAGCTATGGGCGTAGGGGGACAAGGAGAGTTTCCAGCCACGGTTTCTACTCCGGTCTCTGCTGCAATCGATAACGCCTGAGGCCTGAGGAACCTTCTATCTCCTATCTGGTCGCCTGTGGTGGTATCAGAACGAAAGCAAGTAGGCGAGGAGGTCTGTATTATAGCAGTGGGAACGAGGGCATATCGACGAAAGGGTCTGAAGCCCGCGAGCGTCTTCACCTTCGAGCTTATTGTGTCTGAGCCACGTAGATCCCAGTCTGCGATCGGGAGGCAATGACGAGACCAGCCCTGCGGCCGGCGGCCTTACCTAAACATCCAGAATAAAGGGAAGGTTGAATCTATCACAGACAAACTTTGGAAATCACGAACGTTCATGTAAACGTACCCCGTCGCTGTCTAGGTATGTGATCGAGACCGATTGCATTTGAACGACCTTCGCAGGGGAACGAAACACGTACGAGGTCAAGGGTATTTGCAAATTTGGGTAATAAAAGTGGGAGATTGTATGGTACGTGTTGAAGAGGACCAGGAATGTCTATGGATAATCGGACTGTTCCATGGCTGAGAGCAAAATTGAGTGGAAACGTAGACTAAACTCAGCCTCGTGAAAATTCGGGCCAGGCCATATATGTCATTTTTACGAGTTTCGAGACTCACTAGAACATCACATATCTCGAACTACCCCACTTCCGATTTATGTTGTAATTCCCTCGCCACCCCGACTTGCCATTAGCGGCGCTCTCTCTGATTCCAAGTCGAGTGTCACGCTAAATAGCCGAATAACCATTTTTGGACGATCTTTCCAATTCCGCGAATGTACCGTGCCCCATCTGTCCTCTGCGCTTGAACAGTGCCTGGAGGTCGCAGAGCACCACCCGTCGACATAGCGTGTGCCTTTCTTTAAATTGATATACATATTGAGCCTCGGCTTCGGTAGTCGGGACAGACGCTCGGAACGCCGTTCTCACCTTTGACATTTAATTAAAGGGGCCCTGAAGGAAGCATCCCGGAGGAGAGAGCGGCCCTGTGAGCACCGCTTGGGCGGGGTGCCGTAAAAGTAAACATAGAGCTAGGGGGACAAGACCATCTGACATATTTTCGCTAGGAAGCTTCTTATCACTAGGCTACGCTTTCTCCGCCGACACAGAAAGAGATCGAGGTTATTTTCCTAGTCGATGATCACGCCACAGTCGAGTAAGATGGCTTAATGAGTCGCGAGGGGATGATAACTGATATGTCAGTCAAAGTCATCATGACTGCGGCGAGAACATGTGTGCGTGATAGCAAACAAGATTCTCACTCCCACATTTCGTTCTACTTACATCCAGAGTCGTCGATTGGCGCATAAGAGATAAGGACCTCGTGAAAGGGAGCATGGCAGCTGGAGTACGATACAAGATATTGATACAATACATAGCAAGATCTGAAGAGGCATAACGTGGCAAGAAAGCAAGGCTACGAGGCGACAGCGTGGAGAGACGAAGTGGGTGATAAAGTCGATGACGACGAGATGATATATGCGATACGGTAGCACGAGATCATGGGACAGCGTGGGGGAAAGCAAGCAGCGAGAGCATGTGGGGTCGAGCAGTCATGGGGATGAGGGGGCAGGATACATAGGAAAGGGTATGATGATGCGAGGTATGTTCCAAGAAAATGTTCCAAGAAAGATAAATCAAAGCGAGATATAGCGGCAAAATATAAACGTGAGTGGCATGGAGAGAGGCAAATTAAATATTAAGTACCAGTGTCCAAGATATGCAACGAAAGAAGGAAAGGAATAAACTTATACGATCAGTGAGAGGGGCAAGTGCGATTTTCAGGGCGGCGTCGGCGGTGTTGCGGTAGAATAGTTCTTGTTCTTCACTCCACCAATCGAATCCCATCTCCTTCGAACAACACCCTACCCCTCTCCTTCAACCCGGCAACGGCCCTGGCGACCTCCGTCGTATCAAAGTCCTCAAACTTGTCCTGTGGCATAGCCGCGTTGAGGTATGCTAGGAGCGCCGAGATGGTCAATTCGTCCTCGGATGGAGTGAAGGTCGTGCTGAAGAGGTGGTAGATAGAGGATGCAATGAATTGTTTGCTATAGAACGGGAGTCGTCAGTCAACGCGGTAACATCAGCGAATGTGTAAGAAAACGTACCGCCCGCCGACGCTGTCCAAATCGACCGGTCCATACCCATTGCCGTTACTTGACCACTGGGGCCTCCTCGAATTCGCACCACTGCGTCCAATACCCGCAGACCCCGCGGCAGAGAAGCTCATCCTCCTCTTCCCATTGGTCGACCCGTGGCCGGTGACGGGTTTGACGTCCTCGCTGCCTTCCTCGTCGAGATATTCGCCCTCCGCATCGGCGTCAGCATCAGGCTCTCCATCCGCATCAGCATCGGCGTCGGCGTCCGGGTCATCCTTCATCTCTCTTTCTCGTTCACGCTCTCTACCCCACCCACGAGATGAGGAAGGAGCAGCGCGACTACTCGAAGGCCTCGACGAGTTCGGCGAGTACCCGTTCGACGGGCCGGGGTAGCGGCCTTGAGCCGACGTAGGCGGGTAGGGCATGCCCCTCGACCTATGCCCCTCTCCACCTCCAGAGCCACGGTGGTGATGTGGGTAAGGCGCTGACGACGAAGGGTGATGGTGATACATCTTCGGCCCCGACGTGTAATAGCCTCTTCCACCACTAGGGCCGGGTCGTTTCCTCTCTCCTTCGTGCATGGAGTCTGCTCCCTCCTCGCTCTCTAGATCTTCCGACGTCCTTGGTTGCTGGTGCCGACCGTGGGAAGGAGGTATATCGCCGTCGGACATGAGCTCGTCTTCTTCCATTGAGCTACGGCCTGGGTGCCCGTTGGATGGGTGGGAAGGTCCGTGATGCAGAGAGTGCGACGGATGAGAGGATGAGTGGGAGTGATGAGGAGGGTAAGAGGAGTGCGAGGAAGGGTAAGGTCCTTTCCGAGTGTGCGTCTTCATGTCTGCGATCTCGGCTGCCTTTTGCGAACGTCGTTGGCTACAAAAAATTGTTAGAAATAAAAATAATAAAAGAGGTAAAACAGAGAAGAAATCGATACTTACTACCTCGCCAAACATTTTCCCCGATGCTGCAACCACGGGTACGCGCAATAACTCGAGTCCTGTCTCAGCTGGACCCACTTCTCGCATAAGGAACAAAACACCCGATTCGGCTCGACCTCCCCGATCAACCGATCCGCCCTCAATGTCGCTGCCCGTTGCTCAGCATTCCGTCGGCGCGATTCGTGCGCCGGAGCATACGTCGACGGCGAAAGGTCGTGGAAAGACGGCCCGTGTGCGAGTGGGTGCGAGGTGGAGTGCGGAGGGTGGCCAGAAGAGGGGTGACTCGGGGGAGGGTGCCCGTGCGAAGGTGGAGGAGAGGCGAGAGGTGGGTAGCGTGTTGGAAGAGGCGGTGGGCCAGCCGCGGAAGCCTTTGGCGAGGTCGGGCTGGAGGTTGTGTCGGGTGAGTGCCGCACAGCATTGGCATCGCCCGCAGATGCTGCTGCTGGTGCTGGACCGCTGGGAGTCGAGGACGGCCCCGCCGGCGCGGGTGGACCGGCATTTGCTCCCGTTGAGGACGTGGAAGGATGTGCTGGTGCCTGACTATGCGAGACGTCAGTTTTGTTTGTTTAATTCCGTAAAACATACACCAGGCGCCGCAGTCGACCCCTCATCCATCCCACGGCGCATCCCAAAACATCTCGGAATAAAGACGAAGAAAATACTCACGTCACAGCAGTTCCACCCCGACATCCCGCACGGTGCTGGAGCCACTTCTGGACGGCCTGGAGGTGGTCTTCAGGAGGAAGAGCAATCCACTTGTCGCACATGTTGCAGAGGATCCGTTCGGGGTCGAATTTCCGGACATCGGGGTCCTTTGAGAAGAGGGCATTCCGCTCTTCGAGCCCGTAGACGTTCTTGTTATTTCTGGAGAGGGATGTGGTAAGCATAAACCGCTGCATAAATATGGCCAGGGGGAAAGGAAGAGGAAAGGAGGCAGACAAAACAGGAAATGTGGGAATATCGGTTGAATGAGGAAGAGAAAGAAAGTTCAGGGTCGGCGTCTCGACGTCAGCGGAAGGAAAAAATGCAAACGCCACCCCATGAGCCAGGAACCAAAGCACACAAACGCGAAATTAAAACAAACCGGGAGCAAAATAGGAAAAATGAGAGAGGAACAAACATATCGTATGTCAGAAAAACATGACCGCCGCTTGTCAGAGGAAAAGTTGAAATGAAGAAACGTGAAAATCATAAAACTAATATGGAAGAGGAAAAAGAGGAGCATCATATCGTATGTCATATATGTACCACACGATGTGCCCTTGTCACGGCCGCAAGCGACGCAACTCGAAAAGAAAGAAATTAAAACAAGAGATGAGGTTGAAAGCCTAGGTCGAACATCCCCACAAATCGCAGGGTGGAAGCTACCTGGGGAGAAGGAAAAGTACCGAACAGGCCGAAAGGTAGAGCTTGCTGTCGGCCCCAAGCACAGAGGCTTCCTCTATCGGGCATCCCCTCTGAGATACGCCCCACCGTCGAGCAATAAGGGGGGGGCGAACAGACCTGTGCTCGTCGACGTCCCGGTTGGTTCGCACGACTCGGGTACCACAGGAAACAAACGAAAAGAAGAAAAAGCAGACGAAGGACGACCACAGAAATAAACTGAAGAAAAAAGGAAGAAAAATCAAACACGTACACCTTCTTGGCCAAACAGCTCTTCCGATGCGCGTCCCAGGGAATCGAACAGTACGTCGAGTTGGGCCTTAACCTGATCCACTTATCGCACGACGCACAGAGGACTCTGTACGCCTCGAACTGGCCGACGTACGGGTCCGCACGAAGGTACTCGATGCGCTCTTCCTCGGTCCTCTTCGCTCGCCGGCGTTTGGCTGGGGGTATCCCACTGACCGGGTGGTGTGAGAGCGTGCCCGAATGATGGGGTTGGGCATGAGAAGACGAATGGTGGTGAGATGAATGTGGATGAGGCGAATGAGGGTGGGCATTGCTATGACTCTGAGAAGGGTGGTGGCTGAGGTTGCCGTGCGTGTTGTGGCTGATGGACGGGGAGGCGGAGGAAGGGTCGGCGGCGGCGTAGATCATTTGGCCTGCTGCTCCGTTCGGGTGCGAGCTCGTCGAAGCGGACGGTGCTGGGCTGCCGAATAGCAAAACAAAGAAGGCGTTAGCGATATTAACGATTAGTGAGCTCGATGACAGTAAGAACTCGAACAAAGAATGGAGGTCGCGGAAATAAGGATGTAATTAGGAAATAGGCCTACCAAAGTTGCTTGTGGGTGTCCCAGTGCTTCGTTGTGAACCCGTTGGCGTCGTCCCGGAAGGAGACCTCGGTGCCGCATGTCTGGCATATGACGAAGCCGGCCTCGTACTCGTCCGGGTGAGCGTTGGCGCCCACAGGCAGTGGGGCCGTCGAGCTAGACCTCTTTCCTGCCCCAGTCTGCTTAGTTGTGGAAGAATCGGGCGCTTGGGAGTCCCGATCGTCAGTTGGCTCGTCGTCGTCGCCATCGGGGTGGTCCTTCCTCTTCAGAGGATTCCTAGAAAATAAACGGCTGATCAGGAGATCGAATTGAATTCTTGACGGAGAGAACAGACGGTGGTGATGGCGAGACAGGCGTCGGCGTTGGAGACGGGGAACTAGGAGGGCGTCAGTTGGGCGGAGTCATGGTGGGAGGAGGGAACATACCTGGATGGGGGGTGGTCGGACATGGGGGAAAGCAGAGTTCAGAGGCAGAAAACATGAGTTCTATTTAGCGCAACTCATATTCGGGCCTGTCCTCACGGTTTGAACGACGCTGATCCAAATCGGGAATGTTACTTTCCACTTATTTTTATTTTATTTTCATACTCCGCTAAATTACATACAACAATGAGCTGTCACGTCATCACAACAGAAAATATGACACAACGTTGCCTTTTACGCTCTTTCCGTTTGTCTTCCATTGCCAGCCCTGCCACCGCCAGCCCCCGCCGCCGATCTCCTGCTCGCAGCCCAGTCCGCAGCCAGGCTCAATATGGTAAAGCCCGGGATAGACTCTCCTCTAGTCTCGTCGTCCTCCCTCCGCCCGCCCGCCCCTTCCTACCACCGCTTCGTCGACGAAACACCGCGAACAGGAAGTTGAACATGCTTTGCTTTTGCTTCACGACTTTTCTAACTCATGTCCCACTCTAATCTTGCACCCCCGACATTCTTTTTTTCATTCCTCGGCCCAAATGGGATTGGTCTCTCCGCTGGGATCCATTCCCGAAGCCGCTCCGTCTTTACCTAAATTGCGCTGCGACCAACACACGCTTCTCTTCCTCTTCTCGTCCGCGCTCAGGGGCGTATGTCGTCGGATGATCCATGTAAATGGATATATCATCCATTTTGGTCTCTGGGCCGGCTGTCAGGCAGCTGTCAACCCATATTCGGGGCCTTGTGGACCGTCTATGTGCATCCCCAATGGAATCAGGCTGCCCAGTCCAGGACATCAAATGAAATGACGAGCTCTCTTGGGTCCATTCCAGTCAAACACGGTGGCTGATGGGCTTTCTTCCCAATACTATATTGTCGCATCTCCGTTCCCTCCGACGTTCTGAATCATCTTCTTGCTCCTCGCCGTGTGACCGTGGACTAGTGTTTGGTATCTATACGCACCCTCCACCCTTCTTGGGCTGCGCGATGCGATCCCTTCCTTTCATCCCACTCTAGTGTATTACCTGGAATCCGTTCGCTCCATACCTTCTAAACGCGGGCGAACTGCTATACTCGTCGCGGCTGGAGGGGTATGATTAACGACGACTGCTCGATCCACTTCCTTCCATCGTCATTTTACTCATGTACCACCGCGTTTATTTTGTTACTCATATGACGCCACGCCGCCCATTCTGATTCTTAATCCTTCGAGGTCTTGACCAAATTCAAGCTCTTCCTTAACCTCGTTTCCGAGGAGATTACGACCTTTTGCCCCTCTCCGAGCTTGTTCAGTCAATCCCCTTTCTTCTCGGGTCCCGAAGATGTCTGAAGGCAGACAGAAGGAGACCACTGGAAAGGCAATCAGACGCCTTCCAACGTCAACGCTCAATGGACATTCTTATGCCGGATCAGCCACCCGCACGCCGTCGTCGTCGTGGTGCATTGCACAGTACTCATGGGGCCGTCTGTGATTTCCAAAACGCACCAATTTCGTATCAGACCTGCCAGATGTGTCATCCCTAGTTCCTCTCTTGGTGAATCTCCGCACCAGGCGTGTCTACGGCGCCATCACATGTCTTCTTCTGAAACGAGATTCTGGGATTCTCAATTGTTCACGGTGACTCTGTGGCGACTCCTTCGGTCCCTCGCTGTCATCTCCTGCCCGATAATGGAAGGCGCGTAGCTTTGTCTGTCGAAATAAAGGTATCTAGAGAGAGAACGAGACGGGCCCGAATTCCTGTTTCTGTCTTTATCAAACTCTATCTATCGCTGTCAGCGCCAGTGTCCCTCGATTCTCGTCACTTACGTTCTTCGGTCCCCTCGTTCCTCGCCTCACCCCACCTCGTTTATTAATTATTTTTCGGGACGGACAGCGGAAGGCGGAAAGCGGAAAGAGGGTCTCCTTATTTTCTTCCCTCTCTTTCCGCCTAGTACGACTAGTGTTGTTTCGTATCCTAGGCCACGGTGCTACTCCTCCCCCCCTCTGCACCTAGTGCTGTGACGGCCTCTATGGGGATGACTTATCTATCCGCCCATCCGCTGCCGCACTAATATCTGTAACATGTAAAAATATGGGCTAAGTATCCGTCATCCGTCGATTCATTCACGGAACTTGGGGACTCATGCTTTCCAGTCCTGTTTTCGTGCGTTCCAATCTCTCGTTCCTCGACTTAGCGGCCGTGTCTATTTCCTGCTAGTGAAATTATTCTTGTGGTCGTTTCAGTCCTATTCTCACCTCGGCCTGAATCATATCAGACGCCCGCCCGCATGACCTTGCTCTGTCATTGTTTGTCCTTTCATCTTGTTCGGCCCATTTCTCGATTCGCTTGTCTCCGAGACGACCGTCTTCCTATTCCCTCCTTCCATGACGCCTCATTACCTCCCAGCAACTCGGTGTCGCGAGCGTTCTGTCTTCCAAACATGATCTCTATTCCCTTTCGAAATGTGCAGCTGCAGCTGCGGATCTCCACTCGGGATAGCCCAGGTTTTCTTATCACATCGGACGTCCACACTTCACCCCAAATCTCAGTCTCAGCGATCAACGTTCGACGTTCGTTCTTAAGTGGACTCGGGCATGCTGACTACTGCTAGCTTCCTTTCTTCTGCTTACGCGTTTCATTGTCACCCGGTCCAAAAATCTCCGGTCCCTAAAGATAAGTAGTGCTCTGATCTCTCCCGCCGTCGACCTTCATTCTGAATGCAGCAGTGCCCTTCCCCACCACGCATGGATATGCTCAGGACGACCTAGGGCGACACATCGACGACGTCCATCGTTATCAAAAATGCTATTCCTGGAAGACTAATCGTGGGTTTTAAAGCTTGATCTTTCCTCTCTCCGACACTCACGTTGAACTATCTACGACAAGGGGCGATAACCAGTGGAGCCAAATTCCCGGTCGACATCGCACAGGGGCTCGTGAAGGGGCTCCTCCTTTCCGAGGTATGCCCACCGTCCTTGCTGAGTCTTCGTTCCCTTTTCACGACCCCAATCAGAGAGAAAGTCTTCCAAACATCTCGAAGCTCGCGGATCTCACCTCTGGTCTTTATGAACCCTCTGATTTCATGCCAGTGATAGAGCGTCCATGTGGCCGACCGCCCGTCAAACGTTCGACCTTTTTCGTGTCTTCCGCGTCGATATCTCCGGGTCTTTTCTCATTTCGGATCCTCGCCTGCCTGTATTCATTGCGATCGCTGTCTGTGGTGCCCTGGACCTCGTGATTCTGGGGCTCTATGATCCTCAGAAATGGCTCGGGACATGGAGATGTGCGTTCCTCTCCAACGCCATTATTCCGCTGCTTACCTGTCACGCTTGCGTAATATCGTCGAAGGAATACCGTCCAATTTGGCCAATAGCTGTGATTCATCGATGCTTCCCATCATGGAAACTACCAAATAGCTCGGTTGTCGATGCGCTTTCTACCTCCTCATTTTGGATCGAAGTTGGGCACTTGATTGTGATTCCGAGGCGCGACTTCATGCAACTTTGTTGGAAGACTATTGGCTTCTCGAAACTCCTTGCATCGCATCGGAGACTCGCCCTTTTGTCGTGTTTGGAATAGAACATTATTCATAGGCGCTTTGAGTTATTTTCGCCGATGAATCATCCACTCTTGAGTACGTTTATTCTTTGATATATCATCTCATCTGGTTGGCCTTCTGTTTCCGACTGAGAGCATCACCTCAAGATAATCATTCAACAGACCATATAAGGAAGGGACCTTTCCACCGTGAAAGTTAAAATCCAACGCCACGAAGCTCGAAGCCTAAAGATCGTCCGCTCAGACTGCGATCTCCTCTCACGACTCAATACGCCAATCTCTCTCCACAACTGTTACGACATTACTACGTACTCCCCGCCGCGCCGTCGGTACCCATACCCCCATTACTCGGACCAGTCGTACTCATCTTTGAGTTTAGATGCTGTCCAAAGCTTGTTCGCCATTGACTCAGCCTTGCATTAAACCTGCGCAGCGGACACCTCGTCATCGCCTCGATCTTCTCTATGATTTACGTGATTAAAGAAGCACGGCGAAGGCGACGGCTTTTCGTCATACCTGGACGTATTTGTTGAAGCGTTCTGGGTCTTCCGAACAAACTAGAATGCAGAGATATAGCGCATCCGCGTGTGCATGTTTTTCCTGGATGATAATATCCGCCCTTCGCTCCTTGGGCGTTGCTTTCCCGCACTTTCCCTTCAACTAGAAAGGCACCAGAAACTGCGACTGGAAACCCGCGCCGCTCTCCAGCGCCTAATCACAGCTACGGACCGGCCGAGTGTCGATGGTCGGCCTCTGAGCGGAGCGGACTTGTGTTTTTCTCACGAGCGTGACTCAGACCCTTTCCCGATACCCTATTTCTTTTTTTCGGTCTCCGTGGTATCCTCGCGATATTCTGCATGACATACAGCGGCTTTCCTGTCAGACATGCGGAGACCCTCTTCGAATCATGCAGCCCGTTCCTCATACGTACTGCGTAGTCATGACACACCTAATTTGACACTCAGGTCCCCACCGTTCACCTTGTCCTCGTTGCATTGGCCGCCGTTCTTCCTTCATCAGCGAGCGCAGACCTCGTTTTTGCTTCTCGTTTCTCGAGCAGAACGTTGGGACCCATAACCGTCTAATTGTGGCCATTTTTACCCAGCGCTTAATTCGTGACTGTACCCCTCTCGACAAAGAAGACCACCACGGGGCTCGATGGGCGGACTTTGGGCGGGAGACAGACACTTATCATTCCCACAGATATGACGAAACATGACTCGACGGAAGCCGGCGAAGTCTTCGTAACGTTACGGAAACACGACATAGGGACGGAGTTCTTAACATTAGGTTGCACCTTCGTTTTCTTCGTCGAAACATGTCCGGACCCTCATTCATCCTGCGCATCTTTCGCTTTATGACCCCTCCATTCTAAGAACACCTGTTTCATAGCCTCGGGAGCTTCTTCCTCGCCAACGACGCGTTGGCGGCTGAGCAAAAAGCGTGTAGAACATATCAGTCGGGCCGTATCCGCCAGGTAGGACGCAGTTTCGAGCTTCTTCCAATGATACATCCAATAAAACATACGATATTGAAGCCCAGTCCTTCATTAATTCATTCTCTCAAACACGCTCTCCGTCATGACCGCGCCGTGGAGACAAAAAGCCGGGAGTTGTTGTTGTTCCAGTTGAGGAACATAGACTACGCCGCCGTGGACAACGCGTTCTGGGGTGTGCGACATAATATTCGATCAGGAAGGCATCATGCGATTCACCGCTCTCGTCGTTGCTCGTTGAGCGCCCCGTTATTATCGGACGTCCCCGATAGGGTAAATTGGTTATTTATTTCGGCTGAGTTGGGCGAATAAGCACACCATCCCACGAGGGGGCGCAAACGATTTAAACCAGTTTAAACCTCGAGCAACATTAGGATAAGTAGAAAACGACACGTTCCTTGCGTCGTGTTGATTACGCATATCTGAATTGTCCATGCAGTAAAGCGCGGTGGAATGGCGTGTGGAGCGACGAAATTTTACGTCGATTCACGATTCCGAGCAGATGGTGGTGTAAAGCCGTCTGAAACCCACCGCATTGTGAATGATTCAAGTAATGTCCTGCCGGCGAGTAGATGGGGCATCAATCTGGCCACTTATTAAATATATTAGAGAAGGGTCTGAAACAGTAGTCCGCGGGCGAAGCTTTCACAGCGTAGTCGTAGCTCAGAAGCTTCAAAAACATGGTTGGCGTCCATATATCATAAGAGGATAAAATAGTCAACCTGGTGGCGCTATGAGGATTCCATGACATAGTTTAAGACACAGACTCCTGCCGACTTCTGCCCAGAAACCTTAGCCTCGACGTCCGCCATACACGAGGTCATGACGCATTACATTCCGAGATGAAAGAATGCCGATGTTCATAGAATACATATTTTTTCACATAATGGCCTGAAAGAGATCTAGCGCCGCATATATGTAGCGCCAGAATCATACTGGTTGGAAATCTTGAGACGGCATGTTTCCACTTGACAATTTTCGAAACAGATTTCCTTGCCCGTAATTCGGTCCATCACGAGGCCCAGCGCAGACTCAGGATTGGTAATCTCCTTGGTGGAATTTAAACCACCAGAAAGCGTGTATAAATAAAAATCCTTGTGCTTTAACAAGCCTCAGAATGTGTGCATAATTATTCCGCCATACTTAGCGCATTGCTCTGGAACAGGGATGAGTGGCGGATACCCGAATTAGAATTAGCCTTTCCTAAAACGACTAGTTCCGAGTTCCGCGGCTCCAATCACGCGTGCTAACCTGCATCGTGGTGTAAGAGGTTCGAATGACCCGGAACAGGCAGTTAGACCACATTTCGAACTTACTACAAAGTTCTGTAATGAAGAAAGAGGAGACGACATGATTCCAGAAGAGGAGAAACCGGTCCAAGTGCGTGAGAGCTATGTGATCACGAGCGGCGTGAATTTACCATACCCAGGCTCTGCATTAGAGTTAAGCCAGGATGGCTTATTCGAGCTCCAAGTTATCCCCCCGGAGATGAGAGGAACCAGATGAAATGAAGATGACGGGCAAAGGAAAACGGAGAGTGGTCAACGGTCCGGTCCTCGAATGCCCCACGGTATGTAGCCAAAGGAAGGAAAGAGAGGGCAAGTTTTTTCTTACATTGAGGACGGGAAAAGCCACCAATGGCGCTACAACTCCATTGCGCAACCTACAACACCACTCAAAATCAATCGCTTATTTGTACTATATCGCTGTATTTGCTCCAATAGCCTGTAAGCCGTTTCAAGGTCTTTCAATGCTCTCGACCTCATTTCTCTGTACCGCTAACATCATCTTGCATTCGGACTCATATCTCGACTCGACCTACACCATTGCCAACGAACACAAATGCCGCGTTGGCCTCTAAGCTAATTCTATGTATGTAACTTCGAACTTAAGCCCATCAATTCCCTTCTGTATTTTGTACTTTCCAGTCATCCCAGTCGCGATAGGGAGATCACTGACGAGGCGATGGCTTTAGAGAGATACTTATAATAGGTCTAAAAATAAAGAAAGGCCTTCGCTAATAATACTTCAGTCAACATTCTTAATTGATTCTTAAGCTAGCTTTCCTTCTTACTTCCACGTCCCTTAAACACGCATATCCTCATCTTTCTCGACCTTGATGCCAAAGAACGGCCATATCTGCGCGGCGTGCAGATCGGGAACGCCGTCCTCTATAATGGTAAAGTTAGGTCCCATTTGCAAAACGGCACGTTTCTGAACATTTTTTGTCAGCCAACTGTATTCCAACGCCTCAGCCGACATTGGACACGCCACTTACAAGACCGAGCGAGACCTTGATTCCTGGAGGAGCCGGAGTATAACGCTCCAGGGGCTCCGATTTCGTCTTCTTACCCTCTGCGGAATCACTGGCTGCAGAGGCGGCTTCGCGGCGCTGAATGAGCTTTACAATGTTCTTTGCGGCAATTTCGGCCTATGGGTACGTGATGCGATTTAGTCGGGCACGAAAGATCCAGTTGTTCATTCCTCACCTGCGCATACGCGATATACCCAGCGGCAATTGCGCCAAAGGCGTCAGCAGAGTCTCCAATGGCGAAAATGTGGGGGTATCCGGTTGTCTCTTCCTCTTCTTCGACGACTGGTTCGGCGGTTTTTTCGCTGGCGGTAGCTTTTTTGTCATCGGCCGATTTTTCGTCAGTCGAAAGCTTCTCGAGGTCGGATGTGACATCAGTGATGTCCTGTCTAACTGGCCCAGTGGCGACTTGCAAGGTTCTGAGAACTCGGATACGCTTGTTCTCCTCGTTGATCGTCGCTGGGTCCATCTCCCTCATTAACCCAGTGTTTGGCGATTGGCCGATGCACAGCAGCTGTTCGATATTCAACGTCTGGTTCTAGATTTCCCCTTTCCCATTCTATGACGCACCAGCAGGTCTGCGGCGATTTCACGCCCGGTGACGGTTCGAACAACCTTCTGGCCACGCTCATTGTGCCTACCCTTCCCGTCTTCGACCGAGTCCATGTCGAGGCGCTCACCGAGAATAACTCCGATGTCCATATTTTCACAAGAGCGGAGAACTAACGAAAGGTAGGTCAATCTCATGCATGAAACAATTATATTGCACGTTCTCACTTTCTTCATGCATCTTGATGTCAAATCTGGGCAATAGTTGCTTGCGCGAATGGAGAAGGGTGACCTTCTTGGCAGGATACACTGACTTTATATCGGTCGCAAATTCTGTAAGAATGTTAACCAACGTGATAGGACAATAGATCTTGACTTACGGATTCCAAGCGCTCCACCACCGACGACGAGAACGGTCGGAGAACCCTCGATAATTTTCTGCTTCTCCAGGAACCAATTGCACCCTTCCGACTTGAGACCGCGGTACACCGCAGAGGCCGCCTTTGCCTCAGGTATGAGTTTTCCGTTCGCACACGTTCCCCAGAGGTCAAGAGGCGGCGGAAGATGCGCACCAAGGGCGTAAATCGCATAGTCGAACGGAATGGTCTCAGTCGGGAAGCCGAGTTCCGGGAAGGCTCGAGATAAGGTGATGTGGGTTGGCCTTATTGATGTGACTGTTGCTTGAAGGTGTATGTTTTGCTCAGGCTTAGGAGGATCGACGAGGAAGACCTTGGTATAGGGAATAACTACACGAGAGGTCAGTTGTATCGATAGAAAAGTGCATCGAAGGAATGCTTACATGCTTTATATTCGTGGCCAGGAAGAACAGCAAATCTAGGCATCACATATACATCTGGGAACGATGGAATTGTGCGCTTGGGTAAAAATTTCTTCGATGCTTACGGTTTGCGTGGCTGACGTGTCAAGGTGTAAGTGACTCTCTCTATATAGAAGTAAGAGTAACCCACGAGTTTCTGTCGACCAGGATGACCCTCCACCCTTCAGGCAGTGTCGCAGCAAGTATCTGGCCGGCATGAGCGCCTTCGAAGAGCACGACGACCTAAATTTAGCCTTCCGCCGTCCTGGAGTGCGAAGGAGGAAATTCTCACCGCCATAGGCAGCGCCGAGAACAACAACAGTTCTGGTATCCTTACTAGGGGCCATTCCACCACCCATAAATCTATGAATAACTAGCCAAGGAGGATGAAGCGTCGAGGCTGATTAACGAAGGAAAGGAAGATGAAGGTGGTTATTATCAGATAAGACGAGTTCTTATCTTTCTCGTCACGCTCCATCGATTCCTTTCTCGGACGAATTCTCGGGCTGATACACATGTGTATGGAGTAATTCAAAACAACGCAAAAATAAATCGAAAAGGGAGAAAGAGGGGGGTTTACAGACCTTTCTCCCTTCATTTTTGGGTTTGAAATTGAGTGCGAAATTTACTTTTTCGGCCCTGCGGGGAGTTTCTGCAGTTGTGTCACAGTGGATGCGACCGGACAGCGGGCTAGCGCCAGATACTCGCTTGCGTGCCATTTTCACCGAGAACAGTTGATGAGCTAGACTAACAGGACAGAAAATATCTACTGCTATTATAGGAGAGATATCGAACGTAATGGTACATTACAGCAGGTTCGCTTTCGTGATCATCAGAAAAATACAAATGTTCGTGAAGTCAAAAATTCTCCTTGACTAGGATCGGAAACCGCCCACGAAGGACTGGTCGTTTCCTTTCGTTACAGCAGGAGGCGGTGGTCCGGGAGGCTATAGAAGGACGACAATAGAATCAGCTGTCGAAGGAGCCGAGATTGGAAGCATTCGGCACGTACTGGAGCGTAAGGATTGTCACTTGGCTGTGCTTGGGGCGTTCCTTGGGGCTAAGACAAATATAACGATGAGCGAATCCGCAGCAAGACCTCTGTAAGCGTACGCACAGCCTGACTACCTCCTCCATAGTTCGCATCTTGGCCGTATGCAGGCGGCGGCAGCGGTGCATTCTGGGGCGGATACTCGGGGTTATACGCAGCCTGTGGTTGCTGGTGATTCGGGCTGAATGACCCCGGGTGGCCATACGCCGTCAGGGGAGTTGTATTGTGCGGTGGTACACCGGCGTTCGAGCGACCCCATGGTCCGCCGAACATGGGTTTCGTTCCCCACTGCGGTTGAGGAGGCACTCCGCCAGGTGTGGTCGTGACGGCGAAGGTTTGACGTTGGCGCCGGCGGCGCATGCAAATCATGAGGAGGCAGATGAAGAATATGCACGCTAGACCACCTGGAAGACAAGAAAGAGCCATGGTGAGACATTTTGTCGAATCAGATGAGCGAGGTCACCCACCGACGACGGCTCCTGCTATGATTCTTGCAGCTGATGGTCTCCGTCTTCTGTACACGATTTGAGCATTCGAATATGACGTTAACGATGCAAGGACGATTATATTGAGGAGAGAGGGCGTAAAGGAGTTCATGGTCATGATCATGGTGGGCGTTCGGAAGGATGCCGGCGCCTGAGCCTTGTTTCTTATTTCTTATATACTGCACTGTGACGTCATATGTGACTTTCAAGGCCTGGACCTCACGATAATCTTGGCCCCCAACCCGAGCGAGGATGGGAATTTCAACCGATTTGATCTACCTACACAGCATTTAATTCAACCCCAGGTATTAATATTAAGGCCTAAAGAGCGATGTGGATTTCATGACGCAGACCCCGAAATTTCGAAATTTCGTTTTTTGGGCCGAACCCCCAATTCTTGCGTATTTCTCGGTCCAGAAATGGTATGATGCTTTGCGTATGAAGAGAGAGGTTCACGTGCACAAGTATCAAACATCCTGGAGGGTTGGGCACTATTTACCGGTCTAGAGATAATTCCTGAGCTATCTTATCTTATCTCAAAGCAGATTAGCTGGCGTTCTAGAGTCCGAAGCATGACGGCACGGTGACAACACCGTCGCACTCGGAATCTTTTCAACGAGTGCACACTTTGAACAACATCTACTTCCTGGACATCTCCCAACGCCCATGACCACCCTTCCTAACAAGTTCGTGCACTATGTGCACCCCAACAACGAGCGTGCATTTCGCGAGGTAGCTTCTTCGAGGGACACAATTCGTCAGGTCAAAGATGGATTCCAAGGCGCATGTTCGTGGTGCACGAAGCCGAGCTCTTTGTCAGGAATTTCACGGTGCGCTCGGGTAGGTGTGCTCTGCTAAGGGAACGGGATGGTTGAGGATTGACTTGACATACGTTTTCTCAATGACAATAGTGCAAGATGGCCATGTACTGCTCGCGTGAGGTGAGTTATCTGTTTCACTCTAAGCACCGGTGCTTGACATAGATATGGGCGCAGTGTCAGAAGAAGGACTGGCCAGGGCACAAACTATCATGCAAAGAAGCGACCTCACCGATCCCGCGGCTCCTGTCTGGCTTAATGGCAAACCCAGTGCTTATTCTTGACCTCCATACGGCCCTCGCGATCATGTTCAACATCGCGACTATCCCGGCCAATCCCCCTCCCCCATTCCGTCCAGAGGACAAAGTCGACCAAAAGGCCGAGGCTAAGGCCTTCGCCCTCGCGCTCAAAGACGCACGACCGAACCCAGGAAACTGGGATGAGGTGCCCTTCATCGCACAGTGCACGGTGGACCTCGAGCCCTGTGACTATAACGATGTGAGTAGGGTGCTCTCCGGCGAGGTGACCGATGTGCAGTGCGCGACCATCGAAGGGAGGTTGCATCTCAGGGATTTGTGCCCATCTGAGTTCTCTGCGCCTCCGATCCCCATTGCATCGGTATCGCGCCCGCGATCCGAGGAGTAGTAACAGAAATTAATTTTAAAAGATTGAGATCATCGCTGCTGTGGAACGTAACGATCCTAAAAAAGCATATTTAGAATTAGCCGACCAACCCGCTAAAAGTATACCATAAACTCCTAAAGATGATAAAGCTAGAGTATATAATACTCCTAAAGTTAAATCAGATATTACTGTTTTTTGCCTTATGGTTTTTACCATAAGGTACAAACAAAGCCATTTGGTAAACAGAGGGCTTTGTTAACTTTATATTTAAAATATAAAGCTACAGAAAACAAGAGCAAAAGATATAAATACAAATATAAACCCGAATGGTAAGGTTCATGCCCCCCATACCAAGGCAAAACTCGGCTGGAACTGTGGCATAATGCCAAGACGCTCCGTGACCAGAACCCAAATAAAGTAAAATACCCAATCTGCGTGCTTGACTTCGTCATCCCAGATGCGAATCAGCTTCTGACGTTTGTAGTCCCTATCCTGTCTCCGGCAATTGTCTGTGTCGAGGAGGGCAGAGGGTGCATGTTCGAGTCAGCGATGACACCCGGGCTTAGATGGGATGTCCCGCTTTCTGTTGATCTATGCCTCCAGTGAGTCTATCGATTTTCGCCTCCCGTGTAAGTTGATGCTATAAAATGATGCTAGGTGGATGAACAATCATATTCGTGACGACAAGAAAAACCAGCTCCGGCTCCGTACGGGGATGACAAAGGAACTGTTAGAGATTTTTCTTCGGAGGCACCACGCAATGCTACAGGGATAATCAGAGATTTGGTAACGTCATGAAGACAATGCGGTGTTTGTACGCTTCGCTGGTCCATAGATCCATTGTAGTGCAACAAATGCACAAATGTGCACAGCACAGGAAACAAGAACTAGGTTGAAAGCGACTTTGAAACGAAATCTTCGCCCTTGATGTTCGTTGTGGCGTAACTCATGTAAACGTACCAAAGTGACTAAAATTCATCAGACGAAGGTGTCACTGCAGCAAAAACTCTTTTCATACCAATTATATTTCCATACACCCGCTGCAGGACAAACGCCTAAAATACTTCCGCGGTCCTCGTCAATGCCACAAGGGCAGCCGTAGGGAAGACAATCAATTGAGAAGGATTGTCCTAGACGTTGGACACAATATCGACACGGCTCGCTATTATCGTGGTTGAATGAGAGGATGTGTTAGGCGCTTAAAAGAGAGGATTCCCTTGGAATAGTCGTACACTCTTTCCCGTAAATGGTCCTATCCGGCGTTGCCCATCGATCGCCCTGCTATAATAGGAGGACAAGTGGTGAATTGGCAAATAGAATCCAGGCATTTTTAGATACGAGCATTTGTAGAGAGGAAAGAGAAGGAAAATGATTGTGGGTTAGGAAGGGAACCGAAATAAGATTCGAAACGGACATCCATCGTCGAGATTGAAAACGCAGAAGAAGGCCGAACGGGTAGAAATATAGACCCGAACATTGGAGGAAACTCGCAAGAAAACCCACCTTGAACGATCCACTAATCTCTCTGGCCCTTTCGTGCTGATCAGATTAAAGCAAGGCTAGCTCGAGGGTGTTCATTTGGAGAAGGAGAGTGGTATATCGAACAGCATAAGAACGACCGCCTGAGAAGGGGAGGGCTCTTCGTAGTTTCATTCGTGGACCTGCAGCGAATGCGATGGTATTAGACCTGGCAAGGATCCAGGGGAGGATATACGCACAAAATATGAAAGAGAAGAGATAAGGAAGGACGAAGCAGACGGCGGCTGATGTATACCTACGCTCTTCGCGTTCGTTGAGCAGCTCCGGCCTAGATCCAATGCGAGCTCTACTCGAAGGCGACGTTGGTGGATATTTGAGATAAGTTCTAATGTAGCCGAGATCACTGCCAGTACGAGGAGAGACTCGTTTGGTGCAGTATTTGTTCAAACGACGCTGGAGAGTTCTTCGGTTACAGACAGCTGGGGACTCGAACTCTGAACGGATGGCTAAGCTCGGGCGCGAGGACGGAATGGACGAAATAACGAAGTACTCGTTCGAACGGCAGGTCGACTTCGTGTGAAAAAAAGATGACCTTCCGAGGTCCAAATAAATGATCGAGGAATTTTTTCTGGGTAGCACAAAGGAGAGGTTGACCTTGCCTTGCATCGTGTTCGGCGGTCTGTACCGGAATGGCAGTTAGATTCCGCCAGAGGATGCCGTAGGGAAAATAGACGTGAAGGAAGGGCAAAACATGAGAAACATCTGAAGGGACTAAGGAGAGGAAAGTGGGAGGAAGGCCGATGAATGGCTCGTACGTGGCAGCTGACCGCGCCTGTCCAAATTTTGGGAAGGGAGCACTAGCGTCGAGCACTGAAGTACTGACGACGAGCGTCGGTGTGGTGGTTGTGTAGAAGCCAAAAGAACGAGGAAGCAACCCCAAGCAAACTCGGAAGATCCGGCCCGGGTCTAGACCAAAGAGCTGACCTCATTTAAGCGCCAAGCAAACCTCTACCTGCTACAAAAGCGACGATCGTATCATACCCCGGCTTCCTCCCCTCGTCTCCTTTTCTGCAGCCCTCCTTAGCTCTTCAAAGCTTCACCGTTAGACGAACCCAGAAACAAGAGCCTCAGAGATAGCGCGCGGCAGGAAACGGGCAATCGGGTCTGTCATAGTACTCCAACTTGGCGCCAGCATTCTCTATTCGATGATGCCCTGGCCCCGTTGGAGTTCTCGTACCAACCATTGGCAGTACTTGTCCCGTTCCCTGCCACCTCGCCAGCTGTCCTCTGCATCCCCCAAGCGTATATGAACGCGCTCACCTCGCTCGTCTCTTCCCTCTTCCTTCATCCCGTCTTTTCATGACAACCAGGCCCCAGGGCACGCGGGCAGTCGTTGGCAGCTTCCATATCTCCAGCCGTCACTCGCGCAGCGTCGTCTACGAGTCGTTGTCAATTTCATTGGAAATATCCCCACATAAAGCTCGCCAATGCACTGCCCTCTGTTCCTTTTGTTCCTTTTGTATCGTGCGTGTATCGGGGATGGGCAATACGTCGGCCACCGTCCCGCTTTGTCCGAGTCGCGCTTAAAGTTATAAGTATTCATCAGGACGGACACCAGGGACACTCATGCGATCCATGCGACTCTAAGCGTCCTCCAGCACTGTTGTACTGGTGCCGGTTTGGGTTGCTCTCATTGATCACGCAGGGTGTTCCCTGCACTCTGTCCGCCTCTCCTGGGCTGTTCTCTCTCCCTCTTTTTCCCGGGCCTCCTCGTTCTCCTCCTCTGCCTCCTCGTTCTTCTCTTCTGCCTCCTCAATCTTCTCTGCCCTTCCCTTCCTTTTTTATACCTTTTCACTCTCTTAAGCGCATGTACATATACCCACCATCGGCAGCGCTTCTTCCTCCTTTTACCGTCCGGAAACATAAAGATAAACAGCATTCTTACTTTCCGGTTCCTTCGCTGATCGCTTTCGTCTCTCCTCGTTCCGTAGGACGACCGCCCATACGATATTCTACGCTACTCTTGAAGCTTTACCGCGTCCGATTCGGAATTAGACAAAGCCCTTTCCTCGATCTGAATTGGAAGCCGACATATGGGCCTCCCAGCTTTCTGAATTGACACCTTACGAGTTCCTTGTCGTTGATCGTCTAGACCTCAGGCATGAAGGTAAGCCAATTGCTGAAATCATGGCGAAGTAGATCGGAGAGACGAGCTGTGAAGGGTGGGATAGATACATAGTAATTAAATAAGGCTAGGCTGTGTATGCTACGAGTCGGAGAGAGGCAAACAACAAGATGGAATGAGCGAAATGAGTGAAGAGTAAACAGGAATAAGTACTAAGTGACGAACTCCAACGATCAAAGCAGGTAAGTACATAGGGAAATATCAATTCGGTCGGCAGCGCCCGCTGTTAAGTACCGTAAAATATGAGTGGATCTTCTCAAGTGGAAGTCAGAGAATGTGATAGGCGCCAACAACGTTGAAGGGGGGGGGTCGTGCGTATGTCAATTGAGGTCTCAGACAATTTCGGCGCTCTTGAGGTGGTCGCGTAAGATGCTGTCTTTCACTTTTAAAAGCGGCCATTAGCCACGAAAAGAACTGAGAAATATTTGAACGCGGGGACGTACCTGCTTTGATCGTTGCCGCGGTAGCTTTGGTGTCCTGTAGTGACAGCATTCGAAGTTAGTGACACACGACTTCGAACGAGAGGAAGACAAAATTGACGTACGATGACAGTCGTGGCATAGAAATAGCTCTGCCGTTGCTCAGTCGACTGCTGCTTGAATATCTCTTTGAACTTTTCCTTCAGATCTATCAGCATCGTCAGCATCGTCAAGTGTCCCCCGCCGCAATAGAACAGAAACGACGACCACTCACATTTGACGACGGCGTTGGCATCGTTCGGTCGCTCTCCGTAGCTGGGTAGGTATTTCCTCACTTGGACGCCCGACTTGAGCTTCTTCTTGAGCAGGTCGCACTTGTTGAGGAATAGGATCATGGTAGCCCTCCCAAGGAGCTTCGACCCGCAGACTGAGCGCCAGAGGAGGAACGAGTCTTCGAGGCGGTTGATCTTGGAGTCTTCTGTTAACCGTTCATCGAAGCATGAGACGGCTGGAGATGTTGTGAGTAACGGCTGCAAAAAGGTGACTGGGGATACCTACGAGCCACTAGATGATCGATGAACACAGATTAGCATCGCATATGCAGGACGAAGAAGGCACTAGTGCTCACGGAAGATGATAGCCTGGACGTTATCAAAGTACGGCACCCACGCATGTCTCTGCCAGCATCAAGATTCCGTCAGAAAAGGCGCATATATGCGTTGAAAAGAACGACGCACCATTGTCCTCGAACCCCCAACATCATAGAGCAGCCACTCCTTCCCCGCATCGCCCCCAATTCCGCCTACGTTTAATATCGGTATACGCTTCACTGGTCGTGGCTCGAGCGAGGGATCCGACCCACCTGCGAAAATTGCGGCGTTCTGCGGTTCGAATGAGATTCGGTATTCTTGCACACCGAGGGTCCGGAGGCGGGCACGGACAATGTCGTTATCTGATGGTTCGTAGTTGCGCTGCGCTATCCGGTCGAGGTCGTCCAAGAAGCTGCAATCCTTCAGCGAGAGGAAGAAAGGGATAAAGAAGAGGGCACGTACAATCCCGCCGAATCCTCTAACCGCAGCTTCCTGTTCTTCAGCACAACCCTGACCGCCTCGTCCGACCACAGCGCCTTCATGTCTTCACGACAGCTTGCGATGATATCCGTAGCGTCGTCGCTAGCACTCTCTGCACTACCCGCATCGCTGCCGTGTCCGTGCAGGCTCACACGGGCAGCGGAGGACCCCTTCTCGAGCGCATCGTGCAGCCGGCGGACACCCCACTCGCCCTTCCGCTTCTTCGCCAACGAACTCGAACCCGTACCCGGGTCAAGCTCGAGGTTGAGGGTGAGCGCACCGAGGTTCGCAGCAGCACCGTCAACCTCCTCTACGGCGCCCTCTCCAAGCCGCCGCTTCAGATCCGTCTCCACTCTTCGCAGCGGACCGAGGCGGAGCTTTAGCAACTGGTGCTTGTCCGTCAGCAGACTCGATAGCGGCTGCTTGGAGATCGAGTGCGTCCTAGTGCCCAGGGCGGGCGATTCAGGGCGCGGAGGTGCGAAGAGGGGTGTATTGGGCGGCAAAGGTGAGAAGGGCGTGGTAGGGGTTCCAGGATCTATCGGGTCGCCGTCCATCTCAGCTTGGAGGACCTCGACGATGGTGATGATGGAGCGGATAACGTTGAGCTGGATGACAGATCGCCAGGAGGCGCGCTCGGCGTCCCAGGCTGCTCTGGCGTAGCGCATACGGAAATCTGAGATCACGGTCAGAAGAGGTGAGTGAGTGCGCCGACGAGATGGAGGGATTGGAGAGGATACTAACTTTTGAGCGTCGTCGACTTGCCTAGGGGATCGGTGAGCACGATTACGGTGAAAGAACGGGGAAAGTACACACCACTCTCCGACTGCCCAGCAGTAGCACCCTCACAACGTATTTGTCCTTCTTCAGCGCCAGCTTCTCCGCCTTGAGCTGGTCATCGATCATGTCGCTGACCCGCTTCGCCTCCGCCTCCTTCGCTTCTCGTATCGCCCGTTCGCCCGGCGTCTCGCCTGGAGGTGGCGTGTGGAAGATCGCGAATGGATCTGGTTCAGTGCCGCCCATAGTCAAGGTTCAACTTCGGATTCGAATTCGAGGTGTGTGCCAGCAACAACACTTGAAGTGAGTCGAAAGAGAGAGATGGATACCTATCTCCGGGCGTCGGGGTGAAGAGGGGTTTTACGGAGACGAGAGCTGTCGAGCGCGGAGATCAGTGTTCTGCCATAGATGGAGGGATTTGAGACGAAACATGGTCGTGGCGATTGTGAGGGAATTGCTGTTCGCCGTCGTCGGCAAACAACGCACGACAAAGTCCGCTCACGCACCTTTACACAGCATCAATCCGACGGATCGTCCACTCACTCTTCGTCGACTCGGAGAACGTCTCGCACGGAATGAACGCGTAGAGGATGGACGAGGGGAGTGGAGAAGGAAGAGGGTGCTCTGCGGTTAGTTCGCTTGGGGTTTTGTATATCGCGACCATTCCGCGTCGTGTGAGTGCGTCGCTTCTCGTAAACTTCTTCTCCGATGCTGCTAATTTTAAAGTCTGATCTAGATTACGTCCCGCATCGTCCGCGTCCCCTGTGCGACGACGCTAGACGCTACTCAACATATTACTGCACCCCACAACGCAAAAGACGCGTTCCCTCTCATAGTGAAATTGAGTGGACTTTGGGACAGACGTTTGACGGACGTTTCGATATCGATCCAACGCCCGCCTCGACGGCTTCGACCATGGCTCGACGCGAATGGACCACGGATTCCATCAACGCCATGCCATGTTCATCGCCGTTCAGTATTCTGTCATTCGTCGTCAAGCAAGGTGTATTTCAAGTTGGGCATGTAAGTATATTTCCTCGACGAACTCCGAAGTCTCGATGCCAGACGCCCATCCGTTCTTCACATTCCCGGCCATTCACAATGCCTCTCGTCCTGCGCTGGACCAGCCTCTTCTCGGCATCCAAGTTACCACGATTCCCCTTGGGAATAACGTGGGACCGCCAGCAGCCTCGAGGTAAATTTCTCGGCGTTTGCTTCCATCGCGACCGTCGATCTGTGCTCAAGGCTTAAGCGCCAGAGCCCAGCTTTTCTCAGGTATGCTCATAAGCGCGCCAAACTTTCGCGACCTCACTCGCCAAACGCACGTAGATGCTCCTCCTCCAGGTCTCCGCCCCCATAGCATTCGCCTGCGTCACCGCCAGCGCATCTGCTTTCATTTCTCTATCTCTTCCAGAATTAACGTCAGCCATGACACACGCTCTCCCTAGTTCCATTGCAGGACACGCACCCACACTGGAAGTTGGGAAGTTGTGCTTCGGGCTCGATTCGTGTAATGTCTTGGGGAAATATCGGCGCGAACAAAAGCTATGCGGTCTCTGGGTTCCTGTGGGGATAAAAGTGGTCGTGTTCAGAAAGGCGTGCTGCCGACAGCGGGCGTTCAGAGGGTAGAGATACCAAGGCTCATTCTCTCCTTCACTTTTTCTTCGCCTCATCACTCGTGATTCCCGTCCAGGAACTCTCTGCAAACTGGTATTCTTCCTCCTTTCTGGTCCTCTCTTCTCGTGGTCTACGCTGGGGGTTAAACCTACGCCTGCCATCACCATCCGCTCGTAGCCTCGTACTTCCCTTTTCTCGCCAACATTTATAGTGTGTCCAGTTTCCTCCTTCGTATCCTTCGTTCCGACACTGTCTCCCAGAGTCTAACACCAGAATATGCAGGCTTACAGAAGTAACGCGCGGATCCTTGCAATGATAGTCCGGAATGACTGGTAATTTCGAATCCTGGTGCTGGCCTTATGCTTCAGAGTTGACTTCCCGGACGATATATTGAATTTATGAACCCTGCAGGTGAGTTCCCCCCCGTCTTGCAGAAACAGTCAAACACCGTTTGTCTTTCTGTCATGCACCTTACACAACATACCCCAACCTCGTCTTTAAAATCAGGCCTAACTTTGGAGCTAGTATTCAGCCAGGAGGTGCTTGAGGATCATGGAACATGTCGTAAAAGGACTGGGAGCGAAGATGAATACGAAGATGAAGAATGCGAAGTTTCGATGGCTGAGTGGCGAACGACGGCCCTAGTGCGCGGTGTGAAAGATACGCGGAAGGTGGCACAGGCGACGAAGGCCAAGGAGCGGCTGCAGGTGCGTCTTCAGCTTCATCCCCTTTTTGTCTCAGATCTTCATTCTCGAATTGAGTGTCCTAATCATACCTCCTACTGAACGTTGGATTCCATTCACTTAAAAAATCCCCCAGCTATGTTCGAAGGGAGCGTCGCCTTTCCCGAGAGTCTAGACCCTGTATGTATGACGTCACTAAGCCAATCCCAGCGATCTTTCCCTAACATCTAATTACCCCCCTTATCAGATATCTGAACCTCCTTGAATCCTCTCCCTCAGTGGCGCAGAGAATCAGAACCAGCGACTATGGAATGGGTACCCACTGCGCTCCTCCAAATGTGACCCAGCACCTTCGGGCGGTCTCTAGATTTCGTTGGATCTATCGCTCGCATTGATAACCTACTCCCTGCATTCTGCGTTCCACGTCTCTGGTTCTTGTCAATCCCTCAACGCTGCAGCTCCCATTTCGCCGCTATCCGGCTGCATCTTCCGCGTCTGCTCCACATCGGCGCCCGTCAAGTGCCTGTTGTCACAAAGCAGCACTGAAGAAGCGACAAGGACAGCGCTTGCTCATTATCATCTCGCCCAGCTGACATTCGATGACCTCGCTCCGAGGCGCTGTCGACAACACTGGACGCCTGCATTTTTTAGCCATGCACTGTCCTTTGTCTCTCTGCACTCTGCATCATTTGTCTCCACTGTTAGCCGGCGTCTCAATTGCTTTCCTCTCTCTCGGTCCATTCAATCCTTTCTCTTTTGTACCAGCACTAGTTCATTATTGCCGAACTGGGTCTGTTGACCGTACGTCGATGTATGTGCGATCGCGATACTTTCTAACACGTTAATACTGGTCCATTTAGCGCACATACTGTCCCTGGCGGGGTATACCCCTAATCGAAATATAAGTCTAGACGATCTGTGTGAAAAAGCGTCCACGAGCCTTCGATAGATGCTACTCAACGCGAAGGCATTATCCATGCGCTCAAAGTACAGATCGTGCCCGCCGCTTTCTTATGATCATCTACAAGCCACGCAACGCTCGCCGTCATCTGTGGAGGCTAGAGCTTTCACTCGCTGCGTCGGAAGTGGCGTTGGGTAAAAAAAAAATTACGCGCCTTTATCAGAACCCCTTCTTACCGGTAAATTACCTCTCGAAGATGGGGAGAGTAAAACTCGGTGGACTCAGAAGGACAAACTGCCGTGGTCCCGAACGATTAAAATCAAAAGAGGAAGAAATTCTGCAAGCCAGGAGAGCCATTGACAGAGTGCAATTAGGAAACTTTATATTGACAGAGCACAACGTCCTCCTAACCCCGCCTTTTACCCATACGCATAACCTTGAATGGCGGAAAACGCAGGCCCCAGGTTACGAGCAGTTCGGTAATCCTGTGTTTGTAATTGGGCGACCTTACATAGCTCGTTTGTTGTCTTACGTACCGGCTTCTCTGGTCGACTTGCTTTGCAAGGTCCGCAGTCTTCTATACCTTGAAGAGAGCAGAAGCACGCAGGTAACTTAACTTCCAAGATTTGTGGCGAATACGAAGTCGAAGTTCCGCAGCATTTGACATACAACCGACGATGGTTGCGCAATACCTCTGTGCTACCGTGATATTTTTAGAATAAGTACATGCAGAACCGTTTATTCTTCAGACTACTTTCTCTGGGTCATTTATTTAATTAATAATTCTTGGAGATGCGCAGTTTCTTTTCCACTTTTCGAGCCGTATGCACTCTACCGCTCGTTCGACGTATTTCTGGAGTGAAACCCTTCGGTCATGCTGAAGAACTATACTCCTTCTCGGCCACTGCTGATACAAGACTGGCCATGATCACTTTCAGTACCTCTACGCTCAAGTATTTCGACTTTGACGCTCTGTAAGTGAGCCGACCATGCGTCATCCAAATGCGCGTCTCCATGGTTACATATCCTAAGATTCGTTCTGGGCCCGGCACGTTCGGTCTATCGGCGTTATGATGCATAACGTACTCCATCTGCACATGTAACCAAGATTTGTTGAGAATAGGGGCACGGGAATACGCTTGGAGACCCGACGACTGTGGTTTCGGGCCCAAACATGGAAATATATCCCATTTTCTTCCAACACACATCATGCCCGCCGAGCCCACAACAGCGAAACTCAAGCGCCGCACTAGCAGGAAGGAGTTGGAGGAATACCGATTCGATGGGAGCCATGGGAGAGAGCTCGAGATGAAACGGAACAGAGGTTCGTCCTCAGCTCACGTCTTCCAAAGCCACGTGTGCCTGATGTTTCCTTTCACTTTCCATGTTCCTTTGATTCTGAACAGGAGAGGTACGTCGGCCATGCACTCGCCCAAGTCATGACGCGCCTCTAACGCCGGAGCGTAGGTTAGCTGTGCCGAATGTCGTAGGTATGCGGTGATCGCACGTTTTGCCCAGGACTTGGAACTGATTCGGATAAGGCTCAAGATAAAATGCGACAAACAGATCCCTTGCCAGTCGTGCCAGGTATGTTTTCGACTCTTGTGCATCGTCTCGAACTACCGACGATGGAGGATCCGTAGCGGAGAGGGTGTGCCACGCTGTGCCCGAACGGTACGTGGCTGACCTTGTTTCACATGTGTTCTACTCACATCTAGTGCAGGAAGTCTCGCGACCGGACAAGGAACACGGTATTTCACCCCCATCGATGTCCCTGAGTGCATAAGAGGCTCATTCGAGGACCAGATTCGTGTTGGCTGCTACCGAACATCTGCATCGCCGCATCGCCCACCTCAGTGGACGCATTCGACAACTCGAAGATGCCCTCGCCGTCATACACGCCAAACATTCGACAGAGCCGCATCCGCTCCTCCACGAAGACCTCATCGCCGCAGAGGAGCACGACGTGACAGAGGAGAGAGGAGAGGGCGGGTCAGGGTCAGCTCCGCAGCACAAGGAGGTGATGGACGCTTTTGGAACACTGTCGATATCCGAGCACGGCATCTCGAGGTTTTTTGGCCCTACAGGAGGTTCAGAGGTGCGTCCCGTTTTTATGTTGCCCAAAGATTCCTAGATATTGATAATGTTTATTTCTTCACAGAGTTTGCTACTGGTGAGTACGCCGTCCGCTATGCAACCTCCGTATGGTGAATATCTCCCACCACAGACGAACCTCGACTCGAACCAACCTTCGCCTGAGAGTGCACATACGCCAGATTCGATGCGAGGATCGAATAGTCCATCATTACACAACGACCTGTCGCTGTTTTCTCGAGCCTTTCCGTTTACTCCCATGGGCGAGACAACGGACGTCCGGGAGGTAATCGAGAGCCATTTACCGCCGTTCGAGGGTACGATTGCTCTGTGCGAGACGTATTTCGACCAGTGCGGATGGCTCTTCCGCGGGACGACCCGCACGCAGGTCATGGACGACATGGTGCCGGTGATCTACAGACGCCAGGCTGCCCCGCTTGAAGAGGACTACAGCGGACCACACGACCTCGCGCTGCTTTTCATCGTGCTCGCCATCGGGTCTCTCGTCGGTAACGCCCAAAAACCCTGGAATGTCGCGCAAGGAGAGCATTTCCACCAGATTGCCCGCGCGGCGCTCGCGCTGCAGCCGGTACTCGAGAAGCCGTCGATTGTGACAATCCAGTGCCTGCACCTAATGAGCATCTACAGCGCGATGAGCGGGGGTGACATGAAGAGCGAGACGAGTATGGAGATGGCGTGGTCTCTGATCACCCTCTCGTGCCATTTATCCCAAACCGTAAGCTTCTTTTGGCTATTTCTCATTGGGCATCAGACTAACTATGTTTGTAGATTGGTCTTCGTGCGTCCTGATGATCTCGCCCGCCCCCATCTATAGCTGATTCTAGTTCTCTTCCAGATCGTGACAGTGCTCGATGGGGTCTCTCGCCGAAGATGGTCCAACGCCGACGGACACTTTTCTGGGGCCTTTTCGTTGCCGATGTCTGGCAGGTAAGCTCTATTTGTTATCCGTTGTTCATCACGTTTACCCCTCAAATCCTCCAGAGCATGAACAATGGACGACCACCGTCTTTTTCGTTGGCATATGCCGATTGCTCTTTCCCTCAATATGATACCAACAACGAGACTAACTTGACGGCATGTAAGTGTTCTACTTCTCACCGGATGACCCGCTCTTCATTCTCGTTCTAGTTGAAATCTGGCAATTCCGCTTCGCGTCAGAGTGTGTGGCCGACGTTACAGCGCGCACGCTTACCGCCGAGGCACCGTCCTATGCGACTATCATGGATCTCGACCGTAAAGTTCGCGAATTCCCTCTGCCTGAGGGTCTGGGGTCCTCGGACGACTTTGGAACGTCGTTCCAACGCTTCGTGTTGGAGCATATTAAAGAGACAGGTATACCGGTGTTTGATTTTTGTAGCTAACCAAATACTGACGTTTCTTCACGTAGTTCTCATGTATATTCACCGCAGCTTCTTCGCCCAAGCAATAATGGATCACCCGGCCAACCCTCTGAAGAGCACCTACGCGCCTTCCTTCCTCGCGGCGTACCGTGCTTCGTCGACTATCCTCAAGGTCGTGCGAGAGCAGTTCAAGATGTGGCCAAATTCGTGCTCTCGGTTCTGGAATATGTGGACCTTCGCCTTCTCCGCAGCTGTAGGTCGCAGTTATCGGTCATCGCTGAGATGATTTATCCTGATACACGCTTGCTCTCTCAGGTGGTGTTCGGAGCTGTTGCCACGCGCGGTCCGCGATCCCCACTCGCCCAGTCGGCAATGGCTGAGCTCGAGCAGGCGTGTGTCCTCTTCTCAAAGGCGGCAGCTACTTCTGTCCGCGCTGCGACGGCTCTCGTACGTTTTCCTTACTCCCTTGTACCTCGTCATCTCATCTTCGTTTCTCTGCAGCCCATTTTAACCAGACTGAGCGAGAAAGCTCGCTATGCCCTAGCCTCTGCGCAGAAGGATCCCAACCCCCTCTCCGGCGATCAGGGCGGTCTGCTCTGGAATATCAAGCAAGAGGACACCGAAGACGAGCTCACCATCCTCGCCGGCCGCACGCGGTTCATCTCAACGAAGAAGGGCGATTTCTTGAACACGACGCCACCTCGCTTTGAACCCAGCCCGCCTCTCTTCCCACCCGCTGCACCACCTGCTCCGGAGCCCATGCAGACCCAGATGTCCGACTCCGTACCGCTCGTCGGTTCTAGATACCACGTCCCATCGCACGCACCTCCGCCGCCCAGTTCGGCATCGAGCATGAGCAGCATTGGCGGTTCGTGGGAGCCACAATCGCGAGACGAGTACATGGCGCCACCGTCGATGGACCTGGATTACTCGTACGCGTCATCACAGAGGAACCAGGCGCCTCCCGACATCGCGGGGTCGTACAACTGGTCGAACGAGTCCCGACAACACGCAGGGTCTTCCTCGATGCAACATCGCCCTGTTGCCTCTTCGTCTTCGCAGCAACTGCACCACTCCAGTCTCCCACCGCCGTCCCAGCAGTACCACATGCAGGGCGGCCCAGTTGAACTTCGGCCTCCTCCAGGCCCATACGGCGCCTCGCAGTACCCGCCCCAATCGCATTCTAGAGTTCATTCCCATTCGCAAATGCCGCCTCAACACCATTCCTACCCTCCTCAGCACCATGCCTCTTCCTCGTCGCAGCACTCGCAGCACCCTTCGTATTCGATGTACAACCCGAATCCTGGATACTCCGCTCCGGGAGCTGGGCCGGCGGGTTCGAACGTCGACCTTGCGGACCTCGGGCTGGTCTCACGGGACTCGAGGCTTGACGAACGATGGGGCACGTTCATGGCGGATTCGGGGCTGCTGGATGAGTATAAACGCCGTTAGACCTTTCCTTCGTTTTGTCCTTTATGTATTGTGTAACTAAATTTCCTGTTCGTCGGTTTTTTCTTTGGGTAAAATTGCGTGTTTTGACTGCATTTATGTATATGTTTTATTAAAGTCAAGCCGTGTGTTTAGCCAAATGGTACAGTGCTTCTAGTCGCATCCAGGTGAGTTTTCTGTCCGAAGTTTCGTCCGGGCCCAGCCTCAGGAATTATCCTTCTCTCCGGATCCAACCTCCTGTTGTCAACCACCGACCAGATAAAATTTATTACAACTCGGTTACTTGGGCGAGTCCAAGCTCAGCTCGCCGTTGTTCGCACCGCGGCTCCAATGCACCTTTGGCCTTTGGCCTTCCCTTTGGCGTACCCTACTGCCGACTTTGAGGCCGATGCGGTTTGCTGCAGGGTACTGAGCGAGGTCTAGAGCCTGAGAGTGGTGGACTCGAGTTCGACGACAGCTGGCGAACCATCCCACACCGTATACGTATTCTCTTCTTCGTTCGAGCTCCATGCTTGACTTTATTCGGTTGGTCGAGCGTGTCGACGTTCTAAATCGACCTATGTACTGGGGTTTTGTCTCTTGTCCATCCCATTCCCTGACGTTCGGTTCGTTTCAATCCATTCTGGTCTTTCTATCCATTTTTCTCCCCTTTTTGTGGACGCGTATCGATTGACACTGTCCTGCCCTGCTCCTTTCGTTCTTCTCCATGCTTTCACGACGAGGTACCGTTCTTTTCAATTTTGGGAGTGCTCATTTCGTTTCCGCCAACTCCATTCCTATCACTTCTTTCCTCTGAGATTTTAATTTATTTAATAATGGCGTGCAACTCCACTCCCCTCGCCTGCATAATTCTTTCTTTCTGCCCGTATTTTCGATTCTGTGGCAGTCCTGTCTCTTCTATCCGTTGAACGATGGGGAATGGGCCTTGAGCCCGAGCTTGAAAGGTGCTTACTCTTCGTCGTCTTCGTCGGCAATAACAGTGGTTAGCTCTCATTGGCGACTTGCATCGCCGTTTTGTTTTTTTATTTCCGTGCGTGCCGCATTTCCTTCGATGTGTATTTTCGAACTGAATCCCAAGCACTCAGATTGCGTGCTATAAAGGTATGGATCGGACAGGCCAGCTTGGAGGCTACATACGTATTCTCCACGCACTGCAGTCGAGCTGTGTTTGGGCTTTTCACGCATTTTCCTCGATGCAAGCGTCTTCTAGCAACTGTCCGATTCTGCCCTGCGTATGAAAGTTTGCCAAAACATTATCAGGGATGGGTGATGATGGTATTCTTTCTCTCTTGGAAGTTGATTCGGTGTTCTTCATCATGCCAAAGGACAGAGCGCTGCTGGATCAACTGTATTGAGAGCTTGGAGTCTGAAGACGGCTCTTTGTACTTCGTCCTCCCGTGGACGCCTGACTTTGCGATTTCCCCTCTCTCGATGTTGTTTAAGGTAAGTCCAAGTGCGAAAACGTCTGATACGCCCTTGTATGTCCGCGGGCATGTCTGTGGCGCGGAGGATGTGGTATGGCTTCGTTACATATTCGGCCTACAATGAACTGGCCCACTAGAGGGTGGCCCCGGTGTCCCCGATGTGGCTCGACCGGCTCTATAAAACCAAAGCGTAGGTCAGAATTTTTCACTAACGACATCGGGCGCAGGATCATTTCCTCCCACTGCACCAAATGACCGTACTGAGCAAGCCGCTGCCTCTGGAGATATGGATAAACATCGTCGAGTTGCACGACCGCAGGGCGGATGCGAGCACCTTGCGTGCCCTTTCTCGCTGTTGCCGCGCCCTCGCTTGCTTATGCCAACAGATCCTCTTCAGGGACCTCCATATTCCCCGAGGATATCACGGATTACTGGTCAGTAGACCCGGCGCACTCGCGCGCCTAGAATACACGTTCACTCAATCCCCCCATCTCGCCACGTTTGTGCGCAAAGTGCGCTATACGATCGAGGAGGAGGATTCAGAGAACACGACTGTCCACTGGATCCTAAACCAGCTCACCCGGGATAGCCTCGCAAGCGTGCACATGGAATATGTTGCCAGGACACCATACAGGCCACACCTCGACTGGGACACGCTCGACACGCGACTGCGCTCGTCCATCATGCACCTCGTCAAGTCTCCGCGTCTCAAATCCCTGTCTCTCTCGTGGATCAAGAACATGCCTTCGTCGCTTTTCGTATCCCTGTCCTCGGATCTCACGAAGGTGAGGCTCTACGGTGTCGAGGTTAAACTACAACCGCATTTCGACGAATTTGAAGGCACGAATTCTGACGTTACTCCAAGACGAGTAGACGTCGTGCAGACTGAGAGGAGACTCCCGCATATCAACAATCTGCACTACAATTATCACGACACGGGTGGCGTTTTGGCTTTCCGCCCCTTCGTATTCGACTTTGAGCAGCTTCGGTTCCTCTGTATCAGTTGGGGAAATGAGCCCCAATGCGCGCTCGGGAAGGAGCTTATGAAGGCCGCGAACAAACTCGAAGGTCTAGTGTGTGTAGGTAAGTGCTCTCAATCATCATGGCTCTAGGAAGAAGTACGAACGGCTGACGTATTGTCTTTCTATGTGCAGTCGACTGTCCGCAGAAATCGACAGCAGGTCTGGCGCAGGCCATTCTGGACTACAATATGGATGTCAGCCTTACGGCACTGACCATCGCCCTCGCGCACAAAACAGCCATGCCAACGACCCCAGACCCCGACGAGTATGACCTGTTCCTAGGTCTCATCGAAGAGCTCGAGCTCCTCGCGGGAAAGAACACCATGAAGCACCTCATGGTTCGCTTCGACACTACAAAGGAGGCCCATGACAGGCTCACGGGCTGCCTAAGACGGTTCGACGAGATCGTCACCCGCGAGGCCTTCCCGCACCTTGAGCGCTTTGAGTTGGAAATCTGCATTCATTGCTTAGATCCGTACGCGCCATACGGATTCGAGGACTCCTGGGCAGATCGAAACCGCTCTCAGTGCCGTGGAGTGTCTGTGATACCGGGGCTCATATTTGGCTGTCGAGTGGTTATTATAGATGACTTGTCCTTGTTACGGCTGAGTTGACTCAAATTAGATTGTGGTTGATACCTTCTTTAGCCGGTCAAGTTGGGATGTAAAACGATATTACAATATTACATGGTGACGCAATAGGAATTTATTCTGCGATACATGCTCCAGCAGTTCGTGGAATGACTATGCAAACGCTCGCCTCCCGCATTATCGAACTCTGTGCTATTGCAGCCGGAATGAAATGGGAAAAGAGGCCCGCCCTACAAGCTGCTCCTTTCATAAGATATCGACGTCATGTACAGCCATGGATCTGGATTGAGGAGTTGCTTCAGCAGATCGAAGCTTGACGGACACGCACTGGCGCCCATGTCGCTAATTACCTGCGTTCCATCTTCCAAGTCAACTCGAAGCACCCCCCCGAGTGAATTCAAAGTAGAGTAGCCACATGGACTGAACCACGTCCATAAGGAGTCAGAGGGGATACGCACATCTTGGAACGCCAAAGGTACTAGTACTGCTGAGAGGCCCATGTCGGTCCCTGCGGACAGTGGTCCGTCAATGGGATAAATTTGTTTATTTTAAATAAGGAAGTTAGGACTTGGGGTTCAATATAGTGGGACTTCGTCGCCAGAGATAGGCTGTGGGGATTCGCAGATTGGATGCGCTGGAGGACTGGGAGGAGGGGAGGAGATGAGGAAAATCCTATCCCGGGGGTGATGGGTAGAAGGCTGAAGTGCTTGAAGAAAGGCTGGGTAATAACCATGGATATAGAGAGCACAGAGCAGGGCCCTAGGGAGCAAGCCCTCGTGAACAGCAGGGCGGGAAATCCAACGAATTCCAGAAAATCGATAGGATGATGCTGGGTCGGAGTTGCGTTGGAACCCTTTCTCGGATGCTCGTTCCGTGTACCCTGGTGAGCATTCTCTCGGGCTTTGTGCGAGGATGAGTCTCGGATAGACACTAGGAGATCAAGGTGACGGGGTCGCTCGAAGGAAGCTGAGGTGAGAGATGGGTTGGAGTTGGGGAAAAGACATCGTGGTCTAGACCACCGGGACGTGCGGTCCGCATGATGTTTGTAAGGGCATTCCTGTCACTCTCGTTTGTCCGGCCATGACTGACACACCCTTTCCTTTCAGCTACCATTTTAGAGCTCCATGAGGTGCGTTCTAGTAGGCGCTTTGGTGTCCTGGGATCACTAGGCAGGATTCTAGGTCAGCCTCCAATGTTGCACATTCAGCACCCAACACTCAGCATGACCAAGACCGAAGAGCCGCCGTGTACTTCCTGGCAAAGGACCTCGTAGACGACGGACTGTACGGAACCTGGGATGTAGGTGGTATGCACAGGAGGCGGACGTGCGGAAGGCTGGGAGTGACGAAATTTAGATGGCCATTGCGTTACTAAAGGTACGTTTTCCTGCCTACTTTTTTCGTTCATCATCCAGGTTCACCCATTCTGTGTTGCCTATAGTCTCGAGCTCGTTTCTTGTTACACAATGTGTCCGATACCGTCCCAAGTACTGCATGGCCAGCGGGGCCTCATCCTTGTGGGGGGTGGTTCCACACCTGTCGCTTTGTCAAGGACATCCGTACGTCTCCCATCACCTACCTTCCCTATCTTCGATATATATACAGTCCCCGCCCCTCCCCGTTTTTCCTGTCTTCTTTCTCTTCCAGTCCAGAAACTTAACGACATCCTTAACCAGATCCGTCTACAGGTGGGTGGACGCATGCAAGTCCTACCCTCCCCCTCCGCTCTGACGTCCCGTAGCGCGAAGATATGGTCGTCTTCTATTGATCTATCACTCGTACGGGTGCGAGAGCCACGTCTTGTCGTCCTCGTCGTCTTATGAGGTCGATCGTGCAGCCCCATCCAGGTGAGTTTTTCATCCAAAGTTTCGTCCGACCCGGGCTTATGTACTGGAGTTTATCTCTTCGTCTGTGCTAGGCCCATCCCATCCCATTTCCTTCAGTTCATTTTATTTCATTCTGCCCTTTCTATCCCTTGTTTGACCCCTTTGCGTTGACGCATATCGATGGGCACGCTCCTGCCCTGCTTCTTTCGTTCTCCTCCATGCTTTCACGATGAGGTATCGTCCTTTTAAACTTCGGTAGCGGTGTTTTTATTTCCTTTGCACCGACTGCATTTCTATCACTTCTTTCCTATCAGATTCGAATTTAATGTGTGCAACTTCATTCCCATAATTCCTTTTTCTGTCTGCGATTTTTTATTCTTTGCCATTCCTCTACTTCTTACGCATATCGTCGACATTCGAACCGCTGTGGTCTAACGCACTCGGGTCAGGTATAGCCGCCCTTGACAAACCTTTCTTGCCCCGCGGATTGGTGCTGCTAGTGAGCCCTAGCCTATTAGCATTCGCACTCATACGATCCCCCCTCTCCTCCTCTGCTCTCGGCTCTCTGGCTTGTCGTCTGGCATATGGCCAGGGAGCCCATTAGGCGTGGAATGAAATAGGGGAGGACGACGGGTGGGCTCTAAGAGGGCACAAGAGTTGATATTTTCCCTCTTCGTCTTCTTCGTTTCGTCCAGGTGTGAGGTTGTCTGGACTTTTGCGCTCAATCTGCTCGTTGTCTGACGATCTGGAGTGGGCCTTGAGCTTACAAGGCGCTTACTCTTCATCGTCTTAGTCGTTGCCGGCGATGGTAATGACAGGATCCCAGTCCAAAAGATCGGAGTTACACAGAAAGCTATTGGCGACTTGCGCCGCTAGTTTTTTTTTTACTCTCTATTTTTGCGTGGACCCACTGCGATTTCCCCTCTCTCGACTTTGTCTGGGTGGGGGGTAAGTCCAAGTTGAACCACTGCGAGAACGTGTGATGCGCTCGCGTTTGTCCACTTGCATTTCTGCGGGGCACATAGAGGATGTGATGTGTCTTTGTTCTATATTCGGCCTGCAATGAACTGGCCACCGAAGGGTGGCCCCGGTGGCCTCGATGTGGCTCGTCCGGCTCTATAAAGCCAAAGCGTCGGTCAAAAATTATCACCACAACCTATCCTGCCACTACTTAACGACACGAAGGCTACTTTGGAGCTACCTTATCCCATCCCACTGCCCAAAATGACCGTTCTGAGCAAGCCGCTGCCCCTGGAGATATGGATAAACATCGTCGAGTTGCACGACCGCAGGGCGGATGCGAGCACCTTGCGTGCCCTTTCTCGCTGTTGCCGCGCCCTCGCTTGCTTATGCCAACAGATCCTCTTCAGGGACCTCTACATTCCCCGGAGTTATGGATTCCCGTCACGTCGAGCCGGCGCGCTCGCCCGTCTAGAAGACGCCTTCACCCAATCCCCTCATCTCGCCACGTTTGTGCGCAAAGTGCGCTATACGATCGAGGACGAGGACGCAGATAACACAACGGTTCACTGGGTCTTGAACCACCTCACTAACAACCTCTCCGACGTCAAGATTCAATACATTTCCAAGACACCAAGAACGCGATACCTCGACTGGGACACGCTCGATGCGCGACTACGCTCGTCCATCACGCACGTCGTCGAATCTCTTCATCTGAAAACCCTGTCTCTCTTGTGGATCAAGAATATGCCTTTGTCGGTTTTCGGATCCCTGTCCTCGAATCTCACGAAGATGATGCTCCACGGTATCGAGGTGAAAATACAACCAGATTCCGAAGAACTTGAAAGCACCAATTCTGACGATACTCCAAGCCGGGTAGACCTGGGACAAACTAAGAAGAGGCGACTCCCGCAAATTAAGAGTTTGGAATACTTCTATCACGATACGGATGGCGTGTTAGCCTCCCGCCCGTTTTTATTCGACTTTGAGCAGCTTAAGTTCCTCCGTATCAGCTGGGGGAACGAGCACCAATGCGCGCTAGGAAAGGAACTTATGAAGGAGGCGACTAGACTCAAAGGTCTACTGTGTGCAGGTACGTGCACTGACTCATCACGGCTCTACATGAACGGCTGAAGTATTGTCTTTCTATGTGCAGTCGACTCTCCGCAGAAATCGACGGCAGGACTGGCAAAAGCCATGCTGGACTGCAGTTTGGATACCAGCCTTGTGTTACTGATGATTGGACTCTCGCACAAAGACGTCTCATCAGCAATCCTGGACCCGGACCCGGACGTGTACGACTTGTTCTTAGGGCTCATTGAAGAACTCAAGCTCCTTGCAGGCAAGAACACCGTGAACACCCTTAAGGTTCATTTCGACACTACTAAGCGTGCCCGCGAGAGTCTCATGGGCTGCCTAAGACGGCTCGACGAGGTCATCACCCGTGAGGTCTTCCCGCACCTCGAGCGCTTTGATTTGGAGTTCTGGGTCGATTGCTCAGGACCATACGAACCGTACACGGCACCCGGGTCGGAGAATGCCTGGGCCAAGCGGTATCGCACCCAGTGCCGTGGAGTGTCTGCGATACCGGGGCTCAGATTTGACTGTCAAGTGGTTTTTGTAGACGACTCGTCCTGAGTCAATTCATATGAGGTCGCGGTTGTCTTTCTTTTGTCGGTCAAGTTAGGATGTAAAACGGCATTAAAACTACATGGCCATGCAATAATTTACTCTATTCTGCGATACACGAGGATCGTCTCGGTGGAGGTTGCATACGAAATTCCCTGTTTAGGCCGCTTTTTGGAGGGACCGAAATTTTCGTTATTAGGCTTGATTCCAGGTGGATATCGTATCTGAATCTTGGAGTACTCGCATGTAAACTCCAGTGATTTAGCACCCCAAATCACCACCAAAAGCCTTTCGGCTCTCTTGACGTTCATCAATTTAATCAAATTAATACTATTGAACCTCGTCACCAGCGACACAGGTCGCTAAAGGCGCCCAAATCTATCTATCTATTTACATCCCGAGCGCTACGGCTTCGACAATCGTCGAGCGATCAATCGATCACCGTCGATCAACATTTTAAACTCAGCATCATACGCTCGGCATTTCCCGGCACAAGCGCTCACAGTCTCACGGCGTATTCCACATCAGTGCTGTGGCCCTCAGTATTTGTGGCCCAGCCATGAACAATGCGAACTGTGGCCACATAGCACTCGTGCTAAAATTGGGCGACTTCAATAGCAACAGCGCATCTCTCACTCTGACCACCACCATCCACTATGACTCCGACACCCGCCTCGACCTACAACGTCGATTCAGCCATTGACAGCCCTCGAGGCACCAAACGCAAGAATTTAGATGACCATCAAGGCACCCAGTCTTCGGAGCGACCACAGAAACGAAAGTACTTTACTCGCTTAACCCGAAAACGTCTTCAGCAAGAAGCAAACACACCGATGCAGCACTCAACTCTAGTACTGGAACCTGAAGCCTTACCCCAGCAGACTACATACGTCCCAGATCACCAGTTCTATTTGAAAGACGGAGACCTTTTTGTGACGGTACCAGGGAACAAAACACTGTTCCTTGTACACCGAAAGAAGCTGGTTGAGCTTGGTGGCTCTTCGAGGATACTTTAGCCGGCGATCTGGTCCACCTCGACTTCAGACTCTATTCATTACCTCACTACCCACTGCCCGAGTTCGTGGCGTTTCGCGACTTTCGCTTCCTTCTTGCGTACCTATACGGAACCATGTAAGCTTATACGCCCCGTATTCCGAATTGCAATGCTGACTGTCCTTCCGTAGCACCGTTAGCAAGGAGCTGCCCGATGGCAGCGGCTATGTTCACTTCGAAGCCGCTCTTTCGCTTATACGAATTAACGAACAACTCGGTCTCAGCAAGCCCCGAGAGGTCGGGGTGGCGGCGCTTAAATACCTCTTCCCGACGACCTTCAGACCGAACTTCGAACAAGTAACGATAGCAGGGCTCAAACTACACGAGGAAGAATTGTTTTTCCGCACTTTTCCTATCCGCGCAGTCAACGTGATCACTGAATATGGCTTGGACGACCTCAAGCCAATGGCGTTTTATCATGCATCTCAGTTATCAATGGACGACCTCTTCAACGGCGTCCGAAGCGGGGACGATGAAAGCGGGCACCTTGATAGGATCACCGACTGGGAGGTCTTCCGTAAGATTGTGGAGGGTCGTGAGCGAATTCAGTCGTCCCGGCGGAAGGTTCTGTTCGAATGGCTCGAGGTGCCGGTGACAGCCAACGTACTTCTTTCCGAAGAATGCGAGCAGAGGAAGATGAAGAGCAACGAAACGTGTCTGGGCTTCCTGGCTGAAGTGTGTGGCCAATTCAGAAAGACGAACTTCTTGAATGGACGGTGCGATGGCCTGCTCGGGTTGAACCCCCGTGGGCACGAGCTGTTCGAAGAACATCTGTGCGAGGTCTGCTGGCCGGTGGCTGAAGGACATATGTACGAGGCTGCACGGAAGAATTGGGAGCAGCTGCCTGAATACTTTGGTCTGGAGCCTTGGGAGACGATAGAGGAGCAAGACGAGGAGGCAGCGTAGTGGACGGCGTATCATTAGATTGTGTTGTCGTCACGAGACTGCATGAATGGATCTGGATAAATGGATTTGGCCTTGCGATGTGCGTTCATGTCATTCCCAGCTGTGAGCTTTGATCGGTCCTCCTCCGGACGCTGTGGTACTCGGCACCCCTCACATTTCAACCCTAATCGACTTTTAGTCATTTCAATAAGACCATTCTTACTCATCCATCGTTAATGTAAATTGTATCCGACTTTTCTATTGGTTGGTGGGCCGCTGGTGATCGCGTGAAAATGGCACAGAGGCGTGTCTAAGCGCCTGTGGGCACTGATCGTGCGATCGTTACTCGTCGGCGGTGGGATGTGCCCAAGTCTGCACCGCCACCAATCTCCCACGACCATCCTCGGTCGTGTATCTCTCATGACAAGTCATACTATCAAATTTACAGCATTTCATTATCAAAAAAGAAGTTGCCGTGTCAAGGTATCCGACCTCCGGCCGCGAAATCCGGTGGACTGGTATCCAACCCCTAAAAGGGTTATCCGAGGACCTGATACATGCTCGAGCATTTCATAGAATGACCATGCCGTATACTGGTCTCCCGGAGTATCGAACTCCGAGCTATATGAGCCAGAATGAAATGGGAAAAGAGGCTCGCGCTATAAGCCGGTCCTTTTGTAAGATGTCGACATTGTGCACGGTCATGGATACGGATTGAGGAAGTGCTTCGCGGATCGAATTCACTGTCGCCCACGCCGCTAATTACCTGCATTCCGTCTTTTAAGTCAACTCGAAGCGCACCTCCCAGGGACCTGAAAGTCGGGAGGTGGTTTAGGTACCTCGACTGAACCATCCCCAGGGACAAGAGAGGGATCAGGGGATATCTCGGAAGGAATGCCCTATCATCGCGCGAGACGTACAGGAAAAAAAAAGAATCACGGAGGCTGAGAGAGTTGTGATATGGGAGATGGCATATGAGGCTTCAAGGGGACGAAAACGGTTTAAATCCACGAAGGGGAAGCACCAGATTGGATTCAGAACGGGGACTCGGGGTCGAAGTAGGGAAGGTATTTCAGCCGCGCACATCCAAAACGCCGGGGAACCCTGAAGCTTTCGATTCGTGGACCTGAGATGCGTTTCGGAGAAGCCTTCTGCGTGTCTGCTTACCTAGAGTCTGAGGCTGGGATCTTAGGAGAGGCTCGAGCCGAGGAGAAGAACGCACGGTAAGGACAGCTTGGGCCTATGAATCGAGGCAAAGGGCTGTAGGTTCTGGAGAGAGACGCAGATATGCATGTCAGTGGGTCGGGAGTGGAGTCCCAAATGGCGGAGAGAGAGGCAGGGACAGTGCATTGTGCTCACGAGACTTCGACGTCCACTGGGGTCGACAGTGCCTTAGAAGGAGGGAGTCGGATCAGGATCAGCAAGGGTGTTCTTGTCGCCTCATCGGCGCTGCTTGTGAGGATGGCGTTAATATAGAATAAGATCAAGTCGGTCGTCAGAGATGAGTTGTGGGTGAGGACATGCGGATCGGGATCGATGGAAGGAGGGAGGAGACGAGGAAGTTGCGCGAGAAGAGCGGAGAAGTGCTTGAAGAATAGAGAACAGCCAGGGAAGACGAGTGCATAACGCGGGGAATGGGCATGCTGATAGCTGGACTAAAACCCAACCAAATGCAAGAAGCCGTCGATAGAAAGATGCTGGGTCAGCGTTGCGTTGGAATCTCATCGCGATGCCCGTTCCCTGGGACATGGTGAGCGCTTTCTCGGGCTTTGTGTGAGCATGAGTCTCTGATATGTAAGGGGATCAAGGTGACGGAGTGGCACGGAGGAGGACGAGCCGATCCCTGGGCGATGGGATGCAGACGAGGGCGTTGGTGAGAGATGTGGTGATCAAGAGATAGGGTGCCATGTTTTGGTCTAGACCCTCGGGACGTGCGGTCCGGGTGCCCATCACGCATTCCGGTTCGTTCGTCTCCGCGGATTTGTTGGTTGGACACGACCACCACTGGCCGCAGCCAAACACTCTCTTGTTCGTCGACCTGTTCAACTGGACGTGGTCATATTTCCGCAGTGATGAGCCAATTGCAACCCTCGGTCGACTCGGTTCGAGTTCAAAGCCTTTGAAGTTAACGTCCGCTTTCGAATTCTCGATGAACGAAGGTATACGTATGTCTTTTTCTGTTATGCTGTCGCTTAGATCTCTTGCTGATTCCCCTTTCTAGCCTCAGCTAAAACTGTATCCACGAAATATGACCTTCCTCTTCCCATTCGTCTACTCCACGCGACCGAGTCGCTCTCTCCTTCCAGTCTGACTACACAAGTCCCACCTCTTTTGGCCATGAAGCGGACACATTGCTTCTGGCGCAGACCAAGGCTCGTGTTCCGATATACGAAGCAGGATGTCGACGAACCCTAGCATGAGCCACACCTTCGACTAACCGCAAGTTTAGTGGCGCATCGCCATCGAATGTGGAGGGCCGAAATTGAAAGTAGGACAAGGTAAGTCGTTGTCCATTGTCATCTTCGAATCCCTAATTCCCTTTATGGGTCGCTCAGTCCGTTCTTCTCCACTTCTTCCTCGTTCCTTCTTCTGCACATTTGCACATTGTCCTCTCGGCCTTACTTCTGTCTCATCGCGATCACACTGCGTGAGAGGCCTTGCCCTGCTCTACCTCGCGCGTCCTTTATTATCCACCGCTTATCACTGACCTTGCTAATGCATCTTTCTCCTTTCTTCTCTTTCAGAGCCAGTTCGGAGCCTCATACCCTCATCAAGAGCAAGATCCAGCATCCAAACTCCTTGCTGTCCGAGTTCCAGCAAGAAAAGTCGCCGGTCAGCGCCCATGTTCAACCATCAGCCTTATTGATACTCGTCAGCTGTCTCCCGTGTGTGCATACAGCCAACGGCGGATGGAAAGAGTGGAAGGCAGCTGGGACCTCGAGACGGAATGTATGCGGGGATACTTTCGGTCAGGGAGGCCAACGCGCTGGAGGTTCGTGCTCACAAGCCCTCTTCTTTCGTTCAATATCTTCGTTCCCAATTGATCGATATGCCCCGATCCTCTCCTGCGGTGCTGCGCGGCTTTCAGCAGGCTTCGCCTTGTTCCTCGCCATGCGACATGTTTGGCTCTCATCGTTCGCGCTCCTTTCTTCTCATCTCTCCTCGGCGTCCTTTCTTTCTTTCTGTTTTCGTGTTTGCATTGTCTTTCTTCGAATAATCGACATGCTATGCATACTCCTGCCCTTTTACGACCTTCGGCCGTCGTCCAGCACAGCCCTCCGCCAATTCGATGCCCACGCTTGCTCCGTTATCTCCTACCCTCGACGTATCACTGAAACATTTCTGCAGATACGGGAACGCAACGCAGAATCGACCTCTCAGCAACCGTCTCAAATATTACATGGCGATACATGAAACCCCTCTCCCTCCTCATATGGATTCGACTGTTTTCACGCATCTAAGTTAGTTTTTCGTTCATGCTCTCGCCTCACACGAGCCTATCCTGATTCAAGTTTAAGACCCGGATCTCTCTTTGGCATCGACCTCCATCGACTTCAGACTTTAGGCTTTAGGCCCTGGGTGTTATCCCGGAGGCACTACACGAACGTCGCCTTCAGGTACACTGCGTCTGCGTCCATCCAGTGTCGATCCCAGCAGCTGGACGCTGATTAGCAACACGAAGCTAGGGCTGTAGGTGGTACGTCCGCGCATCTCGAGGTTAAGAACGCAAGGATCATTCTGCACCAACAATCATGGACGCTGAGACGAAGAACGGAGTTGGATAACGAACCGTTCGATGCATGTACGTTGTTCTTCTCCTTTCTGCCATTTCTTCCGTTCTTCGTTCTCGCCCTTCAGCCTCTTATCTTATGCTGGAATCCAGCTTTACAGCTTTCAAATTTAGGTTGTGGGATTGCCCGTTCGATTTTCGATTTTTTGGCTTCTCGGAATCGTTCTATGTGAGTCTGGTCTTTCTTGCTTTCGAGGCTTAGCTCCCTGTCTGACTCCTTCGTCTCCATCCTCTCTCCCCCTTCACGTGTTTCTCTGCTCCTGGAGCTTACATGTTCGGTCGTGTCTTTCTGATCAATCCGCCACGACCCCGCGTTGCCTCTGCCTTTTCGAACCTTTATCTGCTCACGAATGGATCGACCATTTCACCCATTTCCTTCCTCCTTCGAATTGATATTTCCCTTCCATCTCTCCCTGGTGTCTTCTCTTCTTCGAGTTTCCGAACTCTCTTCGTGCATCGGCTTCCTGCGAGCTTCAACATTTCATCGCGTCCAGCAATCGTCTATCCCATTCGGTCGTCTTTTTCCTCGTTCGTCTCTCGCTCTCTTCCAAGTTCTCATTCTAATTCTCTGTTGCAGGTATGGGTAGTCGAAAACGACGCGTGACCATGAGAGCAGTTACAAATGGCGGCGGTGGCGACTGTTGCGTTCAAGGTGCGCGTCCTTGCTTCTGCCTACATTTGGTGTTTCACTCTTCTTCTCAGTGTTCAAGTCCATGTCTCTCACTGAATGTTGGACACTGGTATCTTCTCTCTTCATCTGCCCTGGCTCCAACTCCTACAGATCAACAAATGCAACGCACGTCATCTGCAGACCAATCTCAGCGATCCTATGAAAGAGGACTCGATGACATGGCAGTCCGACATCAAGATTCGGAATAACGATTGGTGTGTTTTCCCTCTCGGTGCCCTAATTCGACGTGTTTTCTCTTCGTATTTCTCTTGATCTTGGCCCGAGCGAGTACCTCTCGTCATTGGCTCCTCCGTCATGTTCGCCTATGTTCATTCCTTTCTTGTTGACCGCTTAGTACTTCTTCTTTTTCTTTTTTTCTCTTATTTCTCGTCCTTGCCTCCGCGACATGGAATCGGCTGCGATCTTACGCGGCTGATCAGACATCCCCCTTGCTTAAACGTATTTTGCATGGAATCTCTTTCCTCCTGTTCTTTCTTGTCAGGCTTTGGCCTGGATGTGGATTCACGACATCGAGTGTGTGAGTGTTCTACTCGTTGTGCTCGCCCATTGCATTTTAGGGATGATGCAGTTACAGGGACGCTAGAGTGCGATACGACTGTGCCTGACGAGTCTGCTCTGCTGCCGCTGTTCGTGTTCCCCATAATAGGTCAGAGGCGAGCCCGGTGTTTCCTGCTTTCTCCACCCATTCTCGACTGCTTCGATGGAGTAATCCTTCTTGAATACGCCCGGCTTCGTGCGTTGGGTCTGCTCCCGAACTTGAGCCTACGTGATTGCACTCGTGCGATCCTCCCTCTTCTCATCCGCTCTCGGCTCTCATGGCTTGCCTTCTACCAACTAGCACAGATTGTCAATGCCAGGGAGCCCAACAGGTTTGGAATTGAGTTAGAGAGGATGACGGCCGGCTTCTAAGTGGGTAGAGGAGGTGAAAAACCAGCAGGATCGTTTCTTCCCACTGCCCAGAATGGCCATACTGAGCAAGCAGCTACCCCTGGAGATCTGGATGATCATCGTCGAGTTCCTCGAATCCAAGGCACGCGTGAGATCCTTGCGCGCCCTTTCTCGCTGTTGCCGCGCCCTCGCTTGCTTATGCCAACGGGTCCTCTTCAGGGATCTCCATATTTCCCGAGGATATCGTGGATTTCTGTTACGTCGAGCTGGCGCACTCGTGCGCCTAGAAGAAGCCTTCACCCAGTCCCCTCATCTTGCCACGTATGTGCGCAAAGTACGGTATGCGATCGATGAGGAGGATTCGGAGAACACGACGGTTCAGTGGATCCTAAATCAGCTCACTGACAGTCTTTCCGACGTCAAGGTTGAATACGTTTCCAAGATATCAAGCATGCCATACCTCGACTGGGACACCCTCGATGCCCGACTGCGCTCGTCCATCATGCACGTCGTCGAGTCACCTCGTCTCAAAACCCTGTCTCTCTCGTGGATCAAGAACATGCCTATGTCGATTTTCGTATCCCTGTCCTCGGATCTCACCACGGTGAAACTCGAGGGTGTCGAGGTGAAGAAAGAGCAGGATTTGGATGAGATTGAAAGTACAAATTCTGACAGCACTCCAAGACAAGTAGACCTTGCGCAGATGACGAGGCGACTCCCTCATATCAAGAGTCTACATTACTACGATCACGACACGGGAGGCGTGTTAGCCTCCCGCCCATTCGTATTTGACTTCGAGGAGCTTCAGTTCCTCCAGATCAGCTGGGGAAACGTGCCCCAATGTGCGTTGGGCACAAAACTTATCAAGGCGGCGAACAGACTCGAAGGTCTAGCGTGTGCAGGTAAGTACCCTCAATTGTTATGGCTCTATGAAGAACCGTTGATGGCTGATGAATTGTTTCTCTACTTCTATGCAGTCGACTCTCCGGAAAAATCGGCCGCAGGACTCGCGAAAGCGATGCTGGACTACGGTTTGGATGTCAACCTTACCTCACTGATGGTCGGCCTCTCGCACAGAACCACCTCGCCAACGATCCCAGACCCCGACGAGGACGATCTGTTTCTAGGGCTCATCGAAGAATTTGAGCTCCTCGCGGGCAAGAACGCCGTGAAGTACCTCATGGTTCACTTCGACACCACACAGGAGGCACACGACATGCTCACGGGCTGCCTGAGCCGGTTCGACGAGGTCATCATCCGTGAGGCCTTCCCGCACCTTGAGCGCTTCGAGTTGGAAATATGGGTTCATTACTCAGGGCCGAATTACGCACCATACGGATCGGGACTAGAAGACTGCTGGGCGGAGCGCAACCGCGCTCAGTGCCAAGGAGTGTCTGCGATACCGGGGCTTAGATCTGGATGTCTAGTAGAAATTATGTGTGCTCATGATTAGGAGCTTCTTGTCCGGTTCATTATTTACTACATGAGGATGGTAATTTTTTTGCGCTATCAAACAATTTTTTCCAGCGTGATGCACTTCCTCTCCTTGTATCCACACCTTGGCTGCCGGGTTAGTTCATATTAGACCAGAGTTGTTTTTCTTGTCACTCAAGTTAGGACGCAAAATGATAACAAATACTACCCGGCGACGCATAGGAATTTATTCCGCAATAAATGGTCGAGTATTTCGTGGAGTGACCCTGCCGGATGCTGATGCTGCCTTCCAGTATATGCACGGCGAGTATGAAGTAAATTCGAGATTCCAACTGCGCTGACCACGTATCGGGGGACGACAATTAGGATATGTCTCGGGAGGAGACGCCTATTGTAGCGCCAGATGCACAGAGATGGAATGTCTGGCGAAGCTGGAAGACGCGTGGCAAGCCGCGTAAAGGACACTCAGATTCAGAACGGGGTACTCGGATCGGAGTCAGCACCACATATCTCAAGAAGCCAGGGAACCTTCAACCCTTCGATCCGACGTGCCTGAGGCACGGTTCAGAGGAGATTTCTGCATGTCCAAAATCTCCCTAGTGTCCTGAACTTTTATTCAGGGGCTCGGGGCCGAGGCGATTCATAGGATACCCAGGATCTAAGAGTCGAACTCCTGCTTGATAGTCCTGGAAAGGGATGCTGAGGTGTGTGCGGGGTCGGGATCGGGAAGAGGTCTCGATTAGAGCAAGAAGAGAATGGTGATATACGAAGCGGAGCAGCGAGAAGCAATGGATGATGCCCCAGGCAAACAACATGGAGGGGGACAGGAAGAGTGCATTGCATCAGAAGATTTCGAACAAATTCCCACCGGAATCGACAGCGCCTCGAAACGAGGTTGTCGAATGAGAGCTGGGCAAGATGAGCAAGCACTGTCCCTGTCACTCCTTCGTTGCTGCTTGGAAGGGGGCAGGGCGGATGCGACTATTGGAGCGAGTTTTAGCCATTAGGGGTGGGTACGCACAGATCGAACGCGACAGGAGGGAGGAGACGAGCACCGACTTTTTGGGGGCACGGGAAGGTAGAGTGAATATGTGCAGGTAGATCCAGAATGGGGAAGCTCACATTCGGATTAAGAAAGGGGGTCCCCACTCGGGATCGAAGTAGGGAAAGAACTCAATATGGCCCGAATCGAGGCGAAGAAAGCACGGTAAGGACGCTCCGGGCCGATGCGTCGAGGGAATAGGTTGTAGGTTCTGGGGAGAGACGTCGAGTAGTGCGAGGCAGAGGGTTGGGGTTGACACAGACATTGGATCCCAAATAGCGCAGGGAAAGACAGTGACAAGCGCATGGCGCCAGTTAAAGTGTCCTGGTATATGCCCACTGGAATCGACAGCGCCTCGAAACGAGGCCATCGACTGCCAGCTGGACAAGACGAGCGAGCGCTGTCCCTGTCACTTCTTTGGTGCTGTTTGGAGGGGGCAGTGGGTGTGACTATCGCAGCGAGATTTTAGTCATCAGAGAGGGGGTGGTGGGTATACCCGGATCGTACACAGAAGAAGAAGAATGTGGTTCTTTATTGATTTACGAGGATCATTCCGTACATGACCGTAAGGGAACATCCAATCCTCGGGCTATCAGCGGCGTGACCTAAGTAATACCCTAAGTGTCCATGATCATACCAATTATCGTGACTAGTGGTGTCGGAGTTCGGTCCTGAACTTCGGTTCGAACCTGAACTGGCAAGAACCGGACTCGATGTTCGGTCCAAGGTTCGACGAAAGTGCTGAACTGGACCGAAAGTCCAGTTCTCGGTTCAGGCCTCGCTGAACAGGTTCGAACCGGTTCGAACCTGCAAGCCAAAAGGGTCAATAAAAGGGCCTTTTCGAGACAATTTTGTGTAGATTTCGCAAGAGAATCATTGGGAAAAAATGATTACCCACCTTCCTGGATATTTTAGGGTACGTAGCTTCTGTATCGGGGTGTGTAACCGCTCTCAGCAAGCCCCGAAGCCCCTATCATTCACATCCACGAAAGGCGGCCTACAGAATCTCACTCAAATCTATATACAATAGTGCTCTACAGTTTATTTAAGCACCTAGTAATACTTATAAGTAAAATTGACAGTGCTTCAAAGAAAATTCTATGCCAAAAAAATTTCAAGCCCAAAGAAAAGTTTGAACGTGTTCGAACCTAAACCAAACCTGAACTCCCCGTTCGGTTCCAGGTTCAACCTATGGGGGAGAACCGGACCTAAAGTTCGGTCTCGGGTTCAGGCAAAAGGTGCCCTAAACCGGACTGAACCGAACCTTGACACCACTAATCGTGACATCCCGTAATTATTTACACTAATCAGGGCTTTGATGTACCTAAGCATAAGATCGCGTATATTCGCACATAGTAATGCCCTAGCTCCCGAAAGCAGCTGTTCGTGTGACCGGCATCCAACACAACCTCCCTATGGGTTTGGGTTTGTTCCATCATTCACGTGCCATGCGGTTCTTTGGCAGTCCATGTTAGGAGACGACTTTAGCTGTTTTCATGTAGTTTCACTCCCACCCTCCAGTACTTTGGTATTAACGCCTCAGGGTTGGCTCTAGCCATCTCGCTGGTTTGCTTTACATACTCTGGGAAGTCAGTGCACCAAAACACCCAATCATGTGAACCTTGTCCTGAAGGGTCGGCTCTAGCCATCTCACTGCATAGCAGCAGATCCACACAACCTTGTCCCTTGGCTCCCTATTTCCCTTCCTGGCATAGTCATTTTTTTGATGACTAAGGAGAACCAGGTGACCCTGATATCATTATGTGAGCATGCATAGGTACGGTCACTCCAGACCCTTGGGTCTAGAACACGTGAGACGTAGTCGCTCCCTAATACAGAGGCCCAGACGGTGTCATCCGGGGGCGTGGAAAAGTCACATGGTGTCTAAAGTGTGTTTATCCATGCAACCAGCAAGAATTGAACTCAAGAGCTCAACGCAAGCCTGGGGGTAAGTCCGCAATAGTGCCACCTGGGATCATACACAGAGGAGGGAGGAGATGAGCATCGATAGGGGCGCAGAAGGCAGAGCAATTCCGAGAGAGTAAATCCAGACCACCTCAGGGGATGAAAGACGAAGCGCAGGGAACAGGGCATTTGAGCATGAAAACTTTAGCTCCAACGAGACCCAGAGGCCGTGAGGTGGTAGGTCCAGTTGGAGTAGCATCGCTGATGCCCGTTCCCTGGTGGCTGCCGTCTCTTGATCTGAATCTCTGAGTAGCAGTGCGGTCAAGGTGGAGAGGGTGACTCAGACAGAGGGGATTGAGACGGACGGGCTGATCCTTGGGGGAAGCTGGGAGGTGTTGGGGAGAAGGTCATGGGTATCGTCCCTTTTTGACTGGTTTTGGGCCGATGATGTCACAGTCTAGATCGTCGGGCTGGGAAGTCCGAAAACCACGTGTTCCTAGTTCGTCAGAACCATCAACGAATTTGTTCGACACAACCACCGCAGAGTCGGATGCTCTCTCACTCGTTCCTCTTGGCTTCCTGCACAACTCTCAGAGTCACCATAGACCCTCTTTCCCTCAGTCCACAAGTCGAGCATCCCGGGTCAACATTCGTGTTCTTTGCCTGTCCCCCTCGTTCTGGCATCATCACTGCTCTCCCACTGTGCCCTCCTCCCCAGTCCTTCCAGGTTGGTTCCACAAACCCTCGCTTCCCTTCCTTCCTCCATGGAACCAATCGCCGACGATGCCTTGGCAGGCGTTGACAATATACCTCCAACGCGGTCCAGTCTCCACGCGGTGCCTTCCACTTCTTCGACGATGGCACTTAATTCTCGACTGCTGGCAAAGGTCGTGTCGTCGACCTTACATCTGACTTTCGGGTCGACTACGAATACCATCCTTCAGCCTAAATGTTGATTAAACACGCTGCTGCTCTTGACCGCCCTTGTTCCTTTTCTTCCCCGTTGGCGCCGTCTGGTTTCTTCTTGGTGTCCTTACGTCCCTCGCTTGTTTCGCCTCTTCCGTCATACTCTTTTCTACAATCCAATTCTAGCTCATTTGCAGGTTCTCGCTCTCCTCGTTGGGAGCTCGTGACGTGGTGACCTCAGACCGTGGCTGGAAGCTCTACCCATTCGTGCTGCTCTTTCAAGACAAATACACACTCGTATTTCTCTGGGGTATGCAAAACGATGATAACTATCGCGAAACTTGTGCGGTAGAGCAAACTAATTACTGTCTTCATGTCTTATGGGACCGAACTCAACACGATCGTCCTAACCATCTATAATAACCAACGGACAGTCAAATCTCAGCCCTGGTATCGTAGACACTCCACGGCACTGAAAGCCGTTACACTCTGCCCAGCACTCTTCTAACCCCGATCCGTATGGCGCGTAATACGGCCACGAGTAATGAACCCAGAATTCGAGATCAAAGCGTTCAAGGCGCGGGAAGGCCTCGCGAGTGATGACCTCGTCGAACCGGCTCAGGCAGCCCGTGAGCTCGTCGTGGGTGTCCTTTGTAGTGTCGAAGTGGACCATGAGGTCTTTCACAGTGTTCTTGCCTGCGAGGAGCACAAGTTCTTCGATGAGCCCTAAGAACGGGTCGTACTCGTCGGGGTCTGGGATCGTTGGTGAGGTGGTTTTGTGCGAGAGGCCGATGGTCAGTGCTGTAAGGCTAACATCTGAACTGTTGTCCAGTATCGCTTTCGCGAGTCCTGCGGCTGACTTTACTGGAGAGTCGACTGAATATAGAGAAATAATTCAGCCGTTCATATTTCTTTGTAGAGCCATATTGATTCAGGGTACCTACCTGCGCACGCTAGACCTTCGAGTTTGTTTGCCGCCTTGATAAGTTTTCTGCCCAACGCACATTGGGGCACGTTTCCCCAGCTGATTTGGAGGAACTGAAGCTGCTCAAAGTCGAAGATGAACGAGCGGAATGCGAGAATTCCACCCGTGTCGTGATCGTAGTAATGTAAATTCTTGATTTGCGGGAGTCGCCTCTTAGTCTGCGACGGGGCTACTAGTCTTGGAGTACTGTCGGAATCCTGCTGTATTTTCACCTTGACACCGTCGAGCTTCACCACCGTGATATCCGGGGATAGAGATATGAAAACCAACAAAGGCATGTTCTTGATCCAGGAGAGAGACAGGGTTTTGAGACAAGGAGACTGCACGACGTGCATGATGGACGAACGAAGTCGCGCGTCGCGCGTGTCCCAATCGAGGTGTGGTGTGGGATGGGTTGTGGTAATAAACTTCAACCCACAACTGGGCTTTATAGAGTTGGCCGAGCTATCAAAGCCACCGGAGCCGCGCGCCCTTTGTTGGCCAGTTCGTTGTAGGCCAAAGACAGAATGAAGGGCACATTGCATCCTCCGCGTGTCCAACAAAGGACATGCACATGAGTGACAAACAGCTCGGCAATGAGAGCTGGAACTGTCGTTTGCAACAACCGAGAGAAAGAATAAGCACCTCGGCACATGCAGGCTGTCTTTTGGAAGGTCAGGAGGGAGACCGAAAAGCCGTATCAAGGCACCACGCTGAACCGATGTCGGGGGGATAGCAATTGGAATATATCTCGGAAGGAGTGACCTATTCGTATTATAGGGCCAGATGCACAGAGTAGGAACCTTTGTCGATGCTGAAAGGCCTGTGACAAGAGGCGTCGCAGGCACATCAAAGTTATCAAAATATTTATATCTCGGAAGAGAAAGGCTATGGGTGCGCCTCAGCAGAATTGGGTCTCGGAGTCGAACCAGGAATAGGAACTGCACCATCTCATCCAAAAGGGCCCAGCGGCATTGATTCGTCGATGCTGGTACCTGAGGCACATTTCGGATTAGGTTGCTGTATGTCCGTTTCCCTGGTCGTCCGCCCGTTCTAACACTTTAAGCACAGAGAGATGGACGTGTCGACTAAGAGGCGATATAGGACAGGGAGCCCAGAAGGGTGATAGATAGCCTCTTAGGACGTGGCGAGGGACAAAGCCTGTTCCACGCTCGCCGAACCCAACGGTACCTCGACGCGAGGCCATGGAATGATGGGAAAGAGGATGACGAGCAAGTGCTGGGACTGGCAAGAAAGAGAGTAGTATGGGCGGCTAGAGGGAAGGGAGAGCGACCCAGGAGTGGGATAAGGCTCGAAGCTCAAAGAGCGAGGACAGGGAACGGGTCAAGCAAGAGTAGTTGCTGATCCAACATGGCGCAGAAACCGGGAGATAGAATTGATGCGTCAGCGTTGGATTAGCACGCTCGGTGCCCGTTCCCTGATTGCCACGTTCTAATCCTCCGAGTCTCTAATTCATAGCAGAGCCAAGAGAATTGAGGCGGACGAGCTGATCGTCAGGCGGTGGTGGGAGAATGGCGAGCAAGTGTTGTCTGTCCCTGACTCATCTTCGGTGCATCTTTGGAAGAGACGCGAAAGGAATGAGTGAGCGGGAAAGAAGAGAGAGAGAGTACGGGCCGGTAGTAGAGACAGAGCGGCTCATGAGCAGTATGAAGACCGGCGGGGAGCAGGGAACAGGCGTCTATGATTGAAGATCACCAACGAGACGCAGAGACCGGAAAGGTGGTCACGATAGGGTCGCCGTTGGAGTACTATGGACGGTGCCCGTTCCCTGGTGGCCGGTTTCTCTGGCTCCGAGTCTCTAGTTCATAGCAGAGACAAAGGTATCGGGGTGGACGAGCTGAGCGCTGATCTTCAGGTGATGGGCAGACACAGGTGGTGGCGGGAGGGAGACGTTGGGAAGGAAATCGCTGGGCCAATCGTCGCTTATGAGCGGGTTTGATCCACTGACGTCATGGTCTAGACCATCGGGCCGGGAAGCCCTTGGTTTATTTGCACGTTTGACCACGAACAGCTCCATCTTTGCTTCCTGCACCTGTAACGCAATCCGTTAGACGCTTCTCCTGCTTTCATCCTCAATAATGCCCCGCTGGCACTACTCATGCCCCTGGGCAAAGCATCTCGAATCAACGTTTGTATTCTCTGCGAAGGCGCCTTACCTCCACCAACCTCCTTCTTTCAAATGAACCCGAAACGCTGACGAGATAGCCTGCAGGTTACGAACTATCTCCGCTGGTGCTGTTTCGCTACCTGCTGTCTTCCGCCTCTTCGATGATGGCACGAGCTCCCCATGATCGACGGCGTTCATCGCTAGGACCAAATCGTCGACCAGGGGTAAAGTGAGGGAGTTCACCTCATGAATCGTGGAGAGAAGGAGTGGGATGCAAGTGATATGTGAGCCGTGTCATCGATTCATCCCTGAATCCCATGATCTCTCTTCTCTACCCACTTTGCACCACCCCCGCGCCAAACTCTTCCTTGACTACTCTCCCCGAAATTCCTTCGTCTGAGCCTTCTCTTCTTCTCTCTTCCTTACTCTCATCCCTCTCACCCTCTCTGCGTCTGTGATTCTGCACTCTCGTACCATTGTTCTTTCGAAAACCTTGGTCAATGCACCCTTACTCCATCCCTAGGCCGTCCCCCATCTCTTCCTCATCCATCCCCTAACGAATGCCATCGCTGATGCGTCCTTCTCCCGTTCACTTTTCAGAACCTGGCTGAAGGGCTCTCTCGAAATTTGGAGTTACACTCGAAAAAGCATCCCGTTGTTGCTGAAGAATCGGTGCGCTCAAGACAAACGGCAACGTGAGGGTTCGATCTCTTCGGCCCTTTTTTCCGTTTACTCATTCTCCTTGTAATCTATCCAGTGACTAGTTTGCATGTCATATGCTCCGTTCCTTGCTTCGAGTCTGATCGATACATGCTTTCATCGTCTACGTGGCGCTATTGGTTCGTTTTTCGTTGCACTGTATTCGTTCCTTTGTCCATTCTTTGTGCGTGCCACACTCCAACCGTTCGTTTGCTCAGCATATATGCGTCTTTCTTCCGGTTTCTCACTGAAATCTCTGTGCAGGTCTGCGCCTCGACAGGCCTTCGCACCGGCTCTACATCCTCCTTTCTGCCCCGATGTCCCAGGAATGTTTGAGCGGCTGTGCAGGCAGACTTCGACTACTCGCCAATCTTATGGAGAAAGTTGTAGATACGGGCTTTTGACGTGACAGTGGTTTTTCAATCTTGGTCTCATGCCCCTCCCCGGACACTGTTTGTGTCCTCGTTCGTCTTTCACTCTTTTCCACGACCGAATCCTAACTTTCGGATACAGATTTCGCTCGTCGGACGCGACGCATAACCGATAGAACCATAAAAAGCGGAGGTGGCGATTTTGAATCATTCGAGCCACTGCACGAGGGAAGGTATGTGTCATGGGACGCGACCTATGCCTCTCCTCCTCCTCGTCTGCGGTCTCCACTGCTCCATTTCATTGTTGACGATCTCTTCTGTCAGCAGACCGCCTCAGCTCTCTGGAAACTATCGCGGGCCCCAGCACACGCAGGTACCTCTCTCTTCGCATCCATGCCGCCCGTGTGCGATTCCAGCAGTATCCTTATCTCGAGGTCGAACCTGGTAATGGTACGCTGCCTAAAAATACTATCACCGTGACCCCTTTCTTTACACGCTTCCCCCTGCCCCTACCTTCCCCTACTCCAGCACTTGCGCGTCGTCTCTTCCTCTTCTTTTATCTCTATATTCATCCCTTCCTCCTTCCTTTGTGCCCGGGCTCCCGTTTGTGTGCCCGAATATGGCGATCGCCTCGATGTTTCTTTCCTTTCTTTCCTTCTCGCTTTTCTCATCTCCTTTCGTGGTAGGCCATGAACTATGAAAGCTGGAATGTTGGTCGTCTCGGTGTATCCGGGCGGAGGCGATTAAAGCTTGGGTGCACCCTCACAGTGTTCATGCTAGCGGAGAGACGGTGCAGACGCACGAGGATTGGCGGTACGCTCAATGTGTGCATGCTTTCTTCGCTCTTCGCCCTTCGCCCTTTCCCTTTATCACCAGTCCTTCTCGACCCCCCGTTCTCGGTACATACTACCTGCTGCTTTCCCTTGAACTCCTAGTCGTTTTGTATTCTATTCTTCCTTTCGTCTCCTTGGAGCCGTGCCTTTCGCTCTCATCCCGCTCCCCGGGCATCATCACCGCCTCCCCTTCGTTTCTGTGCCCGTCCATTGTGTATTCCTTCATCCACATTCTTTCTTCGATGATCATTCGCCCACCCTCGTTCGCTCTTACTCTTTCCCCTCTTTCTGCTGTCAACCTTCCTCGCGTTCCCAAAACACTTCCTCTGAATTTGCGTGCTGATTGAAATCCTCTGCGCCAGGCGCCAGGTCGTTCTACCCAATCTCTAGATCTCTGCGATGACCGTATCACAAAGCCCGAAGAACATTTCCATACATACCTCCCATTGATCGAGTGGAGTGTTCGTTCATGGTACGTGTCATGCTGTCAAAGCTCAGCTCAGCTCACTCTCTGCGTCGTTCTAGGGCTCCAAATCGACCATGGAGTGTTCGTGGCTAATGTGCCCATGAGCCAATGTGCGGCCGACGATATCATCGGCGCACTCGGGAGCGAAATAGTGGTCGTGGGTCGCGTTTTGACCTTCTTCCGCGCTCTGAAGTCCAGATCGTCTTCAGATGTTGTCTCTCTGTACGTCGATTCAAGGTCGGGCGTGGCTTCGGCGTCAGTGCGGTGTCGGGCTTGAACATAGGAAGCGCTCGAAGGAACGAGAGGTAGGCAGTTGGCGGCGTGTTAGATTTCGTTTCCTTCCCTTCTTTCTGCCTCCTTTCTTTGTTGTTCCTCGACATGCGCGAACCACCCATCGTTCCTCTCTCAGGCTGGCTCGCGCGAATCGTTCTTCGTATTCATCCGATTGGTTTTTTGCTTGTTTAATATCTAACCTCAACCTCGATTTAATTCAGGTCCACTAGACCCCGAGCGCCGGGAACGGGGAACGACGCCTGGGTATGGGACTTCTCAAGGAACAAGAATCTTCAATATACGGAACTGGACAACTTACAAATAGCGACAATTGTGCCTCAGGCCATTCTACTTAGTGGAGAACGTCCGCCCGCCGCCCCATCTTTCAGATCTTCAATGACTCTGACAATCTTCTTGCGCGGCATGCATATGTATGCACTCGATGTCTCGTCTTTATTTCCCTTCCCTTCCACCTATCCACGCATTTTTTCCGGTCTCGACGCTCATACATAGCACTCAACGACTGCTTGGCAGGTGCTAAACGCAAAGGCCAGGATCGGGCGGGCTCGCTTGGGCTCTCTTCGAGGCTACTTACGTACCCCGCACACTGCACTTGAGCACTAGGCGAGGTTTCTTCGAAGTGTCGCGATTCATTCGTTCTGCCCGATCCTGTCCTTCCTGCAGGTGTCTGTCAGGCTTGGTGATTAATTATAAAAATGAAAGGTTTTCCTCTCCCTTGGAAGTTGGTGTGGTGCGGTGCGCTTCGTGTCGTACCCAAGGGACAGCTCAAATGTGTTGAGAGCTTGGAGCCTAGAGGTCAATTTTCTTCAGTTCCTTTTCGTTCCGGTTGCTTTCGTTTTTGTCGGGAACCTCCTCTTTACTTCCGATGCCTTTCACGACCCGTCAATGTGCTTGGATCGAGGACCGGGAAGGCCAGCTGTGGGTTATCTCCCTTCGAGGCTACCGTGCGCGCTGCACTTGGTCAGTGTCCGGGCGGGCTTCCTCGACGTGGTCGATCCCGCGTGTCGCTTGTCCAATCCTTTCAATCGTGCTGCCGAGTCGAGTCTAATGAGATGGTACCCTCTCGAGTTTGCGTCGCATAAAACGCTTGTCGACGATTCGAGGATCATTTCCACCTGTCTGTGCTCTCTCTCATGATTCTTCAGCATGGACTCACCGCCGATTCGATTTCATCTATCCAGTTATTGGGCGTCGTTGAGGGTCCCGCCGTCTTACTAGTATTTCAAATACGCGTGTTGCCGAGGATACTCGATGTTGGACTGCGTGGCGGTGAGACTATCGGGTCTGGATATTTAAATGATAATACCGTTTTTGGGGGATGACATTGTACTCTATTTCAGTCATAAGTGTGGAATTTTGAACGGAGGAGGTAGAAAAATACAATACGTCGAGAAATGAGAACGTCCCGAAGCGCAGCTGTCAACATCTGTCCACTGAACCCAATGAGCCTCAGAGAGGAGGTCGTCGAGTGGCAGGTAGACAGAAAAGGAGATGGGCGAAGGGGACGTTCGGGCGGTGCGGGCAGGGATGAGATGGGGATGAGATAGGTAGGCTGCAGTGGATGGTTGAGGGGGCGGATGGACGAAAGTGCAGAGGAGGACGGGAGCGGGGGATCATGGCGATGGGGAACGGAAAGGCGAGGGATGGGGAGAGCGGAAAGCACTTGCAATAAGGCCTTGGGCAGGCAAGCGAGAGGGTAGGTGCCTGCACAACGTGCACAGAACAAAGTTGAGGGCAGCGCCCAGCTCTGTGGCAGAGAGGACAGAGGCCTCGCGTACGGAGAATGACGCAGACAAAGATCGAGTTGAGTGACGTGGAGGAGAGATCATAAATGAGGACAGCGAGGACGTTGTCCAGGGAGTGAGTTCCACACACGTGAAAAGAGACAAACGATGCTCAGAAACCGTCGGTAGAGCTGGAGGACTCGGGCATCGTGGAAGCATGTGTCGCTCGTGGACGGTGCCCACTGTCTCTTCAGGGTCTGTGTGCCGGCGGGGAGGGGTGGTGTGTCGACGGGGGAGGGGCGATCGATGAAGGAGACGATAAGGACGGGTAGATGTGGGGCAGAATCGTGGAGGAGAGACGACTGACGTCATGGGTCTAGAGCATCTACCGGTCCGGCGGTCCTTGGTTCATAGACCACGACACCAGCCTGAAGCGCATTCCTCTCTTGTTCCCATTCGTCACTCGATTGCCCTCAACGGCCATCGCTCGACAAGCCCTTGCCCAGGACCCATCGTGTTCGAACTATGGGTCATTCTCCTTGGGGAGATGCATCTGTCTCTCCGCCTTGGATTTCTCTTGCTCGTCCCCTCGGTTCTGTCTGCAGCTCAAGATTCCATGCATCGCTGACATTCTCTTCTCTCCCACTGCCAGCAGACCGCGAACCCCACCCTCTATAGCTAGCTCGGATGATTCGACTCCGTCCCTCGTAATCTTATCTGCCGGCGCTCTCTTTCCTCGGGCTCCTCCTCCGGCACAAGTGCCATGTCATGTTTGTCTCGAACACGGTACGCTGCCCACTATAGCTATCTAACTCGCTCTTTTCCCACCCTCCCAATCTTCCATCCATCCATCCACTGTTCGCAGGCCGCAGCTGCTCTTCGTGCTTCCTTCGTCTGCACGGTCCTCCCTCCCCTCTTCCGTTGCGCGTCTTCCCTGTCCGCAAGCGTAGATGTTGTACACGCAATGGCTGTCTCTTTCTTTCTTTCCCTCCCTCCCTCCTTTACTTTTCCTCCTCATCTGTTGACTATTCAACAACGTCTCAGCACTGACTTACCTTCTCCTTCTAGGCGCCTGAACGTGAACCAGGATGGCTCAAACTCGACGTTGCTGGCGGGGGGCATATCTTCTGATGCTGAGACGGTGCTGGGGTAGTTGGTGTCAGATGCAAGTGCTGAGACGGAGTATATGCATGAGGACTGGCAATATTTGCGAGGTATGTACTCTGTGGATGTTTTGTTGTCTCCTTCCTTTCCCTTTCCCTCCTCTTCCCTTTGTCTTCGCCTTCGCCGCCATCATCGGTTCTCTTCAACGTTTCAAAATTTCAACACCCGTTCGCGGTCCTTGGACCTTTCGCTCTGCAATACACTTGTACTCATTTTCGTTTTCCCTCTGCGTATCTTCTCCCATGGTCGATGCCCTCGGTCTCCTGTCATCCCTCCGCTACCGCTACCACCGCCCTTGTCATTCCTGGCGCCGTCCATCATCCATCGCGTCCACATTCCTTCTTCGATGCTTGGCGTTGATCGTTCGCCCGCCTCTTCCTGCCATCTGCGTTCTTCAACTCCCGATACGCCCTCTCCCATCGAACTCTACTGTACTCTACCATCCGCGTGCTGATTCCGTACGCCAAATCATTCTGCTCTCCCTCTTTCTGGAATGGCCGTATTTCAAAGTCGAACGTCTATTGCCCGAGGGCCGAATCTCAGCGTGAGGTTTCGGTCATACTTAGTGTGTGTGTGTTTAGTACGCTTTCCATCACGGGCTCAGCTCATCCTGTGCGTGCGTGTAGTGCTCCAAAGTGGTCCTGAGCAACCCGGGGGCTTGGAAGTACTCGCCCCTTAGGCAGACATCTTGGCTGTACCAGAGGACGTTGTGGGACATGCAAATGAACATCTGAACATGGGAAGTATTCGAGCGAAGGAAGGCCGGCAGCAGCGGCGGCTCGTCCGAGAGGTGCGTTTTCATTTCTTTCTTTCTTTCTTTGCCCTTGTTCCTCGGTCGTGGCTCCTACGTTTCTTGAATCTTCGGATTCTCCGACGTTGAACGTTTATAGGTCGCTCTCTTATTGTCGAGCGAATGCTCTCGAGTGAGTAGATCCCGGGAGACCCTTGTTCTTTTCGCCCAATGTTAGAAATGCGGTCCAAATTTTCCTTTTTTTTTTTTTGACTTTGTCTTCGTCTCAATGTCAACTGGCCGCGCCTATTTCACCGTTGGTTTCTCCTTCGTGATATGCTGGGCAGTGTTTTTTGGTCTCCTTGACCTTCCGGATGACGGTAGACTAGACGGCGTGTATGCTGGTGTGCCCAGGTACTACTCGTCGGCGTTGATTATGACGATGTCAGCTCTCGTTAGGGACTCGCATCGATATTCTTTCTCTTTTTTGTGCCATTTTTTCATCTTTTCCTTCAATGTGCGTTCCTGGGTCCCATCTTTGCTTCTGATCACGGAGCATACGGCCTATGAACATCCGGATCGGGCAGGCCAGCTTGTGCTCTTTCGAGGCTACGTATCCCATGGACCGCGCTTGAGACACTGTGCGGGGTTTCCTCGATAGCATTGTACGCAGTAAACTGCCCAATCCTGTCCTTCGTACTGAGTCTGTCAACCTCGGTGATGAAGACGATTTCTCCCTTTTTTTTTTCTCTGAATTGGTCTGGTTTGGGGCCTTTCATGTGGTGTCCAGGGCTGGCTCGAATGCTCTGAGAGCTTCGAGTCTACAGGTGAATTTTGTTCGATCCTCGGTGTTCCACGTCGTCTCATTTTTATCACAATCCCCTTCCTTTCCTCTTCCACCCAGCAAGGACAAAAGTGCGCTCGGATCGGGATCGGGCAGGCTGCCAGTGGATCTCCCTTCGAAGTTACCGTCCGCCCCTGCATCTTCGCGAGTGTTTGGGCGGGTTTCCTCAATATGGATCAGAAAATCCACCGCAGCTTGTCCGATTCATTTAGCGGTGCTGCTGAGTGACGTATAGTCAGATGTCACTCTTCTTGAGTTCCCTTTTTCCTAATGGATTTTTCGTAGCGAAGGGTGCTTTAATCACCGTGGATCTGTACGCCCTTTTTTGTGTTTCTTCAGCATGGCGTCGTCTCTAGAGATCCAGGACTCAGGATTTTGTTCGGTGTAGGCAGGTAAAGTATTATATACCTGCGT